CTGGGATGTCATGAACCCCAATAAATCGCAGCTCTTGTTACAATCATCAGACTGAAGTGATGGAGACACAGGGTTCTGGCTGGGTGAAGGCCTGCTTGGAGTCGCCAGAATGCCAGGGTGTGCGAGCGCCGGGGGTTTGAGGAACCAAGGCACTGGGGTGCCCCCGCTCCCAGGACCCGAGGTCTTGGCGCCCACACTGCGCTGACCTCCCCCGGCTTCTTGCCATGCTCACCTGGCTTCTTCTCCTCCCTAACTCATCTTGTGCTGGCCCAGGGTGGTTCCTTCCTCTTTGTTGTCCTGTGGCCCCCGGAGCCCCCACTCTGCGGGTCCCCCATTCTGCTGTATTTTTTTTTCACTCCCAGCACATCTCAACTTCCAGTACTCAAGTTACCTTTTTGCTGTGTTGTGTGTCTTCCCGTCCCCACTGGAATGTGACGTCTCTCCACCAACACCTCTCCTGTCCCCCCACACAGCATCTGGCATGTGGCTGGCACCCCGGAAAATCCACCTGAGCTAAGGAAAGGAGAGATTAGCGCTGAGCTGCGGGGCCACCAGGAGCAGAGCCATTGCTGGGTACCCAGAGCGCCCCAGGGGTCCTCACTGCTCAGAAGGCAACAGCTGCTCCCTGGGGTGGTGGGCTCCACCGGGGGTCCCTCAGGCAGAGCAGGGGCACTAAGGGTTCCCACCAGGGTGAGGGGTCTCACTTTCTAAGTTTGCTTTTCCCTGGGATATGGGGGAATAGTTTGAGATGTCTGACCTTGGCAAACTGCACCGCTGTCACCTCCACCGTCTTCTAACCAGGGTCAGGGCTTGAGGGCTGAGCAGTGGGTGGGACCCAGGGTGGGTCGGGGCCAAGGGTGACGCCGCTGCAGTTCCGGGAAGCACCACCAGGTGGCACTGGGGTCTCACCGGCCTCCCCAGGAAGTCGGAGCGGGTGGGGGCTCTGCCCAGGCCCTGCTGTGCCCACTGCCCCCCAAACGCTACAGCCACCTCTCCCCTGCGGCGCCCTCTGGTGGACGGAGTCTCCCGAAACCTCAGAAAGCCCTGGCTGTCCAGCCTCTCCCGGTGCTGCCCTCCTGGCCCTGGTGAGGGCGGGAGCGGGCCCCATGTCCCCACCCCCAGGTAGAGAAGCCTGGAAAAAACATTGCCCACATGCTGGCTCCTGGCAGTGACTTTACAAACCCATCAGCTTAAGTTAACAACGTGTGAAAACGTCCTGCACACCGGACACATTTAATTATTAAAACACTGCCTGGAGTTGAGGACAGCGCTCTCCACTCCCTGAGGCCGGTGTGTCCCCTAAGCCAGCGTTGAGGGGGGCTAGGTGGGAGCTGGAATCAGCGGAGCCCAGCCCGGGGAGGGGTGGGCTGCGGCCTCCGACAGTGTCCAAATCCGGGGAAGACGCAGAGGACAGGAGGCCCCAGTCACTTGAACACGAACCGTGCCAGGGCGCATCCCACACTGCCATCTAGGCCCCTCTGCCAAGTGGCCTGAACGTTCCAGAAACAGAGGATGCCAAAGTACTGTCCCTGCGACGGCCCGCGTACGTAAGGTTTCTGCAGCGCCCTCACACCCCCCTTCTCAGGCATCCTGAGCTCCTGTTACTGGGTCCTTGGGTTGCAGCTGGCTTCTCCTGGTGGGACAGGCCCGATTGGCTGCTGTGCACGCATCCTGGTGAGTTCAGCGCCCAGGTCCTGCCTCTGCCTGACGTTGGGCGGGCTCTGGGAGAGAGGGTTTTCCTGCTGGACCCACAGCCGGAGCTCATGGCACCCCCGAGCAGGGACCCCAGCCACAGGGGGTCCGAGACTCGGGGCTGCTTCACACCTGGATTCTGGCGTCTTGTCGGGCCACCCTGCTCCTGTTCCCTGGCTGCCACCCGACCCCGTCACACATGCATGACGGTGCCCAGCCTCCTCCATGGGATGGCAGCCCAGCCCCCAGACTGGCAGGGGTTCTGGGCAGCAGAGCAGAGCATCCATGGAACTGCTTTTAACTCATTTAACTACTTTGAGCATCTTACAATGTTGCTGTATAACAAAGAAAATGCTGTGGGACAATGACAAGGTTGATAGAAGCCACTGTGGCCGGAGGCCTGCTCAGTGCTTGGACTTACTGCATCTTAGATGACAGCGCCCTGCAGGGAGGTCAGGCTGCGTCACCCCAAACCTTGGGCTGGGCACCCTGTTGAACGGCTGGGAGGGCTCCCCACAGCTGGCTTTGCCAGGCAGATGTTCCCCAGCCCAGGAAAGGGGCCTTGGCCCAGCCAACTTAGGGTGACCCCTCCCTGTGCCTCGTGCACCCAGGACAGTGGGACGAGGGTTCCCTCGGGGCCTGGGGACAGGAGGGGAATGTGCCAGAAAACATTCCCCACACTTACATTTTCTCTATGAAGTTCCAGCTGTGAAAGTCCTTGAGGAAACTGCTCTGCAGGGGGAGGTTGGGTAAAGCGGCTTGAAAGTCAGTCTTCACCAGTATAGTAAGATGTCCCCAGACTAACACACATGCCTTTCCGTCAGAGAGGAGTAACCCCTCTCCACCAAGGTGACACAGAGGCCACCGTCCCTCTCCTCCTCGGGTGCGTCTTTGAAGGCTCGTTTACCTTTAGTTCTGTTTACCTTGCACACGATGTTTCCCACTCTCCTTCCAGCACAGGGCGGCAGTGACGGTCACCCCACCGGGTCGGACACTGCCCACACGCTGAGCACGTGGGCACCAAACGGCTCTCAACATCAAATATTTCAAGATGTTTCCAACTTTTCCTTAAATAATGCTGAAACAAACATCTCTGTACAGAAAATGTTTCCAGCAATTAGATTTATGTCCTTGGGACGAAGTCCCAGAAGAGAAACAACCCCGTCGAGGCACAGCCGCTTGTGAGTTTCTGAACAGCCTCACGTGTGTCTCCAGCTGTCATCATCCCACCAACAATGCCCACCCCCCACCCCAGCGTCTGACAGATCAAGTCATTAAAATATATATGGCCCCAAATCGTGTTTCTCTTTCAGGGGTATTTTCAGATTACTCATCAGTTTTCACTAGTTTTCTGTATGTTTATTGAACAATTGTCTCTCGTTTTCTGTGACTTGTCTGTTCATGATTTTTAAAAGCTTTGCATGAACTTTGCATAGGCTGTAGAAGGGACCGGTTGTGCTGGCTTCTTGGGTAGTTTGGTGAGCTCGCTGTAATTAGATCGGAAGTTTCCATATTGTCATGAAGTCATTGATTAGTGTTCTGCCTTTGTGGTGTCTTCTATTACTTCTTTTTGTCTTGTCAGAAGCGCAAACACACAACACGAGACTGGCTAGGATCACAAAGCCCCCATGTCCTGGCCAGTCCCCCAGCGCCCACAGGCATTGGGGTGACTGAAGCCCAGCCCCCCACAGCACCCCAGGCTCTGGCTGACTTCTCGGTCCCACTGCCCACTACCGTGTGATTTCCGGGACTTGGGACAGTTCAGTGCTGCCATCACTGCACAGATGAGACAATGCACTGTCCCTCCAAACCTGTTTCTCACCCCGTGTATGTTCCATCCACTGGGATTCGACGTACGGTTCCGACGGTGGTCTCTCCCCAGGCAGAGTAGCTAGTAATTCAGACCCAGTTTGTTCACTGATCTTTTTAAATTCTTAAGAAATAGTTTGTTTCTACCCCAGTTGGGCCTGAGTTCACGTCTTATGTTTCAGGACCTTCGAAGGCTCCTGCCTCCTACTTTTGTTTCTCAAAGCTTTGATGTTGCCACTGTCCTGAGCCCTGCCCCGAACCTCGGGACTATTCTGTGAGACGTGCACCCACTGCCCCTTTCCCGCCCCAGGCCATTTGAACTCGGGTTGGTAACTTACAGAGTCCCTGCATAAAGGCAGGTGAAGCTGGCATCTTTACGAGGCCCTGGTCTCCTCGTTGTCGCTGCCCAGCCTTCTTCTAGGGCAGCTGCTTCACCCCACAGCGTGAAGGCAGAGAAGGGAGGGACAGGAACGGGGCGGCTGCACCGGCTGTTTTTCTTGTCAGAACGTTTAAGAGGAAAGGGAAACACCCTGTCTCCATGGTGAGCACACACAGGAGCCTATTGCTTTCTCTCCTCATGTGGTTGGGGCATTTCATATTTTTGGAAGGTAAAAAAGTATCAGTGATTTGTAACGTACATTAAAAAGTAACTTTCAGACCCAAAAGCTGTGTCACAAAAGCCTGTGTTGCAGTAAATCTGGACAGCGGCCCGAGCGCCAACCCTCTTCCGAGGCTCCTTCTTTCCGGCCTGTTTCAGAAACGAGGACTTGTCCCAAGGTGTTCTGGCTGTGGCTGAACTGACAACTGTATCCTCATCAACGTGCTGCAAAAACAGCCCCGGTCCCCCAACCCCAGCTCCAGGCTTGTGGCCGATGGGCAGCTGTGCCCGTGTCTGGGGGTCAGCTCAGATGGCTGTGCTCTCCGCATGCCCCATCCTGGGGCCCGGGGTGTCGCCAGCTGGGTCCCAGGAAGCAGACGCTGGGGGTGGGGCTGGTGTGCAGGATGTCCACTGTGACCTTGGAGTGTGATAGGGAGGGGGCAGGTGGGGTGAAGCGGGCGGGCAGCACCTCGGGCAGCCCCTGAGAGTGGACCAGAAGCCCTGAGTGGCTGAGGTGGTGGCCTTTACCCACCCTGACTAGTCACTGGATGTGGGAGCTGGGGACGGAGGTGGGGTGGCCACTGGGGGCCAGGGGCGTGGCAGTCACTGGCTGGGGGGCGGGGGAAGGTGGCCGAGCCTGGGCCCTGGTCCCCTCCCATGGGCCTTGTTCTCCCCCAAGGGTGTTCCCAGCCCAACTCACCGAGGCTGCAAAGTATCTGGGGGGAGAATATAGCACTGACTTAAATTATTGGACGTTTAAAATGAAGACACGCCCGTGGGACCTGCTTTTACAAAGGGTGGCAGGGCCACCAGTGGGTCTGGGTTCCAGGGTCCACCCCACGGGTCCCAGGCACATGAGCCCAGCAGACGAAAGCACACGGGCAGAGACCAGACACAGGAGAACAATGAGTGCTCTTTATTGACACCACACGAGTGACACGCTGTGTGACGAGGCACACCGACCCTGGCCTCCTGTGAAGCGCAAGTGCCGTTGGCTGTCAGAGGACGCTGCCAGCGGGTGAAAACCCAGCCACACGACACAAAACGAGCAAACTGAGAACAGAGCCTCCCGCCCCAGTGGCCGGAACAGAGAGCCGCTGGAAGGGCCGGGCAAGCAGAGCGCTGATTAAATGACAGCAGAAACAGGTGGGTGCTGCCGGCGGGACCCACCGGCCGCGTGGCCAGCCACCGGGCAGGCGGTGACGACGCCACAGCTTGGTCCTGCCCACGCCACCTGGAGTGAGGTCCTGGGTGAACAGGCCAGGCCCCCTCTCAGCTGTAGGTTACATGCGTGTCACTTCCAGCACGGAGCACACACAGCAAGGAACAAACACACTGTCCGCTTGCTTTTTCTTTTCATAGGAGACTTTTAATGGTGTCAGAGACAAAGTGAGCGGGCCGGAAGCAAGGCCCGCTTCATTACAAGGAAGAAATGGTTTCCTCTCAATGCAAAGTAGGATTTTAAACCACAGTGCTCGCACAGTTCACCACGGCTTAGCTGAGCGTGAAATCTGAGACACACGTCGTCTAAAAGTAATAAAACGTCAACACGCTGTGTGGACAGGGGGCTCGCCGCTTCTCCACTGCAGCGACTGAACGTCGGCAGGGCCAGGGCCGTGCCCGCCCGCCCACCGGCCAGCACAGGAGGTAAAGGCAACAAAGGAAACAAAACAAAACTCCTCAAAACCAACTGAAGAGACAGGCCGTTCACTTGACGTCTGTGCGGTTCCCCTAAATCACGGCTTCCACATAAATACAATAAATCTAGTATTGGTGCGTCACACGTGTTAGATAAACTGCTTTCTTAATATGACAAATGTTTAAGGAGTCCTTTTTATTTTTCTTACAATAAAAAGTACAATTTCTTAAGAATGAGTTCAATAAGACGCAAACGTTTCCCCCTCACTCTCCTTCAAGGGTTTGTTTTGTTTTACAGAAAAATTCCCATTTTTTTTTTGTATCAGCAAATGTCATGAGAGGGGAACAAAAAGGCGTTTCTCCTCCCCCGAGCTGCCGTTTGGCGTGCAAAACCTGTGTACAACAGAAAGACATGCCGGGCGTTCAGTCCATGCAACCTCCAGGTGTAGGAAACTTAAAAAAATATATTCATATATGTTTATCTATATATTTATATATGTATCAATGCCCGTAAAACGCGTGGGCCCGAAAGTCTACAAAAGGAAGAGTGGAATGAGGACGTGGCTGTGACCCGGTAGGAATGTTCTGACCGGAAGTTAGAAACCACAGACCCGAGGCCGGGGCTGCAAAAACCCCTCGCGCTTCGCGTCAGACCGATGCAGAACGGTCCTTCCTCTGGAAACAGAGTTTTAAGAGAAAGAAAGAAAAACTGAAACACTTCAACAAAGTGCCCTTCAGAACCGGAGGGGCTGCCAATCCCAGTGGCCCGGGCGCGGCCCCGAGACGGCCGCCTGCTGGTGGGGCTCGGACGCGGCGTGGCGAGAAAGCCAACGGGCAGGGGTGACACCACGCGTCCTGGTGGCGTCAGGGGGTTTCCCGCAAAGGGATAAAGTGCTCACTTGCTGACCCCCGGCCTGTGCCCCCAAGGCCTTTGCAAAGGAAGAAAAAGGCTAAATAAGGTCCGAGGACCGAGGAGGGAGGTAGGGGGCCTCCCTGAAGCGGTGGTCCTGCCCACACTCGGGGCAGGCCCTCTGCCCTCTGCCCTGGACGGCTGGCCGTGGGGAAGTGCTGAGTGTGTCTTCAAAGAAAAGAAAAGGCTACACGGTAATGCTTGAAGCACGTTTGTGAAGCTGGAGTGAGCGGACCACGGGTCACACTCCCCCGCCCCCCAGCCAGGCCTGCCTGCAGAGCATGACTCTGAGGTCAGAAGTCAGCCCCCAGTGAGAACGGGGCCGCCAAGAGGTCCATGCCTTGCCATCATCTGTAAAAGTGTCAGACGAGTGGTCCTCCCCAAGAGCCACAGCTGGCAGGAAGCGGGCAGGCAGGAGCGCGTCCCTGAGGACCCCACAGAAGGGCCCGGGAGGCCGGACAGCCGCGCGGGGGGTGGACAGAGATGGTCCCACACGGGCGCCTCCTGCCACGTTGGGCTTCAGAGCGGAGCGGCCGGTAGGGAAGAGAAAGCCAAACATGTCCCAAGGCCTTGCTGTCCTGCTCTCTAACCCCTGTCCTGGATGTTGTGACCCACAGCGTCCTGATAACCAAGCCAATCCGAGTTCGGACTTGTCTGGACAAAAGTCCGGCTGTGCCAGCGTCTCCTTCAGAACCCACCCTGTCAACGTCACCAAGCTGAGAGACGCGGCTCGGGGTCCCCTCCCCGGGGCACGATGTGTCTGACCCTCCTCCCAGAAGTCCGGGTGCGACACACACTGTGGAATGAAATTGGTGGCTTCAAGTGCTGGGAACTAAGTTACCAGTAAAAAGTGACGTTCAGTGACCGTCAAAGAGAAAAAGAGCAGGACCGGCCGTCCCGGTTGGGAGTCGGGTGTCCCTGCAGCTCACCAGGCGACACGGGCCCTGGCCGTGGCGCTGCCGCGGAAAAGCCCGGAGCCAGCGCCAGGTCATGCATCGCTGACATGCTAAAAAGGTCTTTGGGAAACCGAAGCTAAATTCTACCCTGACCACGTGGTCAGAGAAGTTTAAATGCCAGTTTCATGACGGCCCTGGGGTCCACCCAGCTCAGCGTCATGAGCAAGTCTCTCCACAGCAGCCACGGTGGGGAAAACAGCACCCCTGTGACACTACCTGTGTGGGAGGGAGAGGCCCCCACTTCTGGATGCAGCCCCCCAACAGGACTCAGAAAGACGCACCACTGCGAGGGGACCTCTGAGCCGCTTCTCACGCAACGCCCACTTTCTGGAAATAAACTCTGATGGCAACAGTTCTGTACTCCACAGAAAAGGGATCACGCTAGAAAATCAACCAAAATGCAAATAAAAAAACACCTTTGAAAGTCAAAAAAATGTACAAGCAAGAATTTAGAAAGGAAAAAGGTTTAGACATTATTACCATTCAGGAAACTGCTGAACGGTGAGAAAAAATGTAAAAATCACAAAACAATGTGTATTCAGGAACTTTTGGTGAAAAATTCATACAAAAATCAACAGCAAATTTATATTCTTTGCTATAAAACTCAGTAGGTACCTGTGTGCCCGGAGGCGTGGAGCAGGAGGGGTTCTGTGAGAAGCGATTAAGATCACAGGACAAGCTTGCAGGGCAGCTGCCAGTGGCGAACGTGTTGGTGACCTGAAATCCATCATCTGGAGCCAAAACACTGGAGTTTCAGACTCGATCCTTCCCGTAAGCACCCTGGTATCTAAGTCACAAGGCGTTCATTCGCCAGGGACCTTTACAATCGGCGTTTATTATATATATATATCTATCTATATATATATATATACTTTTTTTTTCTATAAATGCATTATAAATATTTCATCAAGATTTCATAAGAATCAAGTTTCTTAGCTCGGAATACATTGGAATATATATTATACATATATATTTATTTATACCTAAAATTTAAGCAATACTTCATGCTACTTGCTTTTAATAAAAAGCATTCCGATCGTAACACTGAAAGTGTGCCGAGACCATGCTTCACAACCAAACGGAGATGCTCAATTGTTATATGATGGATGAGGAAAGAACACTTTGGATTCCTTTAAAATTTGTGGGACTTCAAAACCCCCAACAGTATTTGCCACTTTTTGGGAACTACCTCCACTTTTCTTAAACAGCAATAAAGCAAAACAAGGGTGGCAGGTCTGCAGCGCCCGGGGCACCGCCAGGCCCTACCTGCCACAGGACACCGTCCCACCAATTCCTGCTGTTTATTTTTTTCTTAAGGCATTGTTCCTCAGACTTCAGAAAACCCAGCCACAAAAATCCATCAGAGCAATAAAAAAAAGGCACAAACTCGCATCTTCCAGTGGCTTTGAGAAAACAAAGCCAGCTCCTGCAGACTCACGTTTCTGTTTTTGTCCAGTTTTGTTTTCTTAAACGCTCGTCCACTCTGACCCCCAGCCAGTCGCAAACCCCTACCGCACACACAGAGGCAGGCCAGAGCCATAGAAAACGTTCTTTTTTAAAAAAAGTAAGCTACAAGATGAGTTGAGTGGTTTACACGGAGACTGTGGAATTGTGGGTAATCATCAAACTTTAAGCACCAGTTTTAATCAAGTTGGTTTTATATTATTAGATCTTTGATTTTCATTCTGTTTTCCTCGTGTCAGCTAAGTCGGGCAACTCTGCCACGAGCTGTCACAGGCCTCCTTCCTCGGGCTTCCCTCGGGGAGCCGGGAGCTGCCTGGCTTCGTGCGTGTCCGTGTCTGCTCATCCCGGCGTCTGTCCCGGGTCCCGTGGAATGCTGCCCTGCCAGGGACACCCGGGGTCTGGGCAGGCAGAGGGCTTCCCGCTCTGCATGGCCCCTGCCGTGCCTGCGGACTCTGAGAACGCCTGCAGGACACAGGGGAGCAGAGCTTTTCTTGGAGGAGCTTCAAGACAGAGACAAACAAACAAGAGAGTCGCAGCCTCGGCCCGGCTACAGGGGCGGCTCCTCCTCCATCGGCTCCTCGTCGGGCCTGCAGCGTGTCCCCAGGAGGCAGGTGTGGGGCAGGGCGACACAGGGGACAGAAAGGACGCGGGTTAGCAGCGGTCGGGGCGCCTCTCACCTCTGCTCCCGACAGGACCCGGCCACCCCCGGGGCCCGCCCACACCGCCCACACCGCCCAGCGTTTCTAAGGTTCTTTCACAAGGGACAGATGTGGCCACACTGGCTGGGTTCTAGTCACATGGGGACGTCTGTCCTCCCTGCCTCCCCCCGGTGCCCTTGGGCGACCCATGTGGAGAAGCCTCGTGCTCCAGACACGGGAGCAAAGACTCAGGTTTCCCGCAGCAGGCGCCCTGTTCATGGAAGCGCCCGCAGGCGCATGGCCTTGGTGACCCCAAGGCACAGCCAGGGCGGTACAGGGGCCTCACCTCTTCTCGGCCGGCTTCACGCCCACGGACAGTGAGGCCATGGCTGTGACAGTCTCAGCTTCTTCGTTCTCGCACTTCTGGGCCTCGACCAGCGAGTAGGCCGCCGTGGAGGACAGACGCTGCAGGGAGCGCCAGTACTGACCTGGGCGAGGGACACGCTCGGTTACTGGACACCACCGCCCGAGGGGTGGCCGCCAGTGGGGGCCGCTCTATGACTCCGGGAAGGCTGCTGCCCGGGGCTGAGGCGTGTCCCGCCCGGACTCCCAAGATGACAAGGGTGTCTTTATGGGGCCTGAGTGTGCGGGGACGTGCAGGGCAGGCTGGGCACGGCCCGGTCAGCCTCAGTGTTCCCTCGTGCTCAGGGGCTTCTCACCGTAAAGGTGGGTGGGAGGAACCCAACCCGCGCAGGAGAACGCAGGGGGCGCACCCCCAGCTTTCCGCCCACCCACATGGACAGTCTCAAGGACATGGGACAAACTGAGCTTTGTGACAAGGACGGGGCGTTGCCAGCGCTTCTGAGACGAGGAGTCACCTGGCTGTGTCAGCCCCCTTGGCCTCCAGGACCTGCTGCTCGAGGGGCAATACTAGGAAATGGGGCCCTGCACCTCCCAGCTGAGAGCCTGGACCAGGCGACTTACTGTGGATTTCAATGACCTTCTCCACGGACCGTACGGCGTTCGCATTGGGTCTCTGCTGTAAAACCTTTTCTGGGAGAGGATCAAGCTGGAAAACAACACGTAAATGCGGTGAGTATCCGATGAGCAGAAAACCCCACGCACATTACACGGGACAGCCCCCGTCAGCGTCTTTCCTGAGCGTGCTCGCTAACAGAGAAGAAGAGTAACGTTAAAAAGCCAAATGTGGCTCTGGTATTTATGACACAAATTTATACAAAGTAAGTTTATTTTCTTTGGGGTGTTCTTCTTAGGAGACAACCAGGTTTATTTAGGGGTTCCTACATGAGGAGGACCGCCGGGGTCCGGGAGAGGCAGGGCGTAAGAGGACGCCACCTGCCCCCATGACTTAAGCCACAGCGTAAGGCGAGGGCAATCGTGATCGCTTTATGAAAATATCACAGAATTACTTTTTGATCTCGTAAGTAAGAACGCTGACTATGCCCCGGTCACGGGCTTTTTCTGCTCACGGGGAAAAGCTACGCAGGAGGAAGGGAGGCAGTCTCTCCGGGAAGGAGGGCCCTTTGCTCCCGCTGTTTCCAGGAGCGCATCATGAAAACACAACAGTTAACAAACTTTAAATGACTGGACAAGCCTACACACCCGGGGAAGGTCTGCTGGGTTCCGGCGGAAGCTGGCACCCACCTAGGGAGGTCAGGTGTCCTTGGGACAGGCCTGGGCCCGACGACCACCGACCGCGTCAGGCCGAGCCAGGGAGAGCAGGCACATAGACCCCGTGTGCAGTGGACACGCGTGTAAGAACACGCGTCGGGGGCTTAGCCTTGGCTCTGGGCAGAAGGGGGGAACAGTCACCCTGGCTCTAAGCACTGCGAGTGGACAGCCACAGTTTGCAGTGACCAGGCTCTGTGACGGCTCAACGACTGGCCTTCGTCTTGTGAGGCACACGTCCCCCAGCCAGGCCACCAGTTAGCACAGCCAGCTCGGTTCAAGCCGCATGTACCCCCAGTGAAAACATCAGAAAGCACAGAAGCCAGTCAGCATGAAGCTGAGTCGGGAGCAGCACAAGCTTGTGACACCAGCCTCCACCAAAAGGGGGAGCGGCAACTTCGCAGTGGGACGCTGACAAACACACCGTGACCGGGTGCTCACGGTTAACTCAGCCCGTAAGCCACGAGGACAGACGCTTCGCCCCGGACAGGAGGTGTGCGGGAGGGCGCCTGACCCCCCAAATCCCTCACCCCAGTCCAATCACGAGGGGCAAATCGGACAAACATATGAGTAAATGGAGGGCATTCTACAAGGTCCCTGAGCAGGGCTCCTCAGAACTGCCGCAGTCGTGAAAGCAGTGACAGGCCGGGGAGCTGGGCAGCCCGAGGAGACGTGATGGCTAGAGCACCATGGGTCCCGCGGGGGACCCTGAAACAGAAGCAGGGCGACCGCGGGATAGCGGGGGACTCGCCACACAGTTCTGGAGTTTAGTGAGTGGCAATGAGCCAGGCTTGGCTCCTAGGCTGTGACAAATGTCCCACACCGAGGAAGGACGGTGATGACAGAGGAAACGGGGGGACACAGGATGCACAGGCCAGCTTGCTACTTCTCAACAAATCTAAAGTGGCCCCAGAGTAAGTGTATTCCGGTCCTCAAAGGCTGCAGTTACTAAAATGATCAGTTTTAAACTATAAGAAAGCACGTTTAGCATTATTAATAATCAAAGATATTAACGTGCGATGAAAGACTGGAAGTTACTGACACTGAACTGGCAGATTTGAAAGGCAGCCAAGTAACAGGTTTAGAAGTGAAAACATTAGCAGCAGGAATTTGAAACTCAGTGAGAGCCGCTCGAGAAACTGGGAACCTGGAAGCAGCCACGGAAGAAACGACCCCACAGGCGGCCCGGGGCGCGGCCAGACGATGTGTCTCATCGACTCAACGTCCCCCAAGAGCGCGGGGGTGTTATTATAGGGGGTTTCCAGGACTGGTCGGTGCATCAGCCCTCAGTTCAGGAAGGGGACGAGGCCCAGGCAGGAAGGATTAAAAAAGAAATCCACATCGAGGCACATGAGAAGGACACCGCAGAAATTCTAAGAGCAGCTGGAGGAAACAGACCACCTGCAAGGAGCAGCAGCCAGACAGACAGCCACCCTTCAGCAAAGCAGGCAGGACAGGGCGTGGCAGCTCCAGGGTGGAGGGAGAGGAGCTGTCAGCCCAGCACCAGGCGCCCGCACCTACCAAGCGAGAACGAGGGCAAAACAAAGGCGTTTTAGAACAGGAGAGCCTGTGGCCGTGCTGGAGGCAGACTGAAGCCAGTCCCAGAGGAGGTCTGAGGAATGAGATGGGACGACGAGCAAAGACGACGGCGTGAACGCGGGAAAGGCCACATAAACGGGCGACGCGACGACACGACGCCGGCTGGTCAGTGAAGGGAAAGGAAAGCCAGGAGGTGGGCGTGCACACTGGGGTCTCGCACAGGCTGGGGGCGCAGGCGGCCACGCACACCAGGCGCGGCACAGTGTCCGACAAGCACGTCAGGTTCCAGGAGTGTGTCCGCCTGGGTTTCACCTGTGACCCCAACTGATTGCTGAGCCAGGCGGTGGTGCTGAGGGGACACTCATACCTGCTTTATAAGGGGGCTGGAGGGTCAGCTGTCACCATTCGTCCTGCAGCCACAGCGATGATGGCGCCTGGGCAAGAAGGCCTGTGTGCAGGCTCAGACCCTTCACCTTCGGGGCCGGGGGAGGCGGTGGTGGTGCGGGGGAGGGGGGCCAGGAGGCCCACCTTCAAGGACGGAGGAGACAGGAGGGACTCTCTGCCCGAAACCCGGCACACAGCACAGGGACCCTCGCACCCCACGAGGGCCTGCACGTAGCTGGGACCACGGTCACTGCTGGCCAGAGGGGGGGCCCCACCTGCGCCTGTCAATGCGTGCGCATGTGCGTGAGGGGTGATGGCTGACTAGAAGTGGACCGCAGGCTCCCAGGCTGAGTCGGTTCCCTGTCTCTGAGCCCATCTCTCCCACACGGCTGGCTTTGGTCACTTAGAGCTGTGGCATCCGTGCCTTTCACAAAGTACGGAAACATGACAAGGACTGCGATTCCCCACGAAGCCCCTTTCTCCCAACACCACAGCTCCGCCCGCTCCACTGCACCTCCCCCACTGGAGCCGCGTTCAATGGCATGGTGGCACGTAACCCTCAGGGGCCACATGATTAAATAGAAAATTGGCCCAAACAAAAGCCTTTGGGATGACACGGGACATGAGCAGCGACCGTCCCCAGCTGCCCAGGAGGCCCTCTGTGCCGGGAGCCAGACCGGCTCACTCGGTGCCCAACCCACTGGGCTCCCCGCACCTCCGTCTACACCGCCTGTCCCTGCAGTGCGTCTCAGTGGCTTTTCTCTGCGAACCGTCACCAGTAGTTGCAAATAACAAAGCGCTGAGACTGTTCCATGAAATGGCTCTTGGGAGCAGGCGGACCTCAGATGCTCAGCCTTGCTGCTTCCGCCTTCGCCGCCCACCCCCCGGCCCCCCCATCGCTCCAGGCAGCAGCGCCGGCCACAGCTGGCCGCCCGTGTGTGCGTGTCACATCGCCCAGCACGCCGTATATCAACCCTCATCAAAAGGCCGTGCACGGGGCAGAGCAGCGGGGCTCCGTCCAACTTTCTTGCATTAAAAAGATTTTTAAGAGACCTTGATAAAACTGGTGCTTCCTGCTTTTTGATGTTTAAGTAAAAGAACGCTTTCTTGTTAGAAGAGCAAACACATCAGGAAGCTCAGTTCTCTATGGGTGTTTTAAAATAACCAGCTAGAAGAACCAGGAAGCTTTAGGACCGTCTGGGATATATAAATCAGTTGCCTTTTAACGCTCACAAAAAAGGGAGGAAAAAAGGCTGTTCCGCGTGACGGAAGCACAGGTGAAACGCGGCCGACACTTGAAAAGCACACTGGTGCTTCATTCAGGCAGATCGCTAACCAGACGAGGCGAGCAGACATGAGCGATGCCACCAGGACCTTCCAACTATTTGTGACTTAGATTCAAATGAACACCATCCACGCCGAGCAAAGGCTGTCAGGGGAAACAGCCATCCCAGGTGTCCGCCCCACCCCAGCCCGCTGCCCACACCCCCATCGCCGGCCAGTGGCCCTGACCGGTGGCCGGGAGCACAAGCCTGGGGCTCTGGGGCGCCGTGGGGCAGGGGTTAAAAGTCCTCCCTGGGAGCCGGACCACGGACTCTCACGGCTGGTCCCACTCTCCCCCCAAGCCCTGGGCGCCACCGTCAGACTGCTGCCCCAGGAGGCGTGTGCGGGGTGTCACTGGCCCCACTGCTGCCCCAGGACTGTGCTCACTGGGGCCCTGCCCTCGGCGTGGCCCCCAGAGTGGGACAGACACACCATGGCTTTCCTCCCCGGGTGCTACACTCTCCAGTCACCCGGCCCTCCCCCCTCATCAGGCCGTCTCACACGGAGGACACACTGAAACGGAGCTCAGGGATGAGGGAACTTACGAGAATGCCACACGTGAGACGGGCCTCGCGCTCGGGAACTGGCTGAAACCCTCTCAACACTGCCCTCGCCTGGGGATTCTGGGCCGTTCGGCCTCTGCATCTCCCCAGCAGGACGCCAGCACCCCGACCTGCATCCCTGAGCGTGTCCTCGGCCTCCCCGAAACCGGTCCTCACAGCTGCCCCGCTCTCCTACCCGCTTCTTCTGGACTAGATGTCGGGACCTCCCTGAGGGACCTGCAGATCCAAGGACCCACATGTCCGTCCCCGCCACGTGTGGTCAGGGCTGCATTTCTGGTGTGGCCTGTTCCTCCTGAGCTGTGTCTTCTGGCCTCAGGTCAGGGCCTCCTTCAATGCTTGGGGACCAGCAGGCAGCGAGTGTGGGGGCCACACCACCTGACTAGACACCGATGCAGCCCCGACCTCACTGAAGCCCCACTTTGTCTGATGGGGGAGGGGAGGCGAGCCCCAGGGGATGGCATGAGAGCAGAGCTCGTGCGCCCCCCAGGGGCCCCAAGCCCCTCACAAGGCTGCCCTGCACCCAGTGTGCTAAGCCTGTGGTCCAGGGCACTCCGCCACACCCCAAAAGGCCAGCTGGCTGTTTCTAGAGTCCAGGTGTAGCGCCACAGCAACAGCAGAGAGCCTGCTGAGTGGGGATCGGAACCCTCACGACAGGCACGTGGCCCCACAGCCAAAGGCCTGCGGTGGGTTTGAAGTTTTGGGAAGACCACATTTCGAAATTCAAAACGGAAGCTTACACATCAGTTCTATGCTGGGAACTTCGGATGCTCAGCGGGCTGCCTGCCATACCGCCTCTGACAACATCGCCCCTGTCACCGTCCCGTCCGCCCACAGCGGGGCAGCTCTCCCCATCTGGGTACCAGCAAGAGGGAGCAGCCCCGGCCCGATGTCACGGGGGACGGAACTCGCAGTGTCTCTCACCTTGAACCCTCATGAGTTCCCTCCCTGGTCCAGATCCCTGAGCCTCCACCGCATCTCCCTGACTTTGTCCTGTGGCTTCGGTGGGGACACAGTGCAGAACCAGCCCTGGTGTCACTTGTGGGCTCAGCCTCCGAGACCCACACAGTGCCCCCCCTGCAGGAACCTGCCTTAGAACGTCCCGGGGACCTGACCATCCGTGAAGGTGGGAACTGGGGGAGGAAACATCCCCCACGTGACCCACACATAAAGGTGAGCACCTTCCTCACACAGGGTCCTGAGCCCTCCTTGCAAGAGAAAGGGGCCCCAACAATCTTTCACTCCCCTCCTTCCGGCCGTAATCAGATAGCTTTGTCAGAGGTGCAGCAGCCCGCTGAGTGGGGCGGTGGGGGCACGTCAGACACAGGGCTGCCGGGGAGCCCACACAGGCCGGGCCCCGCCCGCGCAGGGTGGCCGCGGGCCTCCAGGTCCTACCTCGTCTCCCAGCAAAGCAGAAACACATGCTTCTGAGGCGTCGCAAATGGCCGTGAGGTCGTGGCCGCCCTCCAGGGCCAGAACAATCCGTCCGCCTGCCAAGCCCATCAGCTGCTTCGTCAGGTACCCGAAACCTGCAACGGGAAACGGGAGATGCAAGTGCAGGGCAGGGGCGGGCGTGGGGCGACGCCTGGCAGCCGATCAAAGCAGCCAGAAACGCATCCCATCACATTACAGGCCCGGGGGGCTGGCACGCCGAGGCACATAATCGAAGCCAGGCTCGGCGGCAGTAACTCACGGAGTTTCGGTCTGGGGGTCTTTTTGATCTGTGTGAGAGTAGGAATTACGGTTTCGGTGCTTTCATTTTGTAATGCTGCAAATCATCTCATTTGGGGGGTGGGCAGAGCTGGGCAGCAGCCCCCAGCGCTCTCATGCAGGACCAGAGGCCGGGGCGGGAGGGCCGGGGCAGGGCAGTCATCGGCGGCCGCCAGGGCACGACCGCGTCCATCCCAGAGGCCCAGGGCTGCTGGTCAGCGGTTGTGCCGGGCGCGTGCACGCACGCAGGCACACATTCAGGCACACACCAACGCCATGTGCGCCCCTCCAGGACTCGGACAGTCGCGTCTGGGGCGTCTGGCTTTCATCAGTAGCCACGGTCCCTCCGCGGCACCCACATCACCCTTCCGCTGGCACAAAACGCCTGATGGGTAATGATAATTACCACCCTTGGCCAGAACAGCCTGACGTCTATTAGAGAGCTGGTGAAACCCTGGCCACACAGATCAGCGGCCCCAGCCCAGGCTGGCCGTCAGCAGATGGGCCCCTTGCCAGGTGCTGCGCCCTGGCAGCTGTGGGCACTGCCAGGCTGGGACTTCCCGAAGCCTGGTGTTGTCAGTCTGAGGGGTACAGGGACGGCGGCTTCCAGGCTGCCATGAGGACTAAAGGAAGCGCAGAACGTGGAGGCAGCCTGGCCAGGCGCTGAGGGGCGCTGGGCATGGCACATGCCCTACCCTCTGCCTGGGCACCTCCTCGGCCACTAGGCCCACGGCCCGGGGGCAGGTGGGTATGAGGCCTCGTGCCGGAGCACAGACGCCCAGGGCTGCGCTTTCCTCTCTGGGGACCCCCCCCTCTCCCTGTGGAAGGGCAGGGACAGGCTCTCCTTGGCTATCTGCGCCCAAAGGGTCAGCACGAGGGGACCCCAGGGCCTTGTCTAAGAGACAGGAGAGTCCCAGGCGCCTCGACTGCCATGACCCGCCGAGCGCTGGGCAGGAGTGGGGGCCTCCAGGGACTTTCTGTGGACCCAGGCATCCACGCCAGGTCTCTGGTTTCCTTATGATTGGCTGTGACACGGCAGAAGAAAAGCCACCGGCCCCGTGGGCAGAACCATTTCAGTCACTGCCGCTCCTGGAGGAAAAGCAGGGCCGCTGGCTACGCCAGCACCCGATGTGGGCACATAATCCGGGTCTGTCTCCCTCCTCCCCTCCGACTCGGAGGAAAACCTGCTCTCGGCTCTTTCCGCTCCAAGGGTCTTAGGTCTGTTCCTCCCCCTGAACACGGGGCGACAGCAGGGACGAGAGGAGTCGGCAGGACAGCATCAGCTCCCAGCAGGGCCGGGAGCCCGGCCCGAGGTGACCGGCTGAGCACGAGCACGGCCTCCAGGGTGGGGGGCGCCTGAGGCCTGCTGCCCACCCTTGTTCTTGGGGCTGCCAGCACTGCCTTTGGGGAGACGTAAAAAGGCACGTTTCCTTCTGTGGTCACTAGAGAGGAGGCCCGAGATGCAGGGCACAGCTGACCATGAAGCAGCGAGGTCCCGGTGTGTCCCCGCGCGCCGCGCGAGCCCGACTTACATTTGGCGGAGAGGTTGTAGCCGCCCAGCGGCGTGGGGTGGCCCTCCACGGCGTCAAAGCCTGACGACACCAGCACCACATCCGGGCCAAACTCGTTTGCAATCGGCATGACGACCATTCTGAAAGGGCAGGATAGGGCGACACGGGTCAGCCAAGGACACAGCTGCGGAGGAGGGCTGCACGGCCACTGGGTCGGGGGGCCGACGGCTGTGCACGGGAGCTTGGATCTGCGGCTCACACTTAGTTAGGTGTGACAGTGGCTCATGTCATGGTTTCTGAAAAGTCCAAACCAGCGAGCCCCGGCATGAACGCTGCCTTCGGCGTGTTCTGGAGATGGTCTGTAACCTCCATGGCACCACTTGGGGGGGCAGGGGCGGTGGAGCCTGCTGCCAGGGCTGCTAACGGTCCTCCCCAAGGTGGGGACGGCTCTACTCACTTTACTCTGCCCCCAGTCACCGCCCCCAGGCTGGGCCCACAGCTGTGTGTGGCTGAGGAGAGGGAGAGCCAGCCCAGGGCTGGAGGGAGCCTGTCTGGGCCCCACCAGCTCCCAAGGGCCACAACGTCAGCAGCAGATGACAGGATGACCCACACGCACTCGTGCAATGGTGCCGCATCGGGTTCAGTAAAAAGAAACTTTACACTTGGATCTTTAGAGGAAAACTGATGATCAAATTTAAGAGAATTGATAGGTCAAAAATATAAACACCCACTAAGAGGTTCAGGGGGTCAGTTATATCCGAGAAACATGGCAAAGTCAGCTTGAAAAGGAAAGAAACAGCACAGAACCACCAGCTGGGCTAGTGAAGCCCCGCACGGCACTGTCTGGGGTCGCTGGGTGGCAGCGGACGACGGTGCCAACGGGGGGCTAATGGAAGTGTGGAATGGCGAGGCCGAGCTGTGACAGTGCAGGTGGGTGGGCTGAATGCATTTCGACGTGAGGTACTTGCACCTCATGGTGGGTTTACTGGGGTGCAACACCCTAAGCCGGGGGGCATCTGGAACTGATGCAAAAGTTGGCTCCAACTTCTGGAAAGAAATGTCGTTTGGACTCGTCCTCCCATCAGGGCCCCACACAAAGCCCACCAAAGTCACAGTCAACGTGCCTTGGGCCCACACTGAGGCTGGCCGCTGCCGTCCAGGGGGCTGAGGCCGTGGGGCAGCACACAGGCCTAAGGCAGCCGGGCCGACATGCCACCTCGCGCCTGCGCCTCTGCCCTGCCATGTGCCCCAGAGGCGTTATCCACACTAACTGGCCCGGGAACCCCTCCTTTCGTGAGGTGCCGGGGACCCACCTGGCCGGGCTGCCTGCTTTTCCCGCCTCCTTTCCTTGCACTGCGTGTTCCGTACACCTGCAGCTAAATGTCTGCGGCTGGGGGAGCTCCTGTGAGCTGGGGCCGCCGGGCAGATGGACAACGGGGCTGAACGCACAGACCAGGGTTTAGAGGAGCTTGCTGCCCCGCAGGCCTGATGGCAGTTTCAACTGTCGGAGTGTTTGGATGGTTAGAAATTTCCTTGAATGCCGTGCGTGTTCTTGCTGGGGAGTCTGGGGTCACAGTGCACCTGCATGTGGGCGTGGCCTGAACACCACAGCAGCTGTGGCTTCAGACCTCTGGGCTCCCATCTTTTGAGAGCCACCAAGAGCCATCGTTTCCACCAGTCACATGGCCAGTGGCTGGAGCAGCTGTGCATCAAGTCCTTGAACTCTGCTGAGTCAGATAAAAATGATGTGAATCCAACTGCTCTGGCCGGGCTGCCACTGGCGGTGAGGCCGCAGCTGTCACCTGCTCCCGCCCACCTGCAGGCTCTGGGGCCAACAGAGGTGCCCGGCTGCCAGGGCACAGCGGGCACGGGCCCAGTCTGAACCCCCCCCACATGGAAAGGAGACCAGGCCCTGCTCTCTCCCACCAGCCCCCCCAGGCCCCTCCACACTGTACCCCGCAGCCCCGTCCTGAGTGGCCTGACTGCTTGCAGGGTCTTTGCGCTTTGCCCTCAGAGAACGCGCCCTGCTGAGAGATGTCCCTGCCTCTCCCCCGGCAGCCTCTCCTTGGAGGGGGACGGGGAGTCTTGTCCCTGGAGCCCTGCTACCTCCCACAGCAACGCACTCTCGCCCGTCCCCTCCCGGCCTGTCTCACTGTCGCCTCCAGAGGGTGTGGCACCCGGCTCTGCCTGCGTCTCCACACGCCACCTGTCATCACCAAGGGAGGCCTCGGCCCGTTCACTGTCCCTCCCGTCCGTCCCCATGGCCCCACTGCCATTGTCCTCGATGCCACCTCCGCTGCCGGGCCGTTGTGCTGCAGCAAGCTGACCGGCCTGGGCCCCGTCTTCTCCTGGGTCCCGGCCTTGCTCTCGGCAGGCTCCTGGCTCCCGCTGGGCACTCACCCCGAGCCTGTGTCTCCCGCCAGTCCCTGTCCCCCCACTTCCTGCTCTCCTCACCCAGGTCCTCCGAAGAGCTGCGTGCTTGCTGTCTCTCGTCCCCCCATTCCATTCCCTCCCGAGCCCAGAACATTCTGCCCTAAACTCTACTGACTGTCTTCCCCGAGTCACCAGTGGCCCCCCACTGCCAAATCAGAGGGACAGCTGGCAGCTTTTTCCTGAAAACCCGCTAAAGCACGAGTGTCCCTAGAGGAATCATTGTCTAACCCAACCCCCACCCCTTCCACCAGCAACTTGAGACCTCATGGGACTCCCTTCCCACTGTCCATTTCATGTCCCTGAGACGGCCCCTCCCACCCCACTCCCCACCTGGCCGGGCTGTCATCCTGCCTTCCTGGACTCGTCCACCAGGCAGCGCCACCCACCCTGTGCTGGAACCATGTCCATCACCAAGCTGCCCCAAGACGGCCGCGCAACATGCAGACTAGACCCACTCGAGGGCAGGGTCTGGGTCAAGCTCCCTGAGGCGGCCCCCCACACAGGAAGCCCCCCCCCGCCACAGGAGGCCCCCCACATAGGAGGCCCCCCACACAGGCGGGCTGGTACCTGCAGGCCAACTCCTGGTGGCCGCCCTGCTCCCGACACCGAGGATGCTCAGTGCGGCCGCATTTGTCCAGGACTTGCCAAGTGGGCAGGGGGCACGCACTCTGCCATCACACACTCGTCTCAGTGGCTGCAAACGCCTGCTGGGGCCCTGCCGTCCCCATCTGAGCCACCTCGGAGGGAAGGTCCAAGGAAGCCCGGCTGAACTTGGCATCGCTCAACTCTGAGTTTCTAGCTTATGTTTTTGCTTCTAAAATCACCGCAGACTATCCTCAGACCAACTTCTCCATAGGAAGAGATGTGGGGATCCTTAGAGACACACAGTCTGTAAACAGGGCCCGACGATTTAGATCCAAAACCTCCAGAACGGTGAGTGCCAGACCCTCAGACACAACCTCCACGGAACAGACCACACTGTGAAGGCTGCGAGCGCCACGTGTTAGGGACGTCAGGACACAACAGTTACAAAGGCAAATCCTCCTCATGACAAAAGTCAGAAGAGCCTCAGCTTCCATCGGGCCTGGAGATTGGGGAGGGGGACACATCTGCCCAGCCGCTCAACGTCAGGGGGCGCTCAATCCTTGGGGAGACTCGAGCCACCACGTCAGGACACCAGGCTCGCTGGCATCTTTGATAAGCTGTGCATCACAGTGGAATCCAAATCACAATTTCAAAGCACAAATAACCCCAATTTTATTTCCTTACTGCTGGAAGGTGGACCCACTCGGTCGCCAGCCGCAGGTAAGCGAGGGGTTAAGAAAAGGGCACCACCGTCTCCTCCTGCAGACCCTCAGCTGGGCTCAGCACACTTCAAAGCCCCCTGCACCGTGCTGGTTTGAATTAAGCCCCTTTGCTCCCACCAGTCCTCCAGGCCAGGAGAAAGTGCCACCACTCCTGGATTTCATTAGGGGCAATTTTCTTATCTCGTCTTCATCTTAGGCTTGATCTCCTGAATGCAACGTGGCAGGCAGCACGTCTGAGTCACAAGGTGCTCCCTCTAAGCTGCACTGCCCCGGGGGCCCCACAGGGGGGGAGCACAGAAGAAAGGGGAAAACGGATCCTGACCCCTCTTTCCCCCTCCGATCGATGCCCAGGGAACCATAAATTGTAAACTTCAAAGTGCTATTTTACATTAAAATCAATAAAAAAAAACCCTGAAACAATTTTCCTTTTCAAAGAAGCTATTTAAGCTTTAAAAGCTCATTTGATAAGGTATCATCATGTAGGCACTTGGCAGGAGATTAAAACAGAGCGTCAGCAGCAACTCGGAGGAAAAGGTTCACCTCAGAAATGGGCCCAAGGTGGGGGGGGGGACAGCATCCAGGGCCCCCGACCTGGCGCCCCACGGGGTGCCTGGCTAATTCACCCCAGGAACAGAGCGCCTGGGGCACCGAGACTCCATGAGGGCCAAGCCTGTCAAAACCCGGCCCCAAAAAATGATTGAAAAGAGAGAACGACCCATTTCTACCACTTCAAAACTTCGTTTAAGGAAACCTCTGCCTTCTCTGCCTACAACAGAACTGGCCACGTGGGGTCCTCGGTCCCCGGACGGCACCGACACTCACTGGGCCACGTTCATGCCGCTCACGGTGGCATATGGCCACTTTCTTTCCAGAGGAGCCCCCAAGAGGGGCGGTTCTCAGGTGGAAGGTGACAAAGTGATGCTGAGTGGCTGTTTCACACACAGGCAGGGACACCCCAGGTGGGGACACTGCTCAGGCTCAGCCTTCACAAAGCTGATGTTTCACCATGTACACCAGCAACTTTTCAGGTGCTGTGCTTGTTTTGGGGAGTCCTTCTCCCCTAAATTAGGCACAGCAATTATCAAAATTCCATTCTACCTGATTGAGAAGAAACATCGAAATTAAACAAGGGAGAATACAGGGAAAAGTGACTTGGGTGACAATCAGGGGAGCCCTCTAAGGAGGCGACTAACTCCTGTTTCCACAAACCGGTTTCAATGTTCGAGCCGCTGACCTAAGGCCTTTACGTGGCCAGAGCCCGACAAGCACTGTGACGTGGGACTAGGACCCCGTTTTGACACCATTGGGCAGATATGCGTGGGGTCACATGACCTGTGCAGGGTCTCAGCAGAGCTCGAGGCAGAATCCGCAGCCAAACCTTTACAGGTGTGTCCTTCTGTGGAATCTCGCCCTCCACAGACACACGTGTGCACACTCACCTGTGCAGATGTGCCTGCGCGCGCGCGCACACACACACACCTGCACGCAGGCGCTGTTTAGATAAAGGACAAGGGCACGCCCCAGAGAGGTGGACAGGCAGTCGCTGGGGACGTCAGGGCTCTAACGCCTGGTGTTTTCTGACAAACGCTGAGAGTCGGGCAGGTTTCCCCGCGAGGGCCCAGGCCCCGCCCTGGAGCCGCAGGTCCCGCCAGGGCGGGAGGAAGCCGCGCTTAGAGCAAGGACGACGCCTGCGCTGTGAGCATCCAGCTTTGGTGGCAGGAATTACTTCAGTCTGGCCCAGATCAAACAAGAAACCACCATTTGATGACAAAAGCAAACACTGAATGAAAACCACCACCCTGCAGCTATAGTCCAAGGCCAGAGCAAGTCAAAGGAGGTGGGATGGCTGCGCGAGTCCCTCTGCTTCACTGGTGTTTCTGCTTCCTGGCCGGCACACAAGCGCAGCTGGACGCAGGGGGCGGCCGCACCTTTTGGGTCTGAGCGCCCACCTGGAGTTAACGGAGCACTCCTGACACCCTGCAGGGACTGCTGCCTCGTCTCTGTCGCCTTCTTACCACCCGGACCCAAAGCGGCCTGCTGTCCCCACGTAATGCCCACACGGGGGCACCGCAGGCAGAGGTCAGAACACAGCCTCATGGTTCCACTGTCCCCTTGAAGAGGGACTGAGGCAGCTGCCGGGGCCTAGGGCGCTGGGCCTCCAAATGCAGTGACAGAAACGTCCATCTCAGTAGGGGGCTCGCCGAGGACGCTGGGGGAGCCTCCCCGACATGGGTCTGGTGTGTTCATGAAGGTAGATGGGGGTCAAAGAGGACCAGTCAGAGCAAACGTGAGCTGGGGACACCGGAGCGGATTTCCCGGGATTCCTAACTGCCCGGTGGGACAGGAAGCCGGGGCGCTTACCTGAAGGCTGCCAAGTACTCAGCGTCTCCCATGGGGGGGTCGAGGCCACCGGTGAAAGCCATGTTCACGTTGAAGCCCACGCCCGGCCCTGTGCCCACCTGTGTGGAGGAGACAAACACGTCACACACCCTGGGCTGGGGTCTCTCTGATCACAACGCCTGACCCGGTGGCATGGGCAGGGACTCTGATTTGGTGGCCCTGCCCCCTGCTAGCGTGCCTCTGGCCCCCACAGCCCCTGAGGCGCTAACTTCAACAGTGGAGCATCTACAGAGAATGCGGGCTAGTCCCGCTGGCCTGCGGGGCCGCCGTTCCCGGCCCAGCAGCGCCTGAGGGTGGGCGGCTCCGGGCTGAGCGCCAGGCACCAGCAGAGGGCAACCCGGAAATGTCTGCAGATGAGGCCGCCCTTTCCAGCCTCCTTCCAGGGAGCACGAACCGCCTTTTCCTGGGTGGGGTCCCCAGTGTCGGGGTGCCTGTGTTCACAGTGGGCGGGGCTCTGCCAGGGGACCGGAGATCACCAAGGCTCTAAGCCTGCTGCTCCTGGCACCACAGGTGAGGGCGGGACAGGGACCTGCCCACCGGCCTGGACAAGAGGTGCGACCTGCCCCAGAAACCTCTCCTGGAGGAGGGCGGGCACCCAGGCCGACTCGCTCACCAACTCCCTGTCTACCCAGCTCAGGGCCGGAGATGAACGCCCGTCTCACGTTTGTTCTTCAGACAAAATCAGGCTGCTGCGCACACACGAGCTGGAACTCAGGCTGACGTCTGCCTGAGATCACCTGGGGCGCCAGTGAGCAGGGTGCCCTCGCTTCTGCCTGTGCGCGTGTCCCCCAACTGCCTCGTCACCACGGGAGCGGCCCAGCCCTCACCTCCTCCAGAGTCCCACACCCCGCCTACCTCGTCAGGCGCCCCGCTGCCCGGGAAGAAGTTCCCGTCGTCATAGCGGTGCAGCGAGATGTACAGGACGCTTGGGTCGCTGTAGAAGGCCTGCTGGGTCCCGTTTCCGTGGTGCACATCCTGGGAGAGCAGGGACAGTCGAGTCAGCACTGGAGGTGCCAGAACGTCCCCAGGCTCACAGCCACTGAGCACCTAGCCCGGCCGGCAGTCGGCACGGGGACACCCTCTCCCCAAGGGATCGGAGGGAGGCAGCTCGTGCGTGAGGGCCACCGCCTGGGCGCCACTGCAGCGTCAGTCACCCGGGACACCAGGGACTGCTTAGGAAGCCTTTCTTGTTTATAAACGTGACTGTGCTCATTAGATACAATGTGGACAGGCCGCTGTGAACAGGAGCCGTAAGAACCAAACGCGGTCCCACCAACTAGAGAGCCATGGTGCCACGGTGTGCGCCCCGTGTCCTGTTTGTGACAGCACACGCGTTGGAGGCCGTGCCCTGAAGGCTCCAGGTGCTGCAGACTCGCCCGCGTGGTAGACGGGATGCTCAGCGATTACGTTCAGCGGTGTGATTCACTGCACGACCCGTGTCGCCTCACCGGCACTGAGTTACCCCCTTAGGAGGAGTGAGTGGGGCTCGGCGGGCACGGCGCTGGGCACGCTGCTGCCAGGACCTCGCAGCTCTCCTGAGCCCCCTGACGTCTGCCTGAGATCACCTGGGGCGCCGGCAGCTTGCACGGCCTCAGGTGCCTAAGGGCTCCGTGAACCCCAGGACCAGCGCCTGCGGCTGGGGTCTTGCTGAGTCTCCCGGGGTTTGTTTTGTTTTTTTCTCTTCCCAAGCTGAGAAGGACTTTGCATTACAAACGAGGCTCACACTTGATGTACCTGCTTTTTTGTTACTTAAAAAAATTATAAAATAAATCATAAATAGCAAAGAGAATCACCCCCACCCCCTCCCCGGCATATACGGCTGGAAGGAGACAGAAAACAAACGCCTCGCACAGTCGCCTCCTACAGGAACCTGGGGACCGATCTGTGGGGCTCAGATGTGACCAGAGTTTACTCTTTCGGGGCAAGGATGGTGAGAAGTGGCACCTCCCACAGGAAAATGGGGAAAGAGGCTAAACCGGCCCAAACTGGGTCACCCGGCAGGGAGGATGATCGCACAGGCACACAGGGCTGGGGGTGGGGGAGGCACCCTCTCCTCCCGGCTGTGCCCCGTGGCTCTGCTAAGGGCGCCCCTGAGCGCGGCACACCCTGAGCCTTCCAGGATGGTAGGATCGTGATGGAGGCCGGGAGGCAGGCTCGTACCAGGTCTGGGCTCTCACTCTCCACACCTGAGGTGGTTTCCAGAAAGTGAGGGCCCCAGGCCCCGTGTCTGTGGGGGCAGAGACGCTGTGTCCCCCTCTGCCCAGGACGCTGGGCGCCTGGGTCAGGGCGCCGGCTTACCCAGTCCACGATCAGCGTCTTGCTCACGTTCAGCCTCTGCTGTAGGAGCTTGGCGGCGACGGCCACGGAGTTGAAGTAGCAGAAGCCCCTGCAGGGGGAACGGAGGGGAGACACAGCCTCGGATCAGTTTTTACACAACTTCAAATGGAACCTTCCGGAATCTGTGCATCTCAGTGGGTCTGCAGAATGCAGCTTTTGGCCAAGCTGTTTGGAAACCTTAAGCAACGCTTCTCACAGACAGACAGACAGACAGACAGACAGAGTCTTCTAGACTCTTGCATGCCGACTGCAGAGCTGCCCTGGTAAGAAACCCATTCCACTTGGTGCCCGCGTCCCCCTCTTACTGGCCTCTCAGAGACCTATGAGCCACAGAAGTGACCCGTTTCAGCTGCTTCTGCCCGTCTTTCCACATCCCGAGACATACGACAATGACATGTAATCACCCCGCCGACTAACTGCAATTCTAGTCTTGTTCAAGTGCGAGAAAAGCTAAGAAAGTGACTCAAGTCCATGAAAGGCTTGTCTCCATCTGAACCTGCCTTCGCCCGAGTTTCCCCGAGCTGAGGCTGGGCTGCGGGTCTGGGAGCCCGCACGGCCGGACGCTGGGCTGAGCTGGACCGGCCGCGGCGCGTCCCACACCCGGAGAACGTCAGTGGAGAGTCCTCCACAGCCCACGGTGGTCATTCAGGTTCACTGCTCAGAATACCTAACAGCTCAGGTTCGATCTAGAAAAGCAACTTCAGGGAAACGAGGCCTGCTCCCCGCTGGGCGAGTGAGCGCTCGGGGTCTGGGGTAGCTGAAGGTTTCTCGGGGACGGCTGCCAAGACCTCACCCCAAGTCCACGCTCGGTGGTGGCGACCATTTCCTCCTGCTCGAGGTGGACCCCTGAAGCTGCTCTGATGCCCCACTTCCAGACGAGTGACAGCGGACTCCCCTGCCGACCCCCCAGCAGCCAAAGTGCTCAGTGCGCAGCTGCTGGGCCCTCCGTGTGCGTGGCTTTGCCCCAGGTGAGTCTGCACCTGTCACAGCTTCCCTGCCCATGACGCACGCCGAGGTGTGCGCAGTCAGAGAAACTCAGACCCGACCCAGAGCCCAGGCAGCTGGCCGTGCGGTCAGGACCCTGGCACGTCAGCCTCCTTACTGCCAAACCGTGAGCAGGTCGCCTAAGAGGCCACACCCAGAGACAACCCGAGGGTCATGAGCCTGAGCGACGATGTGCCGCGTGAACCGGTCCTGCTGTGACTTGTTTCCCCTCCATTTTGTTGCAGCGAACGTTAACAGGCAGAAGACAGCTCTAGACTGCCTCCTGCAGACGTCTCTACTTCATCAGCCACCACTGAAGTCGACCTGCGAGCTCTAGAGGCACGTTTCGTCCCCGTGCTCACTCGGGGGCCCCGGGGACAGCACACGCACACAGCGCACATCACAGGGGGCTGGCACCAGCAGCCCAGTTCGTCCTTTTCGCGTGAGTGCTGGCCCAGCCCTCCAAGCGTTCAGGAGCCAGCACCCCCAGGCCGAGAGCGAGCGTGCGTCTACTTACATGGGCGTGCTCTCCTCCGCGTGGTGTCCAGGAGGGCGGACCACAGCAAAGCCGTTCTACACGGGAATGAACAGGTGGGAAGAAACGGGCGAAAGATTGATGTCAGGTCAGTGAGAAAATCGTCACAGACCGAAATGCCAGCAGGTTCAGAGGACACGCGAGGACACGGTTTCACGCTGCATCCCGGGGGCACAGACGTGGGACAGAATCAAGGGCTGCGGTGAGCATTTCCGAGGCGCTGGGCCCCTTCTTTTAACGAGACCTACTCGCCATTGCAGTGACTGCCCCTGACTTTCTATCTTGACCGGCCTGCTGGCCAGGCTCTTAGCTCAGGGATCTCGAGGGGAGAGGTGGAGGCACCCCCGGTCCACCTCTGATCCGGACAGTCTCCCAGGAAGTAACCTGACCGGGACCCTGAACGCAGCTGAGACGGAAGGGGCGCGGCCACAGGGCCGACATGCCCAGTCTGGCCTTACCGGGCAGCTGTGTCCCCACTGCAGTTCGGTTCCCACAGGTGTGGGCATCAGCCCCTGGAAGAAACGTCTCCGAGGCCGGAGGGGAATGCAGCCCCACCTTCCAGTGGGATCGGAGTCACTTAGGCTTTAGAGAACCACGTGCAAGCACTCTGGCTGCTGTCATAAAAGTGGTCTCAGTGGGCATCTCGCTGCCACCAGCAACAGGAACCTGTCTGGTCAAGGTCTGTAACAGCCCCAAGGGCCAGCTGACCACCTGTGGCTGGGCTGTGGGCATGGTGAGCAGCCTGCCACAGAGACCAGCCCGGGGGACAGGGAGACAGTCCCGGGGAGCCCCGAGCTCTTCGGGGGCCTGCTGTCACCCTGAGGCTCTGTTCGCCTTCCCCACTGCGCACACACCTGCCCTGAGGGTGTGAAAGCAGTCGTGGGTGACGTGCCGGGGGCAGGAGTGAGGCGACAGCCCTGGGAAGCGTGGCTTCCACGCTTGAGGGAAGGAGGCTCCACTGTGAGTGTCCTTGATGAAGCAGTAAAACGGGTCCGTTCCATTAAATCCCTTCCGACCTCCCGTGTAAGAAACGGGAGGCAGGCCAGCACTGACCGCGGCGAGGACGGGCCCGTGCGTCACAGAGCCCATCTTCCTCGAAATGACTAACAGACAAACTGTTGTTCCAACCTGGGTACATCGAAGGCCCTTCTCAAAAATGACCAGGGACCTGTCACCTCAAGGGAAAGAACGGACAGCAGTCGCTGTCAGTGGGGCGATCGGGGCTTTCACGTGAAAATGAGAAGTCTGGGCCAATGTCTGGGCCACCGTGGGCGTCACACTCTTCCCGGCACTTAGAAGGCCTTCCAGGTGACACCGTGTGGTGACATTATGGGTCCAAAGGTCAGTGGATTTCTGGACACTGTACAACAAAATGTGTCAAGATCTGGAAGACCGACATGATGCCACGAGCGCTTACTTCCAAATCACCAGTTTACAGGAGTCACGCGTGGGGCCAGCGGGTGTCCACCTGATGGAGGACAAGCCCGCCGACACTGCTCCTGTCCCACACTGCAACTGGCCTTCCAGGGACTTCCTTCCACTTGCTAAATTTTGGTGCGGCATTGAAGGAGAACGTCCACGAGTATGTGAAAACGTTACTGAAATAACCCTCCTTTCGGGGAGCGTCCTGGGCGAGGCCAGGTTTCCTTCCTGTACTTCAGCTAAAACCGCGTGCGGCCAGAGACCAACGGGAGCAGCTCAGAGGGACCTGCCATTTGCAAATTCGTATTTTTAAAGTTCCTCAGTTTTAATCTCTAATATGGTCCACGCTGATGACCTAATTCATTCGCAAAAGTTCTTCGGTGCTTCAACAATTTTTAAGAGTGAAAAGTGCCCTGAAAAGCAGTATCTTTGAGAATCACTGCTAATATGATATTATTTATGTTTTCACAAATGTGGGAAAAGTTCCCCTGGATTCAACAGTGATGGACAGAACAGGGTCCACTCTTTACATCTGGACGGGGCCGTCCCCTCCGATGGCCACCCCTCACCTTCCAAAGGGGGACCCGCGGGGCTGTCCCCACCCTGGGGAACCTGCTGGCAGCCTTCCTCCTGGGCCTGTCTGTGCCGGGGCCTCACTGACCTTCAGCTCCCCGGTGGCGACCTTGAAGACGAGCTCCACCACGCAGCCCACGGCCAGGCGCGCCGCCCCGGACGAGTGCACCTCGTTCCAGATGGTGTCGCTGTCCACCTGTGGAGACAGCAGAGGGCAGTGAGTTCTCCGCCCGCGGGCTCTGCCCTCACACCTACAGCACAGCCTCCAGCTCTTCTCTAATTCCAGGACACACCCTAGTTTTTTTAAAGACATGCCAAAAAATACCAAACAGAAAAAGAATGCACCAAAAATAACATGCCTGAGTTTTCCCCCCTTTTGGAGGTGTCGTTTCTTTACTCAACTGACCCGATACACACGAAAGTCCGAGTAATGACGTCACAGTTACCTGGGCCACTCCCTTTTCTGACAGCGAGAGTTGAGTTACACTAACAATTAGCAAATGGACATGTTGGCAGCGTTGGGATTGGAGGTGTCTCCAGATGATGACTTTCTTTAGTGCTGAATTTAACAGGAGGAACCAGCACCAAGTGTCTGGTAAGAGGAGCCATGTGGGAACAAGGCACGGGGTGGGAGGTGGGGGGACCCGGGGACTCTGGGGACATCCCCAGGGAACGCTCACCATGCGCCCGTTGGCTGTTCCACGTCAAACAAAGAAGCCTGTGGCACAAACGTGTCAGGTCGTCTCTGCTTGGCGTTCGGGCACACCAGGTTTTTACTGAAGCCCTGGCTTGTGTGGGCGGGGGAGCTGCCACTGTACAAACACGTCTCCTAGGGGGCCAGGGGCGCCCATCGGAGCGCCAGGAGGAAGCACGCAGCCCCTGGGCGCCACTTCAAAGGCGCCCGAGCCACCATCCCAGGTGATGGGGAACTGGTGACTTGGTCACACACACTGGGGACTCGCTGGGCCCTGCTGGGGACATTCCAGTCAAGTGACAGCTCTGAGAAGCTGCACAGTAAGTGTCTGCCAAGTCTAACTGGGGACGCTCTTCCCAAGGTAACCTTCTCCGAGTGCCACCGCTCTGGGCTCTGGACACGGAGGTGACGCCACCAGACCCCTCCCAGCCCAGGTATGTCCAGGTGCACAGGCTTCTGCCCACCTGACAGACAAGGATCGTCATGTGGGGTGGGAGGGCTTATTTCAATGAAGTCTGAAGCTTCATCTTCAAAGCAAGGTGATTTAAAATACATTTACGAGGGGTCGAGCCATTTCCTGAAGAGTGTTGTTTTGTGAGAGTTATTCTTTGCAATGACCAACCTCTCTGTTCTTTAATAGTTTCCAAATGTCAAAGGAATGCCCTGTGCTCCGCCGACCCCCGCACACACCGCTGCAGCGCTGGTAACACAGCCCCGCGAGAGGCTCACTGCCAGCCGTCGGGTCCCGATCCCGCACCAGATCCTTTCTGCAGCCGCAGAACCATTTCTCTGAAGCCAAAGGTGCTGGCCCAAGTGGGAGCCAGTCGGGGATGACACCAGCTGCCTTCCAGGAGGGTGACAATGTGTGTGTGTGTGTGTGTGTGGGAGGGGGGGAGGGCGGCCCTGAAGCTGTACCCGAGGGCCAAAGGCTGTTTGGGAAAAATCACTCACATTCTCTTCAAAATGCAAAGATTTGGGTTTTAGGGCCAAGGAACTATGGAGGGAAATTGAACCGACACTCCGCATGAAGGGTCTCTGTGCTCTGCTCTCCTGCCCACTAGGGTCCTGTGACACCCTGCCCAGAGCGAGGGATAGGCCTCCAGCCCCGTGGGATCCCAGGGTGCTAATGTCCCCAGAGAGCCCAACGAGAACTTCCGCTGCTTTAGGGCCTGAGTCCTTTAGCAGCTGGCCACCAGCTCCTGGTGGACCAGCCTGAGGCGGTGGGCTTGGAGCTGAGGTCCAGCCGCCGAGGTCCAGGGAGGGAGCACGGCTTGGGCGGGGCAGCACCGCCAGGAGGCGGCCCTGCGTGGGGCAAGGCAGGAGGGCGATCACGGACACGCGAGCACGGCCCCTCCACGCCTTCCTACAGTGAAGACAGGAGGGGTGCTTCTGACACAGACCAGGGGGCGGTCACGCCTGGGTTCACCATGGGCGTGGGCACAGCGCCCAGGGCCTGCGCATGGGGGCGGGGCCAGGCGGTTCCCTGCATCTTCGTGAAGGGGAAACTGTCACCCTCAGGAGGTGAGCGGAGCACTTTATTTAGCTTGAAATGAGGTCAAACAGTTTAAAGCCTCTCTTTAACCTGGTTAAGGGAGAATGGGTGACACAACCTAAATGTTATTTAAAGTAACTTTCAGGAAAGTGGAGCCTCTCCCACTGCTTCAGGGGACCCCGGGGCTGGCCTGGTGCTGGAAGGACACCCAGGCCCAGCAGTGCTGCGGCTGCGCCGTTGACACCACACCCCGTGCCTCCGCCCTCCTGTCCGTGGGAACCACGGGGAGCACCGAGGGGACAGTGTGCAGACACCTGGGGTTCACACGTCCTGCCCTGCCCGTTATTCCCACAGGCCCGCCCCTCTGCCCAGCTCCGCGGGTGGGTCGCCAGGCTCTCCTGGATGTGAGATGGGTCGGGTGGGCCTCAGGGCTCCAGGATCTGCAGAGGGAGGGCCCACCTGGCTGCCCAGCCACACCTCCCGCTTAGCTTGCATTTGCAAATGATAAACCCTGCTGCGTGGAGCTGGCCGCAGGGCAGTGCTGGGAATCCAAAGCTTTTCAAGTCTGGCCAAAAATTTGCCCGAGTGAAGGGACTGCAAACTACGCACAATACAGAACAGGGCGGCTCGCGAGGCAGGAGAGCTCGGTGGCGGGTGAATAAATGCTGCCGATTCCCTTTCTGACGGGATAATTTTCAAAGCAGCGATTTTTGTAGATTCAGGAAGAAAACAATTTTGTTTCATTTCCATAACAGAATCCAGACCTTAGGCCTCACCCGTGATCTGTAATTACGCACACGGCCTGCGGCTGCGTGGCGTCGGCCGACGTGGCTTTGTTGTCCCGTGGTTTGTTGGACCCACGACGGCTGCAGCGTCCCCAGGCCACTGACCTCCATGGCCAGCGGTCAGCCGGGAGGGGCCCGGCCTCTCCTTCCAACTGCAGCTCTGTTCTCACGCCCCTTCCCTCGTCCGAGGGTGGGAGCGGGGAGCCCCTTCTGACTGGGATGGAGGGATCTGGCCTCCGCTGACGCCCAGCCCACCGAGTCCCCATAGGCCCGCGCCCACGCCAGGCTCAGGGGAGGCCCATGTTAGAGACGCTGGTCCCCCTACGGGTCCACCTGGCAGGATCTGCTTAGAAGCGTCGTCGCTTCTAGAGAGCAAGCACAACCCAGCTGCTAGCTTGGTGACTTCACAGGCTCCGCAGAGTCCCCTGGGTCTGGGCCTGGCCACGGGGACGGCTCAGCACACCCCCAGCGAGGGACGCGTTCACGGCCTGAGTCGGATGAGCCGACTATTCCTCCACCACCAGGGGACCAGCCGCACCCCAGGCCCCGTGTCCACAGCGAGCCGTGCATGCCAGACGCCCCTCCCCGAGGAAGGTGCCCGAGTCCAGCCATCAAACGCTTACAGGCTCACGGGCCTTTGAAGCCACACGTGTGAGTGCCGGGGCAGCCCCGCCGCCAGACCGTTTATGGAAAACACCTGGCAGCAATTACCCACTCTGCGGAGAGAGCTCTGTGACCACTGGGGCCCTGAGAACAAACAGGACATTATTTACACATTAAAGAAATACTTACCCCGACACCACCACAGGGCAGCCTGACAAACACGGACGTCAGCGAGCCTGCAGGGAGGAGAGCCAGAGTCAGAGGGCCAAGGTCACAGGGCGCCCGGCCTGCGCTGTGGCCGCCCTGGAAATGCCGTGGGGTCCTGAGGCGCTCTGGGACCTCGAAACACGACAATGTGCCCACAGTGAGGGGCAAACTGCATCACCCGTGTGGCCTGCGGAGTGCTGGCGTCTGTGAGCAGTGGGTCCTGGGGTTGCAGGGCACAGGCCCTGCAGAGCTGGCATTTGTGGCCACAGCCCTCTGGGGGTGCCGAGGCTCACAGCCCTGCCTTCAGAAGTGGCAAATGGTCCTAGGTCTCGGCCGGGGCTGGCAGTGGCCGCTCGTCCTCACAGGCGGACTGTCCTGCCACACGGGCGCACGGCGCTGGGGACGGAGGAGCGTTCTTCCCCACCATCCCAGGGACGGCGTCCGTGAATTCAGGTGTGTGTGTGTGTGTGCATGAAAGAGGGCTCTGCAGGAGACTAGGCTTTTCTATTTTTGAAATTATAGCCAATAATGTCTATGTGAAAAGCATAAATCATCTGAGTATTTTGATTCTGCTCATTACCCAGCAGGCAGAGAGCAACGTGGTAATAAAAAACTCACACAGGATAGCACGTGTTCAACCCCCACCCCGCCACCGCTGGGTGGGCAGGAGGGCATGGGGTTCTAAAGCCCTCCTGGTGACAGGCCCCGAGATGTCTGCTGCTGAGGCCCTGCTCCAGTGCGTCCCACACTGCCCTCCGCGGTTTGGGGCCACTGTCACCCAGGCAGGCCACGGACCTTCAGGCGGAGAGATGGGCAGATGCACTGAGCACCACTGTGCTTCTCCAGCCGCGTGAGCCGTGTCTGGGATGGCGATGGCCGTGGGGAACGCTGCCTTTCTCCTGCAGCGCCTACGGGGCCCACACAGCCGCGAGCACAGGGGTCTCCTGGGACCTGTCACGTCAGTGCTGCCAGGCAGTCACTCACACGGTACCCTGCAGCCCTGGCCGCACTCCTCAGCCACCAGACCAGGCTAACCCTTTCAGGTCGCCGCCATCAGAAGATGACCCCCCTCCCCCGCCCGCCCTGTGACATCCAGGAACACCCAGGGTGGTGACCGACCAGCCCGTCTCAAGCGTCTGCAGTCCACGTCAGCCCAGCCGAGCTGTGTGTCCTGCGCCATGCCAACAACACAGGTCTTCTAGCGGTGGGCTTAGACATTTGTGGATTCAGTTAAAAGGGTTAGGGGAGTCACACAGCGGTGTCTAAACACCTAACTGGGTGATGTTAACATCTGAGCTAATCGCCGACTGTTTCTGTGTCTGGGCTCCTCGGACTGATGCGTTAGGACAACCGGCAGAAATTTGCAAGCAGATCTCAAGTGGCGAGAAGGAAACTGACTAGGTATCCTCATGGTGACGTGAACAGGTTTTAAAATGCAAAGTTTAGCAGAAGAGAAAAAGGAAATGGAATGACTTATGACATCACTGATGTAAATTAAACACACACACACGTTTTGCGACAACATACTCAGCCAACAAAGTAAACACTGAACGGAGAAAGGAACGGGTTAAGGAGAGGGCGAAGCATTTCATAAAGAAACAGACGGGAGGGGGCTTCACGGGACAGCGGCAGGCCGGGTGCAGCTCCAGCACCGGGCCCACAAGGCGATCGAGGACGGGGCCACCGGCAGGAAGGCACCAGACCCCCAGCACCCACTGCTTGCTCCTCCCCGAGGACCCGAGTTCAGGACGAGCATAGAAACCGCGTCCAGCCCTGGGGTAGCCTGGAATCATCTGACACCTGTGACATGGAGTTGGTCCCCCAAGTTACTCCTGTCCTGCACCCTAAATCCTGCAGGTCTGGGAGGCTGCAGTGCAGGAGGGCTCCCGGTAGTAGGTGGGTCTGACGTGGGAGCACCAGGTGTCCGGGCAGAGCCGGCAGGGCCTTCGCCACTGCAGACAGTGGGCTGCAGTGTCCAGGGCGCGAGCCCACTGGAAGCCATTGCGACTGAGAGACCGCTCTACAGGCAACCCAGCCAATTCCCAGGGGGCGCCGGCTCCACGATGTGGCAGCACCTGGGACGTCACGGGACCCACAGGCTCGGCTCCCCCGAGGGAGACCATCCCAGGCAGCTGAGGTCCACGCTGGAAGGAGGGACGTTTTCTGGAGGATCCTGGAGACGCCGGGGACCAGGCACTCTGCCCGTCACGCTGTGCGGCTGTCTTCTGCAGGCGGCCTCCTCACTCAGCTCCTCCTGCTGAGGCCACTCACCCTCTCCCCACTGTCCCCTGTCCTTGTCCCTGAAGACTCCTTTCCGTTGGGCCCGTAGCTGGCACCCTTCCCAGTGTGCACCACTCTGCACCACAGGCCCGGCCTCCAGGCCCTCCATGAGCCACGTGTCTCCCCGGAGTCCCCGTCCCCTTCCTCGGAGCCAGCGGGCTCTGACTTCCCTGCCCTGTGCCCGAGTTCCTCTCCATGACAGCCATGGTAAGGGGGGGGGCCTGGGCACCCCAAACACTCCCTCACAGCTCAGAGACACAGCTGCCCTTTTTGGGGTGAATGGAGGAGTCACACACACGGAAAGGTCCGTATGACATATGTGTACCGTGAACATCACAGACACCCTGCAATCGAGGGGCAGAGCACCCTCGCCCGCATACTCCTCCACGGGGACCAGGAACTGCGCTTTGTTCCTGGCGAGCTGTCCCCACACTTTGCTTAGGGTTCGGCCAGGGCGAGAGGAAGCCAGAGCATCCTGGTGCGCAACACGGAGGTCCAGTGGCATCTGACTTCTTGCTGGAGACAGACCGACAGGTGGGCCGTCACCCACACTGCTCCATCCTTCTGTGCGGGGAACATGGCTGTGTCCTGGACCTGCTTTGCCAGCCTTTGGGGACTGGCCTCTGTAACGGCTGCGGCCTGAGTGTGTGTGTCCCCCAAATTCCCCTCTTGGAACCCTATGCCCACTGTGATGGTGGCAGGAGGTGGGGCCTTGGGGAGGTGACTGGGTCGCGAGGACAGAGCCCTCATGCATGGGCTCACTGCCTTGTAAGGGACTCCACCGAGACCCCGCCTGCCCTCTGCAGGGAGGACACAGCGAGAAGATGGCTGACGACTAACCGGGAAGAGGCCCTCACGGCCCGTGCTGGCACCCTGGCCTTGGACTTGCAGCTTCCAGAACTGTCAGAATGAATTCCTGCGGTTGACAAGCCCCGGGTCTGCGGTGCCCTGAGAAGGTGCTGGGGTGCCCAGGCGTCCCCTCTGACCCTCCCATCGCCTTGCCAGGGCGTGTCCTCTGGCAGCCTCGAGAGAGCACGCACGAGGGCGACGTTCCCAGGACCTTTGTGTCTGAAAACGCCTTTGTTTCACCCTTGTACTCGAAGCAGTCTGGCAGGGCAGACACGGCGGGCCGGAAGGACTCTCCCCTCGGAACGGGCGAGGCTGTGCGCGGCCACCGAGCAGCAGCGCTGACGAGACGCGGTCCCCGAGCAGCCCTGCTGTCGCCCATGCCTGCTGCCCTGAGGCCCTCCCGGGCTGCTCCCACGTGGGTCCTCCATCCCGGGGCCTGCTGGTGACGACGCACGTGGCTCTGCCCGCCTCCTGCCGCGCTCTGGAAGCTCCTGCCTCGGGCCTGCGTGCTGGGCACACACCTCCGATCCTCGCCCTGTCACGTCAGCTCTTGTCAGTCCTGCTCTGCTTCCTGGGGACTGACCGCCAGTCTTCCAGCCCAAAGGCCTGCACATCGCGACCACGTGGCCGCGTCTCTCCGCATGTTCTGAGCGGCGGCCTTTCCTACTGTACTTGTTCCCGGTCCACGGAGGCAACTGCTAACGGGCATCTGTGTTTCCTCTGCAGTTCCCTCCGCCGCTGGGGGTCTTGGGGGGCTGTTTGTAGGAGTGGGCTGCTCGGTCCCTGAAGAGGGGTCTCCTGTATCTGCCTGGGGGGTACAGGTCAGCATTCTGGGAGCCCGGCAGAGTGGTGTGGGAGGCGGGCTGGGACTCTCGCCCCGCTCTGTGTCTGACGTCCATCCCAGCCCAGGGACACTGTGCCCTTTCTGTCCAGGGCCGTGGGGAGGACAGCACAGGGACACAGCCTCTCAGACCCCTACGGCCCCGGCCCTGGTCTGAGCCCCTCCCTGCCCCTAGGTCCAGGTTCTCTGTAGTCGCCATCCTGGGCTAGCCGAGCCCGTGGTTTCTGTCCCCAGCAAGGGCTCAGGAGTCACTTGCTGACGTGTGATCTCCAGCACCGCTGTCCACCCGCTGTCCAGCCTTGAGGCTGTCAGCTCCATTTCCTGTCTCCCCAAGCGCGAGTGCTGATGTCTTTTAAAAGCCCTGCTACTACCGGGCAGTGGAGCGCGGCAGCCCCCCCAGGCCACAGCCTGTGTGTGTCTCCTCACGGCCCCACCAGCCACACCTTCTCTGAGGACACTGGCACTGCAACCCCCGCCGTGGAGCTCAGCACCTACGGGGTGTCCAGCACAGAAGATACGCATCCTGAGTGAGTGAGTGAGTGAATGAACGCGTGAGTAAGGAAATGAATGAATGCATGAATGACTGGATGAATGAATGCATGAGGGAATGACTCAGGCCGGGCTGGAGCGGGACCCCGTGCGGATCCCAGCTGCCCTGTGCAGGGCCTGGCACCATGCAGGGCAGACTGTCCAAGCGTTGGCCACGGAAACCAGTGGGAAGCACGCCCAGCCCCCTCCCCGCCCGGTGGCCCAGTGTCTGTCATCCCCAGACCCTCTCTGCCTGATGTGGCTCTGGGCCCTGAGCCTGTGGGGCTTCTCACGCACAGGAACAAACGCAAGGCTGGAGGAAGGAAACCCACCGTGTGACTGTCCCAGTTCAAGGTGGCTGGGAGGCCGGGATGGAAGTTCCAGGAAAGGCCCTGGGGTCTGTGCCACAGGACCTGGCTGCCTGAGCTGAAGACCCTGTGGGGACTGTCACCCCCCGCCCCAGGCAGGAGAAAGCTCCTTCCGTCAGGCCCAGGTCCCCACCCCTTATGCGGGGTGCCTGCCACAGCCCATGTCCTGTCCTCGTCCTTGTGCTGGGGGAGGCTTGGCTGCTGCACCCCGCAGCGACCCCTCCCTAGGCTGCTCTTACCCCCCCTTCCCCCAAGCCTTAGAGTGCAGCTCAAACCCGACTGCGGGCTCACTGCAGGCGAGGGCTGAGCTGCGGGCTGGGAGTGCAACGTCCCTGGGCAGCTCCAGCCTCGGACTCTGCTACTTAAGGCTCTGAGGAAGCAGTGGCTCTCAGCCCATTCTCTACCCAACACACTGGACACACGGCAGGAAGCCACGGCCCAGATGCTGAGGGTGGGAGGCTCTCCTCCGTCCCTCACCTTAGGACCTGGTGCAGGCCCCACAGAGAAGGGCAGAGCCTGGTGGGCGACCTCGCGGCCTCGGCCACGGCCTCAGGGGCCAAGGGAGGGACGGTGGGGCCGTCCTCCTGTGCCAGGTGCACGCGGAGCGAACTTGAGTGAGCGCAGGCCTGGAAGCACAGCCCTGGCGGTAAGGTAAGAAGGCCTCGGAATACCTAGAAGTTTCTTACTGTCCAGTTTCTGCCTGTTGAGGGGGTTCGTGCCGTAGAGCAGGGTGTGTGCCTCTGAGTGCACGGTCTGCAGCTCCTCCAGGGTGGCCTTCCGTCCGCGGATACACTGTGGGGACACAGCGAGAGGGGTCACTCACATCTCCCCGTGCGCGCTCAGGTTCAACAGAAAACCCAAAGGGAACAGAACGGCACGTGCATGAGCAGAAGCTTGGGTTGTTGCAAAAGGAAAAGCGAACGCTGCCTAAGAATATTCATGTTGTTTGTGATGCTTATGAGGAACATACATCTTATGTCTATGTGACAACTGAATTACATATACACACAGTATTTAAAAATGTTTTAAAATTTTTTATAGGGTTTACACTTTAATTACTCCGAAAAGTGTTTAGAAAGAGAATCCCAGCGTCCGGCACTTCACCCTTCGCTGTCACACAAGTGGCACTGTCACTTCGCTTCCCCACTGAAACACAGGGGAGCAGCCAAGGGCGGTGGGGCTGCCTCGCTCAGGCCTCCCTGGGGCGACGCTGGAACCCTGTCCTGCATGGCCCAGCGGCACGGAGGAGCCAAGACGCCTGAAGTGGCCTTTACTCGCTGTCCACCCATATTTTCCGTGGTTTAAAAATTCCTGATCTGGCCGGCCGAGTGGCGCGTTGGTTAAGAGCTGGCTTGGAACGCCAGAGGGCCCTGGTTCAGATCCCACATTGAGGACCAGTGACACTGCCCTCCACAGCTAAGATGCTGAACAACAGCTCAACCTGGAGCTGGGCTGCCGTGAGTCGCCGGCAATGGCGTAGGCTGCAGCCCCTGTGGCAGTGGGCTGCCATGGGCTACCGTGTGTAGCCAGCAGCCAGTGTGAGCAGCCAGCAGCCGCAGTGAGCGGCCGTCCAGAAGCCGACGACTGATCTGCCTCGCCTGGGAAGAGTGCAATGATGGTGCCAACTTGGGCCAGTGAAGCAACGTCCTCCACAACTAGACTGAAGAACAAAACGACAGCAACTTGTCTGTTCCCCTTCCCCCAATTCCCCAGTGCTGTTCCCATCCCCCCAATTCCCCAATAAAATCTTAAAAAAAAAAAAGTTCCTGATCAAGCCTCCTGAGCTTTTTGGAGGTTTTCCCCTAGAAATTTACATAAAAATAACTCTTCTTTCTTTATCCAATTTTTAATAGGAAGATGGTTTACAAGGTGAGGGATTAAAGTTAACAGAAAGCAGTGGCTTTCTGAGGGAACACAGCAGAGTCCAGAGGTCCTGGCGGTGGTGGCCCAGAGGACGTAGTCCAGGGGACACACCCCAGCAGACAGGCCAGCAGCTGCTCTTGGCCCTTAACCTCCGGGAGGACCCGTAGCTGCTCACAGGACAGCTCCTGTCCTTCACCACGGTGCCAAGCCCGAAGCAGCAGCACAGGGAGGGGCCCACCATGGCGCCCACTGTCATCCGCTGGGAATGAGGGGACCCAGCTGGCAGCCCGGGACCTTGGAAAGCCTCTGACTTCTGCCAGGGCCCAACTCCTACAATCGTGCCCAGCGCTGGGCCCTGAGCTCTGCCACCCAAGAGGCTGCACTGGGAGGCAGGGTGGGGTGGTGGCTGCAGGGACACTGCAGTGCCTTGGGCTGAGTGACCAGGCATCACCCTGGGCCCCGAGGCACAGCCGGGGCTGGAGCACATGCCAAGGGTGCCCCACTCGCGTCCCTGGCTGTGTGGGGGTCACACATTTCACCCCAGCCTCCTCCCGACTATCCTGCCAGCTGGGGTCTGACCCCATGGCCCACTGGCCCTTCGCCTGTGGTTCAGCAGGTCCGGGGACCCCTGCAGCCGCCGGCCCAGACAGGTGGGCGCCCCCACGGTGCCGAAGGTGGCAGAGGAGGGTCGTGGGTCTTGACCCTCTTGTGTTTTCATCGTCTCACCCCAACCGGCTGTCAGCCTTTCTGGCTGAGGACCATGGCAGGTGCCCCGGGCCTCAGCGACCCTCCTGGGGACGAGGGGGTGGGGCAGGAAGCGGTTCAGGGGCTTCAGATGCCCAGCAGCCCTGGAGGAGGAGCTGGGCCCGGGCGGCAGGAGGGACAGGCAGCGTCCACCAGGCGATGCTGCCCCCCAGTGGTGCAGCTCGGCCCGCCCTCACCAGCGGCCGCACACTGTCCTCCAGGGGCACGTCAGGCAGGATTCTGGACTCCGCCTCTGTGCCCTCTTCCGCACCCCAAATCACATCCGCCCCAGAACCGGTAACGACAGGGGTCACGTGAAACAGGCTGCCCTAAGCTCCTGCAGCTTCCGGAGGGGAGGGGAGACTCAGCAGTGGGCTCGGGACACACCTGCTCTCCCGCCCACAGAGGCTCGGGCTCGGGCCCTGGCCCCGGTGGCCCGGCTGTGGCAGATGGATGTGGGTAGTTTTTGTCAACTGTGGGCTTTAGCTTTCTGGGGTCACTCTACCTAGCAGCACGTGCAACCCCAAGTCCCACAAAGTGTGTGGGGGACACAGCAGGTCCCATTTGGGGGGCATCTGGGGGCTAGAGGCTGCCAGCCCAAAGCACCGGGGACATGAGTGCAGCCAGCCCCACTGCGCAGATGAGGACACTGATATGCTATCGGCAGGGGCTCCCCAACACCCACACAACGGCTCCCCTAGAGAGTTCAAGACACCCGCCCAGAGCATGAGCTGGGTCACTCGTGGAAATGCTGTTCCCCTGTCAAAAGGGCGAAGGACACTGAAATGTCACTCGGCAGAGCCTTCCCATCCCCATGGGCTGAGCGGCAGGACCCTCCGTGTCTGACAGCAAGCCCGGCCATCGCCACCTCCAGCAACGGGCCTTGTCACTGTGCTGAGAGAGGTGGGGGTCGGTGGGGGGCGCTGTGCGATAACCAATCCGGCCCGACCGGACCAGAGCGCGGCCTCACGGAAGCCTGGATGTGAGTAGGCTCTCCGCATCCTGGGAGGAGCTTCGGGTGCTAAAGAGGACATTCGGGGAAAGCCACAGGGCTGATGTCCCCTGCGGACCTCCAGCTCCTGCCCTGGTGGCAGAGGCCCGAGGACAGCGGGCCGTGCGTCCTGGGTGCTGACGGGGAGCAGGAAGTGGGCTCTCCAGGGAAAGGGCCAGACGGACAGGAGGCAGCTGCGGGGCTCAGCAAGAGAACGCCGAAAGAGTAGGAGCGGCTGCAGAGGACTGCAGGGCCAGGGGTGCATGAGGACAGAGCGGGGCAGGAGGACTGGGGGGTGCAGGACAGAGGCGGCCCTTCCTACAAGGAGCAAGCCCTGGGCCTTTGCAAAAACCAGCCCAGTATCTTCCAGAAGCCGGCCAGGTGCCCCAGGCCCCGCCCCAGGCTGCCCCACACTGACCCAGTTGCAGGCCCAGCGGCCCCTCCCTGCGCCCGGCCCGCCTCACCTCGCATTTGCCGCGCAGGCCGGTCTCCTGCAGCCGGGACCAGATGCTCTGGATCCTGCCGGCGTGCTCCGGGTGGCTGTTGGTGTTCCCGCAGGCGCACTGGTGCTTCAACATGAGCGTGTCGTATACCAGGCCTGAGTGGGGCAGAGGAGGCAGCTGTCAGGGCGGCAGGCACCGGCCTAGAGAGCCGCCCCCACTGCTTAGGAGCGGACGGAGGCTAACAGACAGAGGCTAACATACGGCCCATCCTGCAGGGGCGATTCACTAGAGAAACAGAAATGTACTGGAACCCCTCAGCTGGAGCTCAACGAAACGAAAGCAGAGGCAAGCCGAACGCGCAAACTAGGCTCTCGCTTCTGCTCCCACGGCTGCCAAGCGGTCGAGCCGACAACACCCGGGATGGGGCAGCAGGCAAGACAGATGTGAAAAGCCCCCCCACCCAGGATTCAGCTCTCTCGGGATGTAAGCTGTGTGGCATGAATGTCACAGACACAACACTTTTTGGTCCAAAACTCCAAGTCCGTGTGTCAGGGACCGACCTCTGTATTAAGGAGTCTGGCGGACTGGAACCTGGCATCTAGGGGCCAGACGCTGCGCTCACCACTGGGTTTGCATTGAGGAGCCTGCTGGTCCCAGCACAGAGCCGGCCCTCAGGGAGCCGCGGAGACCAGAAGGTTCCCCCGCCGGGAGGGAGCCCAGCTGGCCACAGAACCAGCCAGGGCTCTGCGGGGGGGAAAGGGTGACACTTCCAGACCAATCAAAGTGGCTGATGTTGCCGTCAGGAAGACACCGTGATGCAGATGCATTCTGCACGTCTGGGGACGAGGGTAGAAAAAGCGGGGAAGGGGTGGCCCCCGGGTGACATCTGCGAGGACGGGCTTCCCACTGTTCCTGCCACAGCACTGTCTGTGGTCACCTCACATGCCTGGCCTCCCGGGGTCCTGACAACGGCTAGGCCGGCTGGGTGAGTGGACGCCCAGGACAGCCGGGTCTGATAAGAGGCACCTGTCGCTAAGACCCGCGCCTTTGGGCAAGGAAAGGTGTGTGGGCAACACAGGTGTAGGCAAGGGGGTGTGCTCAACAGTGTGTGCTGGTGACGTGTGCTCACGTATGCATGTACATGTACACATGTGTGCACGTACGGGATGCAGGTACACATGTGCCCCAACAATCCTGATGTCACCAGCACGACAGGCACAGCCAGCGCGCTCACAGCAGCACTGTGACCGGTTGGCTGAGACGCCGAAATGAGGGGCCCGCCCGCCCCGCCCGCGTTACCTGTGGTGAACCTCGGTTTGCTGGGCGGCTCCTGCACAGACATGGGGAAGGTGGCCGAGGCGGGAGAGGACTGTGCCCGGGACAGAGGCCGGTGGCCGCCGAAGGACACGGGGATGCCGGCGGCCTCCATGGAGGCCTGGTAGTTCCTCAGCTGGTGGATCCGCTGCTGTTCCAGGAGGAGCGCTTGCTGGGGGGAGACACACACGTGTTCTGTGGCTTCACGGGGACCTCCCCTCCTGAGGGGCCATGGTGCCCCCCACTCCCGCTCATCCACCCACACGCACGCCCAGGCCGCCGGCTGGGGATGCCCAGACGCGCGAGGAGCCCACCTGCAGGCAGGCCTCCCAGTCGAGTTTGTTGTTATCTTGGTTTTGACCAAGAAAACCTAATCTGCATGCCAGAAACCCGGGTGGAAAAGCCCATCACAGAATGGAGATGCTAACTCGACTTCACTGGCCACTGCTCCCCTCTCCTGGTCGCTCACTGTCACACGTCCTCACTTCACAGGATGGGAAGCACTGCTGAAGCGTTCAGGTCCCAGAAGCCCAGGGTGCCAAGCAGAGCCAGGGGGCCGGAAGGGCATGGACGGGCCCCTGAGGAGCTGGGCACCCACACGGACAACCCCCAGGACCCCACTGAGCCATCTTTCAGCAGAAACCACCAGAGCAGAAAGGGGGAAATTAAACACATGCTTTCATGACAAATTATTTCTCACAAAACTATGTTTCTCTGAAGAGTCGGCATCTGTAAGTGTCCAGAATAGGGGTCGAAGCCTGAAGGACCACGGGGCTGAGAAGGCAGGGCCCCGGCCGCCCGGGCAGCGGAACCACGCCACACCCTCCCTGCAATGCACACCCGCCATCACACCTCTGCCCTCAGGACTCCGAGCCCGTGGAGAAATGCGCAAAGGAAGACTCTGGAAGTGGCCGTGGAGGCGAGTGGGAGACAGGGGCTTGGACCCAGGGCCATGGCAGTACTGGTTCTGTGGAGAGTGGGCCACTCGGCCAGGGCCCTGGGGCCCCAAGGGACCAACAGGACAGGCTGAGGTGCGTGTCCCGCGGGGGCAGAGTAGAGCCAGAGGGGGCAAGGTGCCCGTGGGGCCCTGTGGCCAGCACAGCCCCAGGGGCTGCTCCCCTCCCAGGGCGCCCTGAGATGAGACGCGAAGCAAGGGATGGCTGGGCGTCCTACTTTACCGGCGGGTGGGTGCGAAAGTGGAGGTCCGCCTCTCTGAATCCCACCTCAGGCATGCCTTAGTTTCAATGCACAAATCTTGTCATTTGGAAGGCCTGCAACCCTGGCCCCTGGCTGAGAGGCAGGGCCCATCCCTATGCTACAACCAGAGGGGAAAGGCCAGAGGCGCAAGTGGCCCAGAGGAAGAGCCCGAGGCTGAGCGGGAGACCTGGGCGGAGGCCTGTCGGAGCACGGAGCGGCACCCAGGGGGCCAGGCTCCCCCTCCTCCACCCCAAAACCCCCATCCCCCCACCCCGCCCGGCTTCTGGGCAAGGGGCTCACACCCAGCCCCACAGCCGCCTGAGCCCACCAGCACCTCCCCCTGGTGCCTGGGTTTACAGGAAATTGGATGCCGTGCCTTACGTCTACGTGTGTAAGTTGCCCACGTACCCGTGAGGCCCGATGAGTTGTTCTGCTCAGTATCCTCCAAATAACACAGAAAATACGTGTTTCTAATTGTCTCGGGCTTGGAGTACAAGGCTGTTCTTTCTAAAGGAATGCTGATCGCTTTATCATCTACAAGACACTTGCCCTAAAAATTTACACGTGTACTTTCCAATCTCATATCTGTGTACCAGTAACATGGAATTTCAGCTACAATTAGAGATGTGCTTCCTCACCAACGTTCCAGGTCCTGCCACTGACACGGACGTGGAGCTTGGTCGGCCAGGACCCAGAACGGCCAGCCAGGCACGCCCCTGCCGCGGGGGCTGCATAACGTACTCTGGGTTCTTGTAAGTATGGGTTCCGCTGCACTTGGGGATTGGTGCCTGGGGTGCTAACAGTGGCCGAGAAATCAGGCCCCTCGGAGCGAGAAACAGGCAAAGCACCACCCGTCTGCCGCCTGCAGCTCCATCCCAAAGTGAGGACACCCAGGGGGTGATGGAGGGTGTGGCTTGATGCCAACCCAGAGGCCTCGAGAGAAATCTAAGAGCTAATCCCGGGTGTCACAGACGGAGCCTTTCCAGGTGCTGCTGGGGGGTGCGGGGGGAGCAGCAGTGGGCCACACACCTGGGCTGCTGGAGCCGAGGGGGCACATGGCTGGGCAGCCAGCAGGAAGTCTAGCGAGAAGGGAGTGGTGAGCCGGGCCCCCCACCTCAGACGCAGCTCCCCTGCTGGAGATACGATCAGATGCCACTGCTTGGGTGCCCTGGGCTTTCATGTCCTGTTTACCAGGAGCAAGACCCTCCTCGGTGACAGACGGGCTCCTCGCACGGGGTCTGACTCACTGGCCAGCTGTCCTAGCGTTTCACTGGCCTGAGTTTTATTTTTCACTGAGACTTAATAAGTCATTCATCAGTTATCCATCTATCTCTTGTGTTTGGTTATCGTGTGTCAGTGCCCAGGAAACTCACTGGCCCTGGGAACCTGGGTTGCACCACTTTTCTGGGTCTGCAAGGCTTACCACTGCTGCCTCCTTGCCCCCCAAAGGTGCTGCCTACCTTTCTGATTAAGAAATTAATCTCCTTCTCCAAACCTTCAGTGATTATGCCGAATCCTACAAACACTGGGATTTGTGCTAACCCACAGTCTAAAACCCTGAAAGGAAACCGTCCCTCGGGAGTCTGGAGCTGCCCTTCGGCTGGAAAGCAGGCGCAGAAATACCCACAGTGGACGAACGGCCGTATCTCTAGGTACTGGTGAGGTCGTTTTACCTCCCACACCACCCAGGGGAGGAGGCCCTTCTGTTTCCGCTGACCACCAGCCAGCCAGGGGGCGCTGCCCTGGGGGGGTGTGGGCCTGAGGCCCCCCCACCCTGCCACCCTGCCCCGTGGGGTCACCTGTCTGAAGAGCAGCTCCTGCTCGGTGGGCTGGCGCTGCCCGGGCTCCGCCCCCCGCGGCGGCTCCGCCTCCTCGCCGTCACTCTCCAGGGGCTCTTGCTTCACCTGCACGCCGGCTTGCGCATGCGCCTCCTTCTGCCCCGACAGCCGGTCCAGGTAGGGCTCCTCCAGGAGGGCCTGGTGCTCGCGGAGCTCCTCCTCTGTCTCCTCGGGGTGGCTCTCGGGCTGCCGGGTGGGCTCGCTCGGCTTGGGGATCATCTGCAGAGAGGAGGGGCGCGTCTGGTGTGACCCAGGGGGTGGCTGACGGCGCATCTCAGAGACGAAGGTGTGTCCTCATCCTGGGCCAAGGCCACCGCACCAGGTGCGTCTGCGCATCCGCGGCGCTGTCCGCGGTGGAGCCACGCCAGGCCCGCCAGGCTCTGCGCCAGCCCGGGAGGGACAGGCCTGCACCGGTGCGTTCACCAAGCGAGCTGTGCGCCCAGCCAGAGCAGCGATGCAAAGCCACAGGTCCACCCACCCCTGCGCCTGGGCACCGAGGGGCCGGGCCAGTGCCACCTGCCTCCTTCACGGCCACAGCCGCTGAGAAGAGCACACCCGTCCCTCCTCCAGCCAGTCCGGTCACTCGTCTGCTGAGAAATTCCTTCCCCACGTCCCTCCTGGTGCCACTGAGGTCACAACCTGAAAGGGCAGCGTTACTCCCGCTTCACCAGCTGACCACGCCCCCGACTCCCCGTCTTCCCTTCCCCCAGGCCTCAGGTGTCTGCGATTTCAGCGCCCCAACACAGGGACGGGGCTCAGGTTGATGCCATGAACCTTGCTCTCCAGACTACAGGCATGAGGCTGTGTTTTCTCAAAGGGGGTGGCACATGCCTGCCAGAACCATGGAAAGACCCTAAAGGGTCAGACTGAAAATGGGGGGGCTGGGGAGCACTTTGGAGAAGTGACATTTTGGGGGCTCAGCCAGGGTGGCAGGCCAGAAGAGGCGCTGCTGGGTCCAGGCAGTGAGGGGAGGGCCGGGCAGCAGTTTGGGCTCCTGGTGGCCATGGAGAGTGAACGGAGGGCCCGGGATTCCTGGCTGGGTGCAGAGGACAGCTGCAAGCGGGGGAGGCGGCTGGCCAGGCTGGAGGGACAGCTAGGAGCCCAGCCCGGAGAGGCCGAAACCCAGGCGCCTGGCGGACCCGTGAGGAGACGTCCTTTGAGAAGGGGATCCAAGTGGAGGGTTCAGGACACAGGTCATGGCGGGAGATGCTGTCAGGAGGGACCCAGCAGAGAGAACGCTGAAGCCTCGAGCACGGAGCTCATGCAAGGCTCACGGAGCCAGCACTGAGCGGGGCGGGGCAGGGAGGCGCGAAACAATGGGGAACGTGGAGAACAGGCCAGAGACCAGGACAGCCGGGTCACGCCGGGAGAGGAGGAGGCAAGGGGGCCGGCCGCCCTGGGGAGGAGGACTCGAGGAGGCTGCACCTGCAGCCTCGGGCTCAGCCCTGCGACAGTCACAAGAAGGCACCAGGCCACGCGCTCTGCTCGGAGACGCCCTTCCAAAACCCTGCGGCGTGGACCTGCGAGTCTGCACCAGGCGGGAGCAGGTGTGGGACGCGGGGGTGCTGGGCGTCCCGAGAGTGAGCCCGCAGGGCGGGGACCTGGAGGCCCTTCCGGGCGGCCCCACTCTGAAGCAAGCGCGTGTCTGTGGTCACAGAGGGCCCGGCTGCCCTGGGGCTTCCCAGAGAAAACCGGGTGGTGACAAAACAGAATATTAGCAGAAGGGAGTAGAGAGAGGCCGTGTGAAAGTGTGCTCAATGGGCAGAGCACTCCTATCCTTCCAACATTTTCTTCTAAATTTCAAAAGTACAGAAAAATGTCAGGAATCACACAAGAAAGCACGTGTGCCCTTCACCTAGATACGCCAGACGGAAGGACAGGGAGAGACGCCGAGGTCAGCCCTCCCTCTGCTGATCTCCGTGAGGGCCAGCTGTGGCCGGTGACCCAACCCAGCAAGCGCGGTGACAGCACACTCCTGCCGCTCTCCCACACAAGCCTCGGGCACCTCCCACCTGGGAACTTCACAAACTTAGCTCACTAATGAGCTACTTTGTTGCATGTATTCAAGTTTCCTCAGTGGTCCGGCAACATCGCTATGGCCTTTCTTGGTCCGATTCGGGCCAGCTACGATCACGAGCTGTGTTTAGGTGACCTGTCCAAGGCCGACATGTCCAAGTGTCTGACCAGTTCCTCTGCAAAGCGCGCCAGATGTGGGGGAGGGGCCAGCCGTCCGGTGTCTGGGGCAGGTGCTGTGGGTGCCGGTCAGGGACGGTGGGCGGGCGAGGGTCTGCCTGCCACATGTGCTGGTTCATCAGTGATGAGGCCGTGTGGGTGGTTCTTGGGGGAAGGAGCCAGTCACCGGCCGCCGTCAGCGCCGTCTGTGGCCCCTTTCCGTGATGTGCTGGGAGGGGAACGGGCTCCATGTGTGCAGTCTCCCAGGTTTCCGGTTAGCGTCCTGGGGCACTCTGCCACGTGCCCGGGCACCCCCGGCTCTCTGTGCCTGGTTGCCTAGGCGAGGAGTGTGGCGTCCCCTCCTTCTTCCCGCAGCTTTCCACTTAGGGAGCTTCCTGAGGTCATGGCCCCGTCCCGGCAGGGGCTGGTGGGGGCTGCAGCCCCGGGAGGTGGGTGGGTGGCAGCGCTGGACTGTCGGGGGGAAGGAGGGAGAGGCCTGAGGTGGCGAGGGCCCAGCACAGCTCTGCCTGGAGGAGCACAGTGGAGCGGGACCGGAGCAGCCCGCTCATGGGCACAGTGTCCCAGGGCTCCTGGGCAGAGGCCTGCAGGCCCCCCGAGAGGTGCTGGGGCACCAGGGCTTCCACGGAGAGCCCAGCCCTAGCACTGATTCCTGAAGGCCTAGGAGGAACGTGCTGACGCCGTCCCGAGGAGCTCTGGCGGGGCCACCGGAGCTGCCGCCAGCTTCCTGGAGCTCACTTCATCCCCGAGGCACAGAGGCTCCCAGCGTGGCCGCAGGACACAGGGTGCCTGGAGGGCTGTCACCAGGGCAGTGGTGGGCGGCCTGCGTCAACGGCCTCCCTGTGACGCAGAGCAGGCTGTGTCACAGAACCACCAGGGCTCTCGGCTCAGCAGTGACGCAGGTGCCTGAGCAGCCAGCCTCCTGGGGCCCAGGCCACAGACAGAGGCCTCTGTCTCCTGTCACTGAAATGCAGCTCTGCTTCCCACTGGCTGACTGTGGGCTGGGCCACACGGCAGAGCTGGCTCGGGAGCAGCCCCGCAGGCGAGCGCCACGGTGAGAACGCTGGCAGTGAGGCCGCAGCCAACTGGGCGACAAATCAGCTCTTTGTCTCCTTGTGGCCTTTGGACCCGAGGAGCCCTCTTTCATCAGTTAAATGAGAACACGCACCACTGTGCATTTGGAACACACATTTTCTAAAGCCAGACTGAGCTTGGCCAAAAGCAAGCTGGTTAAAGCCTGCTGGACGGATGAGCTCCTAATTAGACCACCCAAACAACAGTCCCATTTTCACATGCCCCCCCGGTCGGGTTAAAGGGAAGCACAGCAGCTCCGAGCAACGCAGTCGGTCCACCCTCCAGGACCCGAGCGACACTGTGGTCTTCAGCAAAGCCTCCCGCTGCCGTCCACGCCTTCCGCCTTCTCCTTCAGGGAGAAACGCAATTCTGCCTCCGCACACGCGCCCACTTTACACAGAGCAGACCCGAGGCCAGGCCCAGGCGCTCCCAGCAGCACAAGGCTGGCTTCACTTTGGAGCTCCAAGCCCACTCCTCCCGAGGGCACGCATTCTCCAGAAAGTTCCCTCTGCAGCAAGCCTTTATTAAATCACTGCCTGTGAGGCACCAGGTCCTCGTGCAAGGTAACACAGCTAGAGAACAAGAAGGTGACCAGAGCCAGCTCCTGCATCCACTGGCCAAGGGGGGCAGCCCTCCCGGCTGCGGGCCTCAGGGAAACTGTGGTGGCCATGCCCGGCTGCTGAGACGGCAACAGCTGCGAAGGGCTGGTGACATAGCTGGGGCAGCCGTGCGGGAAGGTGGACCGTACACAGGGCACAGGGCACAGGCTGCAGTGCGGAGCGGGGCCAAGTGCCCCCAGGTAACAAGCCGCTGGGGCGGCCCCTCCGAGACCAAGGGTACAGATTCGGGCGCCTGACGGCACTAGATGCAATCAGTGGCCCCTGAGGCCCCAGGACAGCGTAGAAACATCTCAATCACCTGTCGCTCCTCCCGTGAATTAGTCACATGAGAGAATCCTGGGAGATTTCCCAGCTTCTAGATGGTTCTGTTCAAAACGTGCCACAAGGGAACAGTGTTGCCTACCCTGTCACACAGCGAGGGGCCCGAGCTGGCATGAGAGGGTGACTGTGAAGCGCTGTGACGACAGGAAGAGCAGGCCTGGCAGGCCCCGTGTCGCCCTGTCAGCGAGTGCCTTCCCTGTGCACACGGGGCTGTGCGGGCCGGCCGCCCACCTGACTGCCCTGGGCTGTCCACTGGGGAGCCTGCGGGGCCCAGGGGGCCCTGGGGGGGCGGTGGGAGCCTATTTCCTAGTGCCGGTGAGCACAGGGGCATCTGGTCCAGGGCAGCTGGCCCGCCACTCCAGAGCAGTGCACCGAAGCTCGTCCCCTCAGGGGCGTGTCCCACGGCCGTCATGGGGAACACCACGCTGGGGCGCACTGGAGCCACACAGCCGCCATCTCGAGGGGAGGTGCCCCAGAGCCCCGGATGTCCATGAAGGCAACACCTGTGCACCCCACGGGGGCTGAGCCAGGCTCGGTGGAGCAGACGGTCATTTCAATGAGTGACACCAACAAAACCAGCACCTGACATTGGCCAGCTCGCGCCAGGCACTTGGGTCCCCCGGGGAACAGCACAGACCCCGTCCTCGTTGGCTGACATTCCAGCGGGGGAAGCAGATGAGAACACGGGGCGTGAGCAGTGGGCACGGTCACTGCCGGCCGGGAAGGAGGGCCAGGTAAGAGGACGGGGTTCGGCAGCAGTGCTGACTGGGGGCTGGGGGCCCATCGCGAGGGGACACGGCCAGGACTTGAAGGAGCCGAGACCAGGGGGCGTGAGGCAGGACGATGTGCCTTTGGAGACTGTCTCCTTCCCTGACACCCAGCCAGGCCCGGGGGGCTGCACACAGGACACCCGGCAGCAGCGAGGGCTGAAGGAGCGCGGGTCAGGGCGGGCCGCACTGGTGCCGCCACCCCGGAGAGGGCGGCCGCTCCTCACACGCCATCTTCCCGCCGTGCAGAATCCAAACCCACAACCCTCCCCGATCTTATCCGCGAGCCTGCCCCGCCCTCTCATTCCTCAGGGAAGCAGACACAGGGGCCTCTCTGTGTGACAGGAGGACCTAGGACTGGGGCGCCCCGGGAAGGGGAAGCATCGGGGTGCTTTCCCAGGAAAGAAACACCTCGAGAAACAAGTCTGCTGACCCAAATCCGCCATTTGTCAGTTTCCTTCACAAAGTCGTCTACGCTGCCTGGCATCTCCGCCTCCTTTCTAACAGCTTCGCTGAGATCTATAATAGCTCACAGACCGTAGAATTCACACTGGTACGCTGTAATTCAGTAGCTGTCGGCGTACCAACAGCTGTGCAACCGTCCCCATGCGCTGTGGTGGCACATGTCCTCCCCACGGGCAGGCGGTCGCTCCCATGCCCCTCCCCCAGCCCCTGGCAACCGCCCGTCTATCATCCAGCTCTGGGTCTGCCTGTTCTGGACGCTTTGTACAGACGGAGTCGCGCCGTGTGTGGGCTCTTCCGTGTCCGCTTCTTTCATTCAGCGTCACATGTTCAAGGCCCACCCACTGCAGTGTCAGCGCGTCCCTCCCTTTCAGGGCCGAGTGACACTCCGTCGTGTGGCCTGTTCTGTAACCGTTCATCCGCTGGTGGGCACTGGGCTGTTTCCAGCGTCCGTGTGCGAGTCCTGTGTGGGCTGTGTTCTCAGCTCTCTTGGACGCGTACCTAGGACTGCTCTGCGGCCCCGAGGGAGCCGTGCGACGTCCTGAGGGAACGCTGGGCTCGTCTCCAAAGTGGCTGCCTCTCAGTCTCTCGTATTAAAGATGCTTAATTTCAAACGTCCACATTTGAAAGCGGTCATCTGAAATCGCTGTTGTCCCATTTTAATAGCCGGCAACACTAACCTTTCCTGCCACTTCCGGCTGAAAATGGCTTTGTTGCGACTCTCCAGGCACTGGACTCTGTGGGCCTCTGTGGGCTGGCCGCAGCCCAACACCCCTTTGGGCCATGTCATTCCAGAGGGCGAGGGGCTGCAAGTGCCAAGTGACCTGGAAGGTGTGCTTTGGGGCTCCGCCACTGAAAAGCTGGGGACTTTGTGATGTTCAAGAAAAAAGTGCTGACCGACTGGAGTTCACCACACAGTGACAAGTGGCTCACACGTACAGCAGTTCCAAGCCAACAGCTGCTTGCTGGGCAGGGAACGATGGACACGCACACTCACACGCACGCACTCATGCACACGCACACAAGGACTGACCGTCCATCTGCGCGTGGCCGCCCGCCCGCCCGCCCGCCCCCAGGACGGCGGCACACACCTTGCCCATGTGCAGCTGCTGCTGCTGGAACTGCTGCTTGTGCTTCTCCAGGAACTGCTGGTGCTGCTGCTGAACCACCAGCTGCTGCAGGGCCTGCGCGCTCTGAGGCAGGGGCGCCGACTGCGTGCGTCCCAGCGGGCGGTGCTGCCGCAGCTTGTGCACAGATGGGGACAGCCGGTCTGCGCCCACCAGGGGCTGCGCGTGCAGGGGCAGCGCCCCCAGGCCTGAAAGACACCGGTCTGAAGGTCATAGGAGGACAGAGCAGAGGGGAAGGGGGCAAGGCAGGAGAGGGGCGGGCCGGTGAGCAACGGGCACAGACGCCAAGCGCCACAGCCGCCGCCCGGGCGCCTCCTTCCTGAAGCCCTCCGGGCGTGACTCCATCACGCACCAAGTGTCAGGAGCCCGGGCTTTGGGGACAGAGGTTGTCATCTGGGGGCTACTGTCTGTGACACCCAAGTAGATGCCATTAACAGGCAGCTCACCCTGCCTGAGACTGTCCCCAGCAAAATCACCCCTCAGAGGGGTCTGATCTGAACACCAGTGCAGGCAACAAGGAGCTACACGCCATGCTCGGAAAGGCTGCGATGGCTCTGGTGGCCTCCAATGTGTCCCGGAAGTCCACGGGATGGCACTTCCATAACTCATGGAAACTAACACAGAAACTGAGGGGAAAAAACTGTCCTGAAGGATGAAATCAGTTTAAGGGTCTCTGAAAGTCTTGATTTTACAGAAAGAGGAGACGGACACTTAAAGTCCCGATGGATCTTGTCAAAATCTCTCTATAAATTTCTACAAAGGTTCCGGCAGTTCAGCAGCCCACCCGCTCTCTACCCCCACCTGGACTGGGCATTTAAAAACAGCGTCTGGGGGGCGGGCAGTGGCCATCTCGTTTTAATCTGCGTTGGATTCTAAGCTCAGTTTAAAATGCACCCTTCTCCGTGTAAACCCAGGAAGTTACACACTTTTCCTTTTGTACGCTTTTCATCCATCTGGTTTTTCTTTTGCAAACTGTTGGTTTAGGTAATTTACCATTTTTCCATGGTTCTATGGGCAACCGGGTCTAACAAACCCCTTTCCTTGGCAACCTGCGGTAAATAAAACACTAACCGACATTGCTGAGGCTGAGAATGACCCTGGGTCAAGGACGTCTGACAGGGAGAAACACAAATGAGCAGACCGCACAGCTCTCGGCATCCCCGTGAATGACCAGGGGGCTAGAATGACCCGCCAGGTACCAACAGCTGCCCCCCGTCCTTGGTCCGTCTCCCACCTCAGGGCTCAGCAGCGATGTCACTTTTCCAGAAAGCTGTCCCAGGGCCCCCTACCCTGACGCCCAGCCCTCCCCAAAGGCCCACGGGCAGAGCTCAGCGTCTCCACCTCGTCCCTGGCCTGTAGGGGACGCTGGTCCCAGAGTTCTGCACTCAGCCAGCTGGGAAACAATGCAGAGCCCACGGCTGTGTGTGGAGCTGCAGAAGGGGCTCGGGGCTCACTGGCCTTCCTGCCTAGAAATGGGGCCACGGCCTCACCTGCCTCGGGGCCGCACCAGGCTTCTGCTCGCTCACCAGTCAACCACACTGTGTGCCGCGTGTCTCCCCTGGGCCGCTAATGATCGAGAACGTCCCAGCCAGTGGCGGGCGCGTGCGCCTGCGGGGAGGGGTCCCTAAGTCTCACCCCTTACCGGGGCAGCCACCCTTCTCACAGCGGCTGCTTTGGGAGCTGTCCTGGCTCAGTCCGTCTGTCCGTCTGTCCATCACAATCACTAACGAAGAGGTAAGTGTGTGGGCCGACCACTCGTGGAAACCCAACAAAAAAGGACCGGCAGTGACGCTCAGGCACAAGCCATCTCAGAAACCGTGCCTGTCACTCGGGTCGATGGCAGAAACATTTACTGCGTACTGCCTAGGCATCAGAGGCTGGGTGCTGGGGAGAAGGGCTGGCAGAGCTGCAGGACGCAGGCTCTGGGCTCCAGGACAGTGTCTGGAGGGAGACGCTGAGGCAGCAGTTGCGGGCTGTGCACACGGGGCAGAGGATGGGGACAAGGGGCACGTGAGCTGGCCTGATGAAGAAAGGGGGCTTGAGAAAAGGGCAGGGGCTTCCAGAAGTCACCCTCAGTGGCTCGTCGATGAGGAGTACACAGGCACAGCTGGCCAGCTGTGGGGGAGTGAGAGGGTGCTAAGGTCCAGGCCTCCCTGCAGGCCAGCGCCCGCCACGGGCGGAGTCGTCTGTGCTGATGGCACGGCACCCCAGGCCCTCGGATGTGGCCGCCACAGGCGCACTCGCGCCACCCCCAGTGACTAGAAACCCAGTTTCCACTTTCAATTCCAACGCTAATGGCCACATGCAGCTGGTGCTCCACACTGGATGACACTGAACTGGACAAGTGCAGGGCTTCCCCGGCCTGAGGAGAGTCTGGTGGCAGGTGGAACGCAGGACTCTTCAGGAGGGCCCAGGGGAGTGCTCCCGAGGCCCTGGAAGGACAGACAGGGGCCACCTGGGCAGTGAGGGACAGAACTGACAAACCCCGAAGGGACTGCCACGGCCCTAACATCTGACACCTAAGGGCTCCCTGTGTCAGAGGCCACCCTGCCTTAAAACTCAGCTCGCAGCCGAGGCAGACCCCCTGACGCCTCCACGCCGCAGACGGCACACTCAGGCACAGGGGGCGTAGGAGACGTCCCAAGCTCACAGAGCTCGGGATGGAGCTGGGACGGGGAGCCTGTGCTCCTGGCCACTGCGCTGCCTCCAGCCGCACAGGAGAGGCGCCTGTGCGCTTGGGGGGGGGTGGTGCCCAGCAGCACAGGGGTGAGCCTGCCGGGCAAGGAGGGTAGAGGCAGGACAGGCGTGGGCTGGGGCGGCCGGGCGCTGAAGGGCCACCAGGCTGCACGTGGAGCATGAAAAGCACCACTGTCAACCGCAGAAGCAAACCGGAGAGCTGAGGTGTCTGCACACTGGTGACTGAGGGCCCATGAAACAGGTTCTTCTCCACGAACCAGGGACAAGTGACACTAAGACTGCTGTAACGGGCACAAGTGAGCAAGGAGTGATGGGCAGGCGCTTCTCTGATGAAGTGACGTGAGCAGTGGCCCCAGAACCCCAGAGGGTTGGACGTAGGTGACTAAATGCAGGCTCGTCCTCCTGACATCTGACCTTGAGCTGCAATGTCGGGTGAACCCTCTCGTCCCCTAAAGTCAGGGAGATGCACCGTGAGCGCTCCCACCCCCTGGGCACCCACACGCGGCCCCTCCACTCTGTAAAGGGCGGTGATGTTAATGCAAGCATGTGGGGGACTGACAGACACACAGGAGCGCTCCAGGTGGAGCTCGCCTGGCGGATTCAGTCAGACCCTGCTCTGTGATCTGCGTGACAGAAGCGTCTCGCCACCGAGCGGGACACACACAGCGGGCAGAACACGGGTCCTCACACCCAGACCAGCCTGTGACTCTGAAGAATCGACTGCTGAGAAGAGAGGAACTAGCACAAAACAAGAAAACAAAACCAAATCCGCCAGACCAGACCCGCAGCGCCCACGGTCAGGACAGCGCCCGCCGGCACCGGCGTTTCCCACTAAGGTCCACGTCAGAGAGGCTACAAGGTGCAGCTGAGGTTACTGTAGATTGTAAATCCAGGAGGCCGAGCGTGAAGCCTGGGTGACGCAGATGGCGCATGGCAGGCACCTCCGCCTCTCACAGCAAGGCCCCTGCGTCTGTCACGTTCTCCCGCAGGCAACGCTTTGTGCTGTGGCAGCTATGCAAATTTGACCACAAGTTTCCTGTGTTTTCTAAATATTAATACAAGCCTCCCTCAGACGGGCCATTAAAGAAAACGCACTGAGATGGCAACTGAGTGCAGCAGGGGCGGCTGGGCTCCTATTATGCCTTCAACTTGACCCCGATGGAGAGCAGGTCAGGGGAGCCTCAGGACGTGTAAGGGACATCAGGCGTCACTGTGCCCACCTACAGTGCAGTGACCTTGGTGTGTCGCATCGCGCGCATGGACGGAGGGTGGCGTGCGCGACTCAGGGGCTCACCTGTGACGAGGGGCGTCTGTGCAGGCGGCTGCTCCAACAAGACCACGTGCTGCAGCAGAGAGCTGTGGGCCGTCCCGCCGTCCCGCTCGAGGGGCGCCGTGCTCAGGTAGGGAGCCAGGTGGGAGCCAGGGAACAGGGAGATGCGCTGCTGGAGGCCCGGGAGGGCAAGTCTCTCGGCGTCCTGCTGGCCGGCCGCCCCCTGGAGAGGCACAGGCGGTGAGGCCCAGGGGCGAGCGCCTGCGAGAGCCACCCCATGCCACACAGGCCCGGGGACGCCTACTTACAGCAGAAGGGCCGGTGGCGGGCAGTCCCAGCGTGATGTTGGGCAAGGATGGTGACGTGTAGAGGGGGAGCGGGGCCATGGAGCCCTCTCGGGCCACTAGTCGGTGCGCCAAGCTGGCCTGGAGACAGAACACACGATGACTGTCACTGCTGCTGCGGCCGTGCGTGGGCAACACACACCAAGGGACAAGACAGGAGAAGGCAGTGCCGCGGTCTGCGAAACGCAGGCCGAGACTGTGTGGACGAACATACGGCGGGCAGGCGGCCCGTCTCAGAGCGGCCGCAAGCTCTCAACAGGGTTCACGACCCAGCAAACTCTCATTTTTGTTCAAACGCTTATTCATCGCGCAAGTATCAGAAGACCTAGGATAAGATATTGTACCACATACTCTTAGAGTTGGGAAAGTCTCTCCAACTATAACATCAGGGGCAGAAACCAAAGAGGAAAATATCGATGAAAATATTTTTCACATAAAAGGCAAGAAACAGTGACACTGTTGGCAACAGACAGACGTCACATATCACACCAAAGGCGAAGACAAGTGACAAAAGAAGAACCAATTATTAAGGGAGAATAAATCATGATAAACACTTAACATCACCAGTAATGTATTTACTGTTCCAATTCACTATTAACATCAATTTACTATTTAAATTATTTAATTGAAGTAAAATATTTAAAAACCTAGAAACATACTTAGAGGCCTATCAATTGACAAAGGTTTTCAGAACATGGTGACAGCATCCTGACCGAGAGAAACAGCAGCACAGCTGGTGGGTTACAAACCGGGCCCACCTTCGCGCAGAACAATTTGGGGATCGGTAAGCCTGAACGGCTGACCTTTTGACCCTAAAACTCCACTCTGAGGAAATAAGGCCAGACGCACGCAAAGGCTTGGCTTCAGGAACCTCAGTGCCGCAGTGTCCTCACAGGGGACATACGTGGCAGCCCATTTATACACGGGGACACCAGGAGGTCAGATGAAAGCCTTTGATCCATGCAATTCGTTTACTACATGTTGTTAAGTTAGAAAACCAGTGAACAGCGCCGCGCGCTTCTCAGAAAGCAGCCTCGGAATCTTGCAGCATCAGCGGAGTAAGGACTCGAGGACAGACAGGAGGGCGAGGCTCCGGAGCACTCATCTCCGGGCTGAATCACTGCGATATCTGGTATCTTTTTACTCCTAGAATAGACATTCTTTGCCTGAAAGGGCTGCTGCATTCTCCACCACATCCCCTGCACAGCAGACACACAGCACACGTGCGCTACACCGAGGAGCAGACACAGCTGAGTGCCTCTGCCGGAAGCCAGCAGGTGGGGGCTGGCACACAGAACTCTGCGTGACGGAGAGTGACGTTAGCGACGGACCCAGCCGAGTTCCTGCATCACTGTGGAGGAGGCTCACTTCGGGTGCCTGAAAATTTCATTTCCAAGGAAAAAAACTTGGGGCTGAAAGTCAGTACACGTTACCGTGGACAGTGGTGCACTGTCTGCAGCCCCAGTCCCCGCAGGAGGACGGAGTGCCCACTCTCTCATGGACTGTGTAGTGGCACCCCCCAACGGGGCACTCCCCCACCATGGGGCACAAGCCCTACACTGGGCACCCACCTCCCACCGGGCAGTCCCCAACCCCACCCCTCTGAACTGGGGGGAGCGCCTGCTCCCAGGTGTCGCTGTCTGGGGTGCAGGGAGCCCCACATCCTCTGTGTAAAGGAGGGGTGTGCGGGCCTGTGCCTCCCTCCCGCACCAGGATCCCACGCTGCCTCTGGGAAGATGAGCGGCCAGCCACCCCTTCTAACAAAGGACACGGCGTGTGGTCAAGGATTCACCCCCACTGCTGGCTGGCGTGACCAAGTGGCGCGGATGACGCACCGACGCCCCCATTCCTCAGGTCCCTGTGTTCTCCAGTGACTGCATTACCACGTGACTAGTAACAGTGAGCACGCGGTTAAACCGGAACCTGGTGGACCCACCAGAGAAGCCACCCCTACACTATGGACCACCAGCTACACACCTGCCCACGTGACATAAACCTCAGGACCCTAGAGCCAGGTGGAGCGAGCATTAACCCCGCGTTCCAGCAGTCATTTCTACGCCAAGTTCTGAGGTGACTATGGCCACCCTCAGCTGTGACCTCCATCCACACAGAAGCATTGTTAAAACTCTAATAATCTGAAAAGGCACGTAGACAGGTAGGCTGCGGGGGACAGGTCGCATGAGAAACAGATGCGTAAAGAAACACAAGAGAACAAGGGGGTGCAGTGGACCAGGGACAGCAACGCAAACCTCGCTCCTAGCAGCGACCTTAGTTCCCAGAAGTCGGCCTAGAAACCGGAAATGAAACTACTCAGCACGCGGCCTGTGTATCCCAACTAAGGTTTGTCAACCCTTTGGAAGGGCAGTGTTTGTTTCTAAATAGTTAGGGAGAAAACTAAATAACTGTCTTTAATAAACTGTAGCTCCTGTAAGTTACGAAAGCTTAGAGCTCAGCAGAACGGTCCGCGCGGCAGGAAGGGGACGGGTTGTCTGGCTGCGGCCAGCACCGGGGCAGCTCCCACCGGGTCACCCGCCCGCGGCCTCACACTGGACATTCTCTCGCTCTCCCCCAGAACTGGTCAGCGCCTGACCCTCCGTCAGCACGGGGGAGCCACACAGAAGCGGGTCCCCGGCTGGCCACCGGGCCCTGGGTCCCTGAGCCTGGCACAGGGCTGTCACACGGTGGGTGCTCCAGAGACACTGAGGTAAGCGAGGGAGCAAAGTGAACATGGAGGGAAGGGAACGCAGGGGGACGGTCCTAGGACCTACAGCCCGGAACGCGGCTCCGACTCAGCCTGCGCCAGGGCCCCCCACCTGCCGAAGAAGCCACCCACCGCTTGTCCCTCAGGGCTCCCCCTCACCACCGAAGTCCTGAGTCTGACAGTTCCTCCACAATCCCAGGGCCCCCTGTACCTATGGCCCCCTTAGCCCGCAGCACACCTGGGGTCTGACACGCAGGTGCTGGCCCCTGGGGCCTGAGGCTCAAGGTTCTCATGATGCCTCTGAAACGCTGCCCCTGGCAGGGCCACCTGACCCCCTAACTGTCTGCCCGGTGTCACTCAGGTCTCCCTGACACACGGAGGTGTGGTCTGTTGGCCGACATTTTACTTTGTTGTGTTTCTCAACACATAGCAAATGTGTTCATTCTTAGCCAACAGCGATTCCCACGTGCCTCTCGGCCGCCGTGCAGAGCCCTGGCGACACACGGAAGCGGGTGGCCTACGCCAGTGGACACGGTTATGCCGTGAGCCCAGCGAGTGAAACACGCTCTGAAGAGGCCAGGAGGAAACGCGGGCTTAGCGCTGTTCTGACAGAACCTCCTGTGGGAAGTCCCATATCCGCATGGAAAGGACATGCGGCGACTGTGGCCGGAGGGAGGACAAGGCCCACACCAGGCGCACTGCCAGGGGCCCTGTGCCCGCTTCTCTGCCCTCCCCACGCCCCCAAAGCCAAGACTGAGCGCGCCTGTGATCTGCGGCCACCTCGGGCAGCCTGGCTCTGAGTTCCCCTGTGGGCCGGTGCAGGCACAGGAACACAGGAGGCGGGCACTGACCTCGGCCTGGAGGCTGGGGATGGCGGGCGTGATCCCGTTCTCCGCGCTGACGCTCCCGGAGCTGTTGTTGGGTGAGCTGGGCGCAGAGCCCGGGGCGCTGCTGCAGGCTGAGTCTGTGAACGAGAAACCAGACAAGACCCCGTGAGCCTCTGCACAGGTCCCGGAGGACAAGACCCCGTGAGCCTCTGCACAGGTCCCGGAGGACAAGGGCGGGGGAGGCGTCTGCCGGGGCCCGGGCCGCGTGGGCTCCCGTGGGCTTCTGCCAGTCAGCCTGCGGACCCCCAGAAACCCCAGCCAGAGGGAACACGCCCGCGGTCCCGTCTTCAGTTGTGCAAGCCTTTGGGTTCCCTGCGGCCCCCCCGAGCCTTCCAACCTGGGCACACTGTCCACTTTCTTCTTCCCGTGAATTTCAAGCAATCTGAGACACCAGACAGACAAGCCCTGAACACTTACTAACATTCTCACAACCGCAGGCCAGGAGACACGGGAGTTCCGCGACTCAGCAAGGAAGGCCAGCCTGTGCTCGTGAAGAAAGCCGCCACCGCTAGTGTCCACTCTGAACTAAGCCCTCTCATTTTTCCTGCGTAATGTCAGGTGTCCAGGGAAGCCAGAGCTAGCGGCTCTATGACTGGTCAGGGTGGGGACACTAGATCTTCTCCAAGTGACTGAAGGTACAAGGGGACCAGGCTCCACTCCCGTGTGACTGAGGAGAGAGGTGTTCCATCCACACGTCTCACCCCCAGGAGCCTCTCGGCTACTATATGGCCACACGCTCCGAGAAGCCTGTGACACTCGCCTTAATGCATGGCTTTGTTCAGCGCTATAGGCTTTCCTGTCCAGTTTAATGGCATTTTAACAATGGAATCATCGAGTTAAAACTTTCCAAAGAAAACAAATGTGACCTGTTGGCCTTTACTCTTCTGCGTGTCTGCCACCCACGACTGTGAACAGCTATCCCCTTGCCCCACCTCTGGACTCACACAGCACACACAGGTCAGGAAGAGCTGGCATGGCTGGGACATGGAAGGACGCTGAGGGACATTGTCCCTAAGCAGCCCAAGCGCGGCACTGAGCCATGACACTTTCCAGAGCCGGCGCCCAGCAAAGCTTCTCCCAGCGCAGGAGTGTGCGGGCGGCTCACTCAGGTCGCTCCGGTGCGCCCAGGCCTGCCGGACCCGGCAGGCTGAAAGCTCCTTCTAGATATAAGGTTGGGCAGCAGCGAGGATGACAAGGCTGAAGGTGGGACGGGAGCAGCTGACCCCAGCGACCCCCCGCAGCAGACTTGACTCCACAGCTGTCTTCTGTCATCTCATTCCTCCCTTGGTACCCGTGAGGCCACCATCACTGTCCCCACTGCACAGAAGAGGACACTGAGGCACAGAGAGGCGACGTCACGCCCCAGCTCACAGGGCTGAAGGGAGATGTCAAGGTCAGGTGCACAGCTGGGGAGCCCAGCAGACTGGGACCGCTCGCTTCCTCTTGACCAAGCAGCCGTCCACCCAGGAACCCCCCCCAGAGCAGCGCCTGCCCCGCCGGCGGACAAACCGCTCCCTCGGGCACCGAAGCGCCCCACTCCACCCTCCCCTGGTTCGCAGGGCAGCACGGGCCAGCCCTCCCCTGGGCACTGGCAGTGAACTCAGGTCTGGTCCCCCCCCCCCGCCCCCAGCACCTGCTTCTACCTGGTGAAATTGTGTTCACTCGCATTTCAGACTGAGACCTGCTCAGAAGCCACCTGGGCTGAGCGGGGGTCCCACTCGGCGTGAAGACGGGATTTGCTTTCTCTGCCTCCCCACCACCCTGACTGGCCACCACCCTGCCCCTGGGTGCAGTCACCATGGCCACACCTTGCATGCCTTTTCTGCTACCACCCCATCTCCAGCTACACACTGGATTCCATCAGGTCTGCCTTTAAAACGTGTCCCTCCCCAAGTTATCACCTGATCCACTGTCATGCGCGTGCACTGCAAATCACAACTTTTGGGGGCAACAAAAAAATATGTACCCGACTTTTCAACCATTTTCAACTCAATAACGCTGACTATTTTTCAACCTACTGTGGGGACACGGACACGAACACACAGCCTCACCACGGGGTCTGTGTCAGCACAGGTGACACAACAGGTGCCGAGAGTGCCTGGGACTAGTACCCAGTGAGCGAGAACAAGTGTCTGTGTGGCAGGAACTCGGCTCTGGGCAGAGGCGCAGAGGACAGGCTGGGGGCAACGCGCTCAAATGTGGACGTCCATCCCTCGGGACGCTGTGTGAGCCACTTACTTCCTGCTTTCTGAGGAGGTGCAGTTTCCATAACAACTGGGAATAAGCAGGAATCCGTGTCCTGACCCGTCTCATGACTATCTCAGCCCCATCTCGGAACTACGTCCCCACGCGTCCCTCCCGATCTCCGTGCACACAGTGCTTCCGGGACGCCACGGCTGTCTCCTGCTGCAGGACCTTCAGCACCTCCCAGTGCTGGGAGGGGGTCCCCATCGCTCTGTTTGGGACCACCCTTCCTGGAACTCCTTTCTCTCCTGTTTCCAGAAAGTCGGCTCTGCTCAGAGCCCTCCCCGCCCCCGGCCACCTGGGGTCTGTGCCTGTGTGTCTCCGTGCCAACCGCACTTCCCCTCAGGCCTTCCCGGGGCCGCGGGGCTTTCCCCAACCCCCGCCTGCTTCCCTCAGGCGCACTCTCTGCGGAACACAGCTCTGCCGATCGCCCAGGTGTGGCAGCCGCGGTGTGCTGGATGTCTCGCCTCCCGAGTTAGATCGGAAGCTCCTTGGAGGCCAGGAGCTGGCCTCAGTACTTTTGTGCCCAGCCGGTCCTGACTCACAGTAGCATCACGCAATCACAACTGACAACGTGACACTGGATCTAACGCTCAGAAAGAAGCCTACGGACAACTTCACCTTGCCAACTACAAGGCTAGACGTAAATGGAGGGCTTGTCTGTCTGTCCGTCAGCGCCCGCCTGGGCAAGGCACGGCCCACAGGGAATGAGGCTGCATGGCGACATGCACTTTAGGCACAGGATTCCCTAATTGGCGCGGAACCCCCAGCTGGTGAGACCTGGTGGGAATTCAGACGACACTTCATCTCTTTAGGCGTGGCCTTTCTAGACTCAGAGGACAGACCCTACACTGAAAAAACGAAGACAATGACAAACATGGGTCCCCAGTTAGACTCATTTTACACGGACCCACAAATGTGCAGGCAGTCCTTGGGCAGGGCGCCTCCTGGCTGAGGGGCACACAGCGGGGCAGGGCGCCTCCCGGCTGTGCAGTTCTAGGTGCTGGTGCTCATGTCACCCCAGGGTGCTGGCCGCTCACACACGGACGACCAGCGCTGACGAGCCCCTGGCCCCAGGACCTTGGCACTGACCTGCTGAATGGCAGCCTTGAGTTCAATTCCGTTATTGCTGGGTGCAAAGTTTCCCTCCCCTCCTTTAGGCCACTTGAGCAGCCGCTTTGTCCTGTGATTTTAGGAACGTGGGCATATGCCATCAAATCTGGGGTGTGCCCTCATGACAGGGTGCACCCCCCAGGAAGTGGGGTGTGCCCTCAGCATGGCGGTGCGACTTGGTGCGGGGGTATACCTTGCGTGGAGCATGCTTTGGGAAGTGGGGCGTGCATCGTGGGGAGAGGTGTGCCTCGGGGCAGAGGTGCTCCTGAGGACTGGGTATGTCTCGCGTAGTGGGGTGCACCCAGGAAGTGGAGTGCTTCCTCAGGAAGAGGACACACGTGGGAAGGGGGCGCACGTCTGGATGGGGCTCCGCCGGTAGGTGTAGTCTGCGCGTCTGCCACTAGGTGGGGGCCGAGAGCAACGCGCTCACTCAGAGGCGCAGACCGCTTGGCTTTTCCAGGAAGGCAACGCTCTCCAGGGGCTCAGGCGCTGTGGGGGCCCGGGGGCGGGTCGTTGATGGGCAGCGCCGCGCAGAGTCCCGCCCTCAGAGGCAGCGCAGCCTGCAAATCCTGTGTCTCCTACAGTCCACCTGGACTGGGCCCGGTGACACTGCTGGGAGTGGGGACAGGCTTTGCAGGCACTCGCTCTGGCTCCCGGGGCGGGCAACTGCTGGCACTGCGGGTTAGCGGCGGGCCGAGCAGGGAACGGGCCGCAGAGCCGGCCTGGCGAGCAGCGCGGGTGGAGCGACTGCCTAACGTACCTGTGACATCCAACGGACGCTTCTTCAGAGCGGTGACCACCGGCCCGTCTTTCCTGCGCAGCAGGGGGCTGCTCCGTCTCTCAGCCACTTTCTGCTTTAGCCGAGACCGTAATTTCAGGTTGGGTTCAGAAGCTGCAGGAAAGGAGACGTCATTACAGCCGGGCAGACGCACCTGGGGTCCAGCCTATCACGGTGGCGGCTTAGGACAGGCACATGGGTGCGTGCTCAAACCCACGTGCTGCTCAGCAGAGGCCGGGACGTGTGGGCAGGGCACGTTTCAGTCTCATTCACAAGAACAAAACACACCTGATGCCTCTTCAGACAGGATTTTAGAAGGTGCTGGTGGGGTCACCAGAAACTGCTGCCACTGCTCTACCAGCAGATGGAGGAAAACCGACGTCGGCGTTTTCAGGGCTCTGGCCCATGGACATTATTTGACCTCCACATGACACTGTCCCGTCTCCCACGCCAGCGCTGCAGAGGCAGGCTCCTGCTGGAGCTCCAGGCATCCTGTGCATGGCTGCCATGCGGGTGCTGACACCCCCACCCACACTGTGAGGGTTAGCCAGGCCAGGTCCCAAGACCTGAGTGTACCTGTCTCCTGAGCATTCACCTGAACGCGGGCACAGGTGTTTCGGCTTGTTAACAGCACTGCTTGCTGTGTGGACGGAGCCATTTACGAACATGCACCTGAGGCCCCAGTGCTTCTCAAGTCCTTTGCAGTTGGCGCCCAGACCACCCCCAGGCCCTCCAAGTGCCACTTCTGGGGGCGGAACAGACTCTGGGTAGCTGGCTTGGGAGGAGGGCTGCCTCCCTGCCTCGGAGGTCCGGTCTGGCCTCCAGGTGCAGTCACCTCCACCTCCACCTCCACGGGGCCATCAGCCCTGGAGCCCAGGATGGTGCCAAGACTGCTGCCGCCGAGACCTTAGTTCCGAGGCTTCAGTTCACTACATTCAAGCTTCTACTACTTGTGCATTTGCAAATTAGGGTGTTTATACTTGTTTGTTTTTAATCAGCAACCCTGCTGTTTTTAATCTTTTTGGAAACAGGAAGTTCGCTGCCCTCCAGAGCAGCAACACAATGGAATTCCCTGGAAACCAGGGCTGTAAGAATCAGGCCACGTGTGCATCTCACAGCCACTGTGCTGCCCTTGGGAGTATGAGCTGAGGGCAGATGAATCCTGCAATGGCAGGTAACCCTGAGGAAGCTGGAGGCAGGACCGCTGCTCTGTGAGTCCTGGGAGGGGGGTGGGACAGGTCTCTGTGAAGCCCCCAGAGAAGTCACGTGTGTCAGGATGGTGCCAGCTGTTTCCAGATGCTGCACCTGCTCTAGAGGGCAGCGACATGGGGAGAGAAGCCCTGCACGCTGCAGCCCCCGCACAAGGCAAGTGCCCACTTACACGCAGGCCCCCCAAGATGGAAGAAAGACAAAGTGGTTCAGCAACAAAACAGCCTCCTCCACGGGCAAGGGTCCACTTCCATTTGATGCTTATTCTGAGGCAACTATAGGTTCACGTTTCATCCACTTCCATTTTTACACTGAGTTTCTTACCATTGTTTAAAAAGAAGAAAACGCCAAACTCCCCGATTAACAGGCAAGAACACAATAGCTCTTTTCCCCACACTCAAGATCTCGGCTGAAACGACATGGGGTTTCAAAAACCGTCTGTCTGACCTGTGCACAGGCACTCCATGCTGCAGGGAGAGGCCGCTTCGGAGGTTCCAGGGCAAGGCAGTCCCGTGGAAGGGGCTGCCCGATGCCCACCCTCGCCTCACCCCGCGGCACTGCAGCACCTTCCTCAGCATCAGTGCACTCTCTGAAGTTACTTAGCTGATTTATCTTGTTCCTGCTCTCCCTCCCATCCCCCGACACTTGACCATGGAACTGGGCCAGGCTCTGTCTGGCCTCCCTGGTAGCAGGGGGCGGTCCGTGGTGCTGGCCTGCAGAGGACCCAATACAGGACTCATCCTCCCTCCCTGCGCCAGCCCCAGGCGGTGGCCCCACCGGACGTGTGGCCCCAGGCAAAACGGAACCGAGGCCCCGAGTTCGACATACTGAGACTCCTTCCAGACAATGACAGCAGAGCGTTGCATCATGCGGGCAGCCCTGCCTGCAGGTCGGTGTGAGTGGACAGGGGCTCCCAGGCACCACGCTGGCACTGGCCGGACCGTGTGACGCCAGGATGCTGTTTGTCCCTCTGGGGCTCCTCAGGGCCCCTAAGGAACTTCCCATTGCAGGGCTGGGGAGGCAGCCCGAGTGGCAGGCACACGAACCGGCAGGGAAGAGGGGTGGCCTCTTCCAAGAGAGCCCCCCAGTTGCTTCCACGTCCAGTCTCAGGGCTGGCTTTTCTCCTGCTGGCCGCGGCTGTGCTGGGAAGGGCGGTGGGCTGCAGCAAAGGTCCCACTTCCCGCCCCTCATTTTTCTCTGAGGAGCCTCAGATCCAGGGATGCCACGAGTCCCAAAGAGAAGACACAGCCATCTACCCTGTAGCTGTGCACAAGCATATGTCTTGAAACTTGCAGAATGCCTGTAACCCAGCTCTGCATGGCAGCTGAAGCTTAGGATGCAGGCAAGTGGCCACCTGCCTGCAGTGTGCGGCCGGCAAGGTGACCCCGCTCCGTGCATGGTCACGCGGCCACACAGGCTCCAAGCGTGGCTCTGATGTGACCACGCAGAGAACTAAGGACCACATTTTGCACCTTCTGATAGGGCGGCAGGGAAACTGACAGAACCAGAGTGTAAGAAAGACACCTTGTTTCAGACAAGCGGCTGCAGCAATTGAGTGCTGAGGAAACGGAGGTGCTACCAGTGTCCACAGACGGGTGCCGGCTCCTGGGGACATGTGGAAGCCAGGGACATTTCTCCTTAAAGGCAGTCAGGTAAATCCCAGAGTAAGGCAGGTAAAACCATTCTGCCCCAACCTTAGAAAGCTGGCCCTTCCCCAGCACCTGCCTCTCCGAGGGCAGGAAGCACCCCCGGGGCATGACCCTGCTGTCTCACACAGCGGTTTTCTGAATGCTTTACTTTTCCCTGGCAGTCCCAGCAGGACTGGGACATCGTGCCTGCTTAACAGTCAGGACGGAGGCCACACGTGCACCTGGCACACATACAGAGGTCAGTGTGCTGGAGGCAGAGGGCTCGGTCCTGGCCCACGCCCGGTGGCCAACGAGGAAAGCAGACAAGGAGCAACACGACGGCCTGGACAACAGCCTTGGTGGCACAGTGGCGGGTTCCTGGAACTCTGAAGTGATAAGAAGGCAACTATAAGCAGTAGAAAGCCACAGGGACAAAAATGAAAGTACTGAGAAAAGAAATTTGAAGAAAAAGCTGAGAAACTTTGAAAGATGAAGTGAAAAGCTGCAACATCAAATTAATACCAATGCCACAAGGGGATGGAACAGCAGAGCAGGGACAATCACGAACAAGGACATTCCAGACATATCACTTCAGCCGCAGGTGCCCGAGCGCCCCTCCCAGGCGGGTCCTGGGAGGTGTCAGAACTCTGGGGGCCGAGGGTCGGCCTTGTGCAGGCCTCCGATTCTGCAACGGCCACTCGCAGGACAGGGTGAAGACCTGAAAATCCCAAAGGAAGGTGGCCTCTGAACCCAACCACACATCAGTCAAGTGTGGGCCAGAGTAAAGACATTTACCAGCATGCAAGAACTCGAAAAATTTACATTCTGTGCACAATTTCTTAGAAAGCTTGGGAGACGTACACAAGCGAGATGAAGGCAGAGACAGAGCAGTGGGACACGGGCCCAGGGAGGGTGGGGACCCTCCATGGAAGGTGGTGGGGGGCACTGCAAAGGGGGCGTGGCCAGGAGCCGGTCCCCAGGGTGCAGCAGGCTCACTGAACCCCTGCTGCGTGGGGCTGAACTCCTCCATCTGCCAACACGAGGGACTGAAGAACAGACACATAGGAACTGAGCAAATGAAAAACACAATCAACTTCAGGAAAAAGGAAATGTATCAAGGCACACTGTGTTTATGTGTCCTTGCTAGAATGCAGGAGTGAGGGGTGGGGTGGGGCAGGGTTGGAACAGGGCAGGTAACCTAAACTTCCTGGGGCTTTTTAATTTATGTACATTTATTTACTCTGATAACACTAAAAATATAACTGTAGAAAGACGAGTTAGACTGGAATGTGATTTTTGTAGCACTACAAAATACGAGATATAGGGTTGATACTAATGTGCAGAATGCCTACAAAGCAGTGAGAAAAGAAAATGCCAATGGGAAAACGGCGAATGAGTTGCCATTAAACGCTCATCCACTGAACGCTAAGGGACTGTCCCTGTGTGTCCCGAGTGGCTCTGGACATTGGGCACAAGGTGTGGACAAGAGAGACATGGCCTGGCCAGGACTCCATGCTGTCCCCACAGGAGCGCCACGCAGCCCCTGGGCCTACAGAATACAGCTTATTGGATGAAGATGGAAAATCAAGGGGCCGCCGAGTGGCTCAGCTGTGAGAGCGCGCGCTCTTAACAACAAGGTTGCCGGTTCGACTCCTGCATGGGATGTTGGGCTGTGCGCCCCCTCGCTGCAACTATCGATCAAAAACAGTGACTGGACTTGGAGCTGAGCTGCACCCTCCACAACTAGACTGAAGGACAATGACTTGACTTGGAGCTGATGAGTCCTGGAAAACACACACTATTACCCAATTAAAAAAAAAAAAAAGATGGAAAATCAATACCAAGATACCCAAACTCTACTAAAACGACAGAACTGCTCATCAGAATGTCGAGGGTGCTAAAAGTGAACTGGCATTTGGTGATGCGTGACCATGGAGTTGGGAGGACTGTGGGTGCAGCTGGGCCGCTTGTTAGCTCTGTGACCCTGACTCCATGTTCCACTGTGATAGTTTTGGGGGAAGGGATGACATAAATAGAGCATCTTGAAATAGCTCTCTCGTTTCTCCACGTGGGCAGCCGGTAGGTAGTTTCTTTTTTTCCCCTTCCTCCGAATAAACCCTTTTCTTTTGTGCATCATTTTTGGAGAGTTATTTTCGCCAGTCAACAAGGGCATCGCAATGGAAGCGCCGTCACGTGATCTCTGATAGCATCCTGTTAGTGAAGGGTGGACAGTGGCCTCTCGTAAGCTGCTGGGGGTGAGGCTCCCCTGGCATCTGGGACACGTGCACACGGTGGGCGGGCAGCGCCATTTTCAGGAAGCTATTCTACAGAAACACTAGCACAAGGAGCACCTATTTGTGGGGAAAATAAAAACTAGAAAAGTCACAACTAACATGATGTCCACATATTGGAGCAATACAGAAAAAGGTATTGATCTCTGCACACTTGTGTGGAATGGTGTCTACAGTATAGTAGAAACCGGAAAACAAAGTTATAGGACAAAGTGCAAAGCAGGTATTTTTGTTAATAAAACGACAACTACACATGCACGGCCCCAGATCCATCGCCCTATACACAGGCACAGAGAACGTCAGGACAGACAGATTCCAAAGCGTTAGCAGTGGCCGTCCTGGGAAGCAACGTGTGCACTCATGTTTTAATTTAGAACAAGCATGCTTTTCTTATGTGATTTTTTAACAAATAAAACCACATTCTATGTAATGCTTAAAGGTGGCGGGCTTTTCTAAACACCCTTTCCTACTCCATCGTCTCAACAGCATATCTCGGCTGGCCATCAAGCTCAGGGCGGTTTTACCACTGAACAGTGAAACACCCGTATTTGAAAAGGATTGGTTCAAGACCTCATAATGGGTGGAGTTCAAGTTTGATGGATGTCCAAGTTCGAAGGATGGGTCTCAGAACAATGAGTGAGCCACTTTCTCAACGTAGAGGCTGCCTAAACATCCCTGCCGTCTCTAGAAGTTTCTTTGGAAAAGCACAAGAAAGCCTTCGTGAAAACCTTCTGAACATATTCTAAGATCGCGATGGGTGCAGGCGTGGGCAGGCCTTCTGCCAGGACACGGGCACAGTAAGGGCCGGCTGGCTGCAGGGCGCTTCCTCACTCAGCAGGGCAGCCTGGCCCAGCGACGCCGAGGGAAGCCGCGTGGCTCCTGTCTCAGCGGTTGACTGGCATCTCCCTCAAGCAGCTGTGAATGTGGGCCATGAGTGCTGGGAGGCTCAGAGCTGGATGAACGTTCTGGAAGGAAGAGAGGCGCCCCTGGCTGCAGAAGCCACGGAAGCTGGAAGCTGAGTGTCCTGGGCCCACCGCCCAGGGCCTGCCGGCAGCACGGCTCTCAAGGTTGCGGAGAGCGACTTCACTGAGCACCAGCCTGAGGTTTGCTCCCTACGTGGAGAGAGCAGTCTGCTGGGGGACCGGGTGCCCAGAAGCCAGGCAGGGTTCTGTGCGCATGACCTCAGTGCTGAGAGGTCCTGGGAGTCGCCGATGAGATGGGGGAAGGATTGTGGTGGGGTGACAATGGGCTGTTTTTGTTTCCTGGTGTCCTTTCATCAACTGGAAGTCACATCAGAGCGCAATTTAAGAGTCATTACTAAAAAAACTCACAGCAGGTAACATCTTTAAAAAATAATGGCAAAGATGCTACTGGAGAAAAAGGAAATTCCTAAATATCATCAATATGACGAAACTCAGTTTGCTTGTAAACGTGGAAGCGTCTGCTTTCTTCAGTGTGAACGTGGCCTGGAACGCGGCACCTCACTGCAGCCTCCGGGCAAGCGGGCTGGCGCCCTAAGAGCCCCAGGAAGGAAGGGCCCATCGTGGGCACGGGTGTCCGGGAGGTCCAGCATTTCCGGGACACCTGTCACTGCTCGATTTGAAGAGGCTCAGAAGCCCAGGGTCAGGGCAGCCGCCGAGGCAGCCAGAAGGCACAGTGGGGGCTGGACACCACCTCACCTGCTCTGTGCCCGGGAAATGACCCCTCCACGTTCTGGTGGGAGGTGGAGGGCACCATGCTGTCAATCACTGGGAAAGGGGTGGGCTTCCAACAGGAAGTGGGAGCCAGGCCTGGGGCAGGACAGTGACTGGGGGTGGGATTCAGGAGGCGGGAGCGCAGGCGGCAGTGACGAGCTGCGAGCTAGGAGATCAGCCCCGAAACCCCAGCCGAGCACGGCACACCTGCTGGCCAGGCTCTGGCTGTGAAAGCCCGTGTTTGCTTCCGTGAGGGCTTCCCTAAAGGGCGTCCAGTGGTTCCCGCCGGTTTCTGCGGACGTGTGGCGCTGCGGGAGGGTTGGGGTGCTAAGTCTGGCAGGAATGGGTCATTGGGGGAGACAAGAGCAGGGGCGTCCTAACAGCTTAGGGGACAAAAGCAGAAACCCCCTGCAGACCGGCCCTCGAAGCACTTTGTTCCTTCTCCTCCTGGGCCCAGGAGGCAGCGCTCACGGGGGGCACAGTGAGGCGGGCACAGAGGGTCGAGGCCTCCCTCATCACAGGATGGGCACAGCCCAGGCAGCTGGCCGCAGGCAGGGCGACCGCCGCCCTGAGCACACATTCGCTCGGACACAGGGATGAGCTTCCCCCAGGACGCGAATGTCACAACGGGCGGAATGTCACCCACAGAGGCCACCAAAGCACGTGCCACAAGAGCGGGCCACGTGAAGAACACTGGGAGGGGCTGTTGCTTTGACACGTTACACACCGTGAGCTGCCCTTTAAAGGCCGACGGGCGGGCGAACTGCAAGCAAGGGCAGCTTCCGTCAGCGCCACGCTGAGACCACGGGGCTTCCTAACGTGCCTCACATTTACTAAAGATGGTCACTCTACTTCATTCAAGACATTCTGTAACCAAAGTGTCATCTAATGAAGTTTCATACAAGTGACTGTGGCAGAAAAAACAGATGTAAATTATTGAGAATCGTGATGTCACTTCCAGGATGATGCTGTTCCCTCAAGTGGTTTATCTCCTCCGAAATCTTTACACTGTTAATATTATTCATGTGCTAGTGATGCCTTTTAAAAAACTGATAATGCGAGCACCCATAATTAAGTTCTCCTGGGGCACCGAGCGTTCTCAGTGGCGCTTCCCAAAGCGGAGCAGTGCCCTGGGTTCTCAGGGAGGTGGGGTCTGGAGGGCGCGGGTTCATCAGCCTCGTCTCTCTCCCAGCGTCCTGCCCAACACTCACCGCAAACTCGGGTTTGCGGATCTGAGTTTGGTTAATTACAGCACCAGCGTCCAGAAAGGGGGCGGGAATGGGCCGGGCCCTGACAGACACTTCCCGGCTGGTGGGCTCTCCTTCGGGGAAATCCCTGGACCGTTCTGAGCAGACGATGAGTGAGACCCACATACTCCCACTAAAGAGGACAAGCTACTCAGTGACTTCCACCAATAAAGGGCTTGTAGCCCAAGGGAAACCCGCCACGTCGGCAGGAACCTCACCTCTGCCTGGAGGGGCTCTGCCAACCCCTCCAACATCCCAGCCAAGGGCTTTGGGGTCCAGCAGCAGGCACAGGACTGTCCTGATGTGGCCCTGCCATCTCTCACACCTGGAATGTCAGTCAAATGTCCCTCCCGCAACTTCTGGCTCTTGATCCTGGGTTTGCCTGGGGCACTGACCCCTCGGGGCACAGCTCTGCCTACTGAGAGCCCCATCTCCCGTCTTAGGATGGGGCTGCGGTGAGCCCCAGTCCCCAAAGCCTCATCACTAGGGTGAAGGAGCAGGGGTGTGACTGCTTTAAAGCATTTGTCCTGAATAGACCCAAAGCCTCTGGATAAAACAAGGTTCTTTATGAAGACAAAGCTGTGCCGTGTAGACCGTTTCCATTCGGCACGGTGCCGGGCGGTTCCCACCTTGCCCTGTGGCCACAGGCCCCCCTGACGCTCAGCCCAGGGCACCCCCGCCCTCCGCGGGCTCCCCTGCTCCTCAGCCCCTCACCTCTCGGGGGCAAAGCATGTGGAGGGCGCTGCTGCCCTGGCCCGGCCCTTCCTGCAGCGCCAATGCGCTGCCATAGCCGCTGCTCCTCTGACAAGCACGGCCCACTTAAACCATCAACGCTGAGCCAAGTCCAAGAGAGCTGGGCACCCTGTTTATGTCTAAGCCCCGTCCCCTTCTGGTTTGTGATAGAACTGCTGCGAGGGTATCTGAGATGTCCACCTGCACAGTCCCTGCAGAACACCATGAATTTCTGTCTCAAACCCCCTCCCCCCGCAACACACACTCCGGGGCCCCGGCCACCGGTGGCCTGGGCTCTGCCCAGAGCTGGCACAGAGGGCCACGCCCTGGCTGGCTGGCTGATCTCAAGGCACATCAGCAGGAGCTGCTGTGTCCCCACACCCAGCAGGAGACGCTTTGGGCTGTGACAAAGTACAGCACGTCGCCAAAAACACTGGGCTTCACCGTTGTTCACAAGTGAGTTTGCATTTTAAAACGTGGGTGCACACACACACGAGTTTCACTGCTTTTGAAATGAACCACACGGCAGGCTTGAGAACAGCATTTTCAAAGGATGCTCTAATAACAGCAAACGTTTAAAAACAGCAGGGGCTTTCCCTGAGTGCAGCAGGGCTCGGGCTACGGGGTGTGGGGGGCGCAGGGGTCGGGCCCGCCCCCGCCAGCCTCTGACACTGACCTGTCTTTCTGAGAGGGAAGTCATCTTTGGCGTCGTACATGCCCAGGATCGGGTGGTTGTAGGAAGCCGACACCCCGCTCTGGGGCGGGGAGCTCTGGTCCAGGGAGCTGTGCTGTGTTTTCCTGGAGAGAACAGGCAAAGACACACGGCTTAATGAGCCCGGACACGGCCCCGGCATGGCGTGGCGTGGCTGCTCGGAGCAAGTGCGCACTGGAGCCCGAGCACGTGACCCCATGGATGGACCTTCCGTTGACACAGCCCTAGCTCAGCGGTCAGTGTCCTAGGCAGACCGAGACGCAACCCAGAGTGACGCTGAGCAGACACTCGCGTGCACACCTCCACCCACTGCCTGGCCTGAGCCCCGGCGGTGCTCACTGCTCTCCGGTGGCTGCTGAGTCACCTGTGCCTGGCCGTCAGGGGCACCACTGGCACAGAGGGGCCTGTCCTGGGGCGGAGGGGCAGAGGCAGACAGGTGGGCTGGGGTGTGAGGAGCCAAAGGTGCGGACGGAGGTGACGGCGACCTGGTGGGCACCTTGGGAAGTGCCGGTGATGTCTGGGGTCCTTGAGGGCAGAAGCCGCGTGGGGGCTTCCCTTCAGCAGAGAATATCCAGTCTTCACAGGAACAAAATCACTCCCAAGTCATTTCCCTGCCATGGGGAGGGTGGGGCTGGCAGCAATCAACACCTTCAATCCTGGGAGTCGATCTCTGAAACTTCCTTCATCAACAGCCAGGCAGGACTCAGCCCTCACACTGGTCAGTGGGAGCCGGGCGGGGGGCAGGCCCGGGCGGGGGGCACCGGCTGCCCCCGGGAGCACCAGCAAACTCTTTTCCGGTGGGACTGCCGGCTGAGTCTTCCTGGAAGCACTGAAGGTGTAATGAATTCTGTGAGTCTTTGAACTGTGTAATCTGTTTAATGACTTGAAACAAATTCGCCAGCTGACTTATTTGGGATTTGTAAGACTATTTATTCAGAACACACAGCACTCCACATCCACGCACCCGGTGTTCTCTAAATTAAGAAGGTGAGCTCCTGCTTACAGGTGGATATGGAATATTCCAGCGCCAACTTCCGTCAAGAATGTGCTGCTCGTGAAACCCAGGCCGAGGAGTGGCCCCGACACGGGGCTGGGGGTGCCCGCTGTGCATCACGGGCCCAAACCAGCCCGCCGGGCTCTCTCCCCACCACCTCAGGGAGGCGACTCCGTCAGAGCGGGCTAGTTCTGGCGAGAGCCGCAGCCAGGGCTGGGGGCTCGGGGCGGGGACGGCGTTCCCATGTCACAGCTCACCCCCTCCCTTAGGCAGGAAGCCCTCCTTTTAACTTGTAGCTCTACTGGGGTGCCCCCAGGCCTCACCCAGGGGCCATTCTCCCACAATCTCATTAAGGGTCTGAAGCAACACTCTTTCTACCAAATCCTGTCTTCAGATGGTATCCTACGGGGAGCGTGGCCGAGGCCAGTTTGAAAGCTCTCCTTCAATGCCAAGTTACAATCTGAGGAAAAATCCACGTCCTTCTTCACAAGAAAGAGGAAAGACCTATGTGTGTATTATGTGACTTAAAAAGTCTAAATGATTATTAACAGAGTGTTATCACAGAGAATAACTACGGTTATTATACCTTAGTGGTAGCTTGTTTATAACTAAACAGGAGTTGGAAAAGCTATATTTGTTTAGTATCTAACAGATATTCTGTTTTGCTCTCTGGACATGCTGCTAACGCAGGCAGGCCTCGGAGGAGCAGTGGCTTTGGCTCCAGGCCGCCGCAATGAAGCGTGTCATCTTCTTTTTGTTGGCGGAGGGTCTCACCTTCCGTTTGTGAACATGTAGCATCTGGGATGATGTGGGATGAGGTCCGCCTGCACCAACACCCTCACTTCCTTGTCAGGACGTAAAGTGGGCTGGAGCAGGAGGCACCGGCGGGACTTGGCCTGCTTCCCGGCTTGAGAGCGTCAGCAGACCGCACTCTGCACCGGCCCAGGGAGGGGGTGCGGCGCCAGGAGAGGTGGCTGGACTGACCCAGCGTGTACCATCACGGTGAGTCCAGAGACTTCGCACAAGGGCCTCGCGTCCCACACAGCCCGGCTTCCAAACTGCAGAAAAGCAGCTCACTGCAGGCGCTTCTGGAGGCCGAGGAAAGGGCCCCTGGGAAGCCCTGTGTGCTGTGTGGTGGGACCCCCGTCCGGTCACACCACACCCGGGCCCACACGGCGCCCCGGGGGTCCAGGATCTGGGAAAAGCCAAGCCCTGTGGCTGACGACACGTGCACTCGCACACTCACGTGTACACAGCCCACACTCAGCCCCAGACTCACACACGCCTCACACACCCTCGTACCCGGGCAGAGCCTGAGGCCTGGGTTATCAGCCTGGCTGGAAGCCGCCCTGCGGTCCCTCTGCTGGGAGCTTGGCGGACTGACGGGGACACCTCACCTTACCGACAAGCGCCACTGATGGAGACGGAAAAGCCAATACTGCTGTTTCCTCTCCAAACATTACTTTAGTTGTAACGGAAAACAAAACTACACACAAATTTAGCCATTTAAATTCCATCGACAATTGGCTTTTCCCATCTATCTCATCAGATTTATGGGAGTGATTTAAAATAGATAAAACTCTAAATCACGTACACCAGCAAGTCCAAGAGAAATATAATGTGAGTTACACATGCAATTTCACATTTTCTAGCTGCCAGATTCAAACGAATACAGAGAAATATGATGTTAACATCTGTATTCACTTTCAACCCAGTATTTCCAAAATGTCCTTTCAACATGCCATCAACCTAAAAATTACTGATGACATATTTCACATTTTTTTTTCACACGGAGGTGCTGAGGTTGGCGTGTTCAATGCTGACTGCACGTCTCAGTGGGACAGCCACGTCTCAACACCAGGAGCCACGTGTGGCTGGTGGCGGCCTCGGTGGCCAGTGCAGTCTCACACAAGAGTTTAAAGTTGGGAGTTCTGACCCCCATGTACACCAGGGAGCCACCACTCCAATGCTAACACAGAACAGGGTCACCACTACGGAAGGTGCTGTCTGCCCTTTGCTGATGATCCCCACCCCCCAGCGCAGCCACCGGTCAGGTGTCTGTCCCCACAGGTTGGCTGTGCTGCCTCTGGAACTGCACGCACAGGACCCCACACGCCGGACACTGCGTCGGCTGGAGGCCCAGCCAGTGGCAGCGGTGTCAGCGGCCCCTGGGTCCTGGTCCCCCATGTCTGGCCGCAGGAATGCTGCACATGGTTTGGACACAAGCACTGTCAGGTGTCCGCATGTCACACTCTGCCCACCTGTGGCTTGTCTGTTAACAGTGCTTTTCAAAGAGCAGAAGCCTTTAGTTGTGATAACGTCTGCGGTTTATAGCTGATGACTCCCGTGTCCTAAGAACCTCTCCCCCAAGGCCATGAGAACGTCCTCCTGTGACTCCTTCTAGAAGTTTCACTGGTTGAGCTTTTGTGTTGAGGTTTACGACACGTGCACTGATCGTGGATGGTGAGGCTATTGTCACCGTCCGGGTCTTCCCCACGAAGACCCGGTTTTCTGATGACGTTTTTCCCGTCACACAGCCAATCAGTGTGAAATGGCGTTTGGAACACAGTGACAAAACAAGACCCCGGTTGCCTTCCCCACCCCAGCCCGTGCGCCCAAGTCCCTAAGGGAAGGACCCACTGGGTGCTGAACCCAGAGCAAGCAGCCTCATCCGGGTCGGACACCTCGGGGCCGCCCTGCTCGCCAGGGAGTGGCTTCGCCCGTCCCTCCTGGGTCCCTCGCCAGCCCCCTGCCCTCGGGCCAGGTGCTCCTTGCTGACCCCGTCCTTATCAGTCTCCCCACGTGCAACCCCTCGGCCGTTTCTACCTGAGGCCACCCCTTCCCTACAGATGACGTGCTTTCCCAACCTGTGGGCTTGGTCCTCGCCTCCCCTACGAGCCCATCATCACAGCACCTGCCCCTGCCAGCCTGGTCTCCCAGCTCCACTGGCGCTCGCCCCGCCTTCCTCAGCTCTGTGGCCTCCGTCCAAGAGCTAAAATGCAGTGGAGCCAAGGCTCCCCTTCCCCGGAACAGCCCCTCTTCTGGAGAGCTCCCGGGGGCCCCCACCTGCTGGCCACGTCCTCTCGTGTTTGCCCCCAGCTGTCCCAGCCTCCCTCCCGCAGGCAGATCTAAGAGCACCCCTTGCCCCGCTGTGTCCTTACAGATCTGTAGGCCAGGTGTCTCCAGGGGGCCCTGGTCCCTGAGCCTCCCAGCTCCACCCCGTGGACCCCACCGCAGCCACTGTCCACACTGCTGCCCTTCACTGCACCTGCCCAGCGACAATGGAACTTTCCTGTAACAAAATCCGGTGACAGTCACTAGTGGAGTGGTGCCACCTGAATGTGGGGTCTCTGTGTGCGGCCCCCGCACTTCTAACAAGTCCTCCCTGCCCCTCAGGTGGCTCTGGGCTCAGGGCCTCGTTTGTGGCTTTGCATGGACCCTGTGACCCTCCCTGCTGTGGCAGCGTGTCACAGTAGCTGCAGAAAGCTCAGGGGGCAGACGAGATGCCTTTTAGGTGGTCTTGGACAACTGCTGTCATCTACTGGAATAAATGGGTCATTTCAACGGGAGTTGCTGGTGTCTCGTCTTTTAGAGCTTGAAAACAGCTACGTTTTTCCCGATGAAACGAATGCCAATCGCATTATGATTTATGAGAACTACCCTAGGGGGTTTCTTCCATAGATGAGATCACCCCGCACAGCAGCACAAAACCATACTGAAGGCAACAACCTGCGAAGCCCGCGGTCACTGTTCAAAGCCACCCAAGCTCGCCTCTCCCCTCCCAGCCCGGCCTGTCGGTGGCCGGCCCCCTGCACCGGCTCAGCACAAACAGGCTCTTCCGGGGTCTCTGCCAGTGACGCAGGCTCTGAGGGGTTTGTAGCATAAAAATAATAAAAACCGCACGGGCGCTTACTGACCTGCCTAAGAAGCAGCAAAACATTGGGAAGAATGTCAGAAGGTCCATATGGATGGACCACTGACACCAGAGGTCCAGCTACAGCAGCTCCTTTTGCGGCCTAACAACAACATGGGAAGCCCAGAGGAACGCGAGTGTCACTCAGGCCATTTAGATGGGCCCACACCCCTGGGTGGCTGCCACGTGCACTGACCACCAGACCACTTCGGTCACACCATGTTCGCTGCTGAGCTCTGGGACTTTCTGACTCCTCACCCCGACTCTGCCTTCCAGGGTGAAGAAGTGGGTGCCACTCAAACCTGTCAATGGTCACGTGCCACCGGGGCCCCAGAGCGGAGATGAAGGCCCACACCCCACTTACCCGTACCAGTAGCGGGGGTCGCTGGAGATGCAGTGGTTCAGGCTCCGGTGCGCCAGCGCCTTCTTTTTGTTCAGGACAAACTCCTGCAACTTCATCTTCACTTCTGTGCTGGCCACGGCACCTGGCACGGGACAAAGCACAGGGACGGTGACCCGGCGCTCTGCCCAGGGAAGCAGCTCTGGGCTGGACGACGGGGCAAAGGGCTGGAGACAGAAGGCTTCCAACTGAGGCGGCAGCTGACACCATGAAAGCTCCTTGAAGAAAGGAGACCAGCAGGCAGCGTAGTGAGCCGCCTTCTTCCAGGAAGAGCTGCCCCTAATTGCACGGCCACTTTACCTCCTTGTCCCGGTAACTGTCAGGGAACTGCCCACACTGCCTGATGAAGATGAGAAGGATGAATGACCTGGACGGCGGACGGCCAGTCAGAGGACATGGCCGCCAGGTCCTCCCTCCGTTAGGTCCCGGAGGGAGGTGATGGAAAGTGGGACAAGAAGCAGAGTTCTCACTCAGCAGGATGAGGACGTGACTCAAACACTTCCAGCAAATGAGCACGGGTGTTAGCAGCCTTACCCTCTTAAGAAACTTTCTCTCGTGGATTGGCCTTCCCTGTAGGGGAGGGATGGTTTGCACCTGCCAGCACCCTGGGAACAGGGTGAGCCTCGCAGGCCTCACATTCAGGAAGTCTCTGTCTCTCCCTGCACAGGCCGCAGCCCAGGCTCCAAGGAGGGCAGAGAACACACACCCAGGCCCAGCAGGGGGCACGTGGCCAATCGCAGCGACAGGAAAACACAGCCTCACGCTGCCCCGGGAGATGCGCTGCCCAGAGGAGGTGCTGACCCCTGCTGTGCTCCCTGTGAGGCCTGCGCCAGCTGGGACAGGAGAGGCCCTTGTCCCCTGGGCTGCCAGCAGGATCCTCAAAGGGGGGCAGCTGTAGGCACGCGTGGCTCCGTGACCTGCTCACGGGCGGCAGAGGGCACCTTACCAGGATCCTGTGTGTCAAAGGAACACAACCCCGACCCCCTCACACCAGGCTCCTCATGTTTAAAATGATCACGAGGGTTCCTTCCCATCTAAACGAACGAGACGAGTGGCGCAGCGCCTCCCTGACACATCAGCACAGTCCACTTGACAAGAAATGGCAAATGGTGACACAGTCACAAGAGTGGGCGCTGCCCAGCCCTCCTCTGGCCGGCTCTGGCTGGGGGCGGAATCTCCGGTCCCACTTCACAGACGGAGCACAGCACAGGCCTGGCGCGCAGCAGACCCAGGGAACGCCAGGTCCCGAAGGCGCAACTCGGTGCAAACAGAATCTTAGTGCTTTATGAGGGGAGAATTCAAAAGGGAAGCTGCTGGTTCTGAGCCTTGTCCTTCTAGTTGTATCCTCATCTCTACAAATTTCTCCAGGTCTGGAGTCAATAGAGCATCTTCAGCAAACGAATGCCAACGTCACTAATTTGTACTTAAAAATTAATGCACGTTGATCATCATTCATTCCCCTGACGGGGTTTATGGAGACCTTGCCGTGAGCCAGCGCTCACCTGGCTGATAGGGGCAAAGAGGTAAATAAGAGACCAGGTCCCTTTTACACAGAGGAGGCTGGTGGAAGGTGGGGTATCTAAAAAGCCAGCGGGTAAACGCAGTGGGGGTGGGGGTGCGGTGAGGCTGAGCAGGTTGGGGAAGGGCGCATGGGCGGGAGGACCTGAGTGGGCGGGAGGACCTGAGTGGGTAGGGGCCGAGGCTGAGGGGCTGCAGTGGGTCCTGGGGCTCAGAATGGGCCACGGGGCACGATGAAGGGAATGACAAATCTGTCACGTAGCTTTGGTTTGCTTCCGCCGGCCATGGGTTTTTCTTGTGCCCATGTGTCTCTGAGGAAGACGCGGCTTCCCAAATGTGACACAGAATTACTTTCAGGATCAGGCATTTGACCTTTTAACTGCAGCCTTTTGAGCCATTTTTTACAACAAAGTGAGTGCATTCCTCAGTGATGGTGCCTTGCTCCGGAAAGGCCGCTCGTAAGGCGCAGCGAGGAAATCGCCATGCTAGTTCCAACCTGCTCAGAGGGCTAAGGCCTGGTTGCCATTAGATTTTTTTTCTTTAAATTTACGTTAAAAGACAATGTGTCCCAGATTCTTAAAAGTAGTAAATCTATGTAAATCTTAACTGATTAGAGATCGTGTGTACATGCTGATTGAGATTAAAACTACCACAAATTGTAAGAAGTTACTGTCCTATCAAATTAACGGCATTAATTGGTATCAACAGTTAAGGACAACTGCAGAATTATTTAAAATGAAAAGCACTGTAAATGTTTACAAGTGCAACAAAACTTGTAATTAAGTATTTGGAAAGAAATTTATTTTAAAAACCCCAAGAAACGAAGCAGCAGAGGCTCTGGCGTGCATTTTCAAGTGCTGGGAACCTGGTGCCCACCGCTGGCCGCCCTGCGCACCCACAAATGCCCTTGAGGCTGACACAAGAGCCCCCTTCACAGGCGTCCACCTCGGCAGCCTGCTGGGCCCGCCTCCTCGCAGGACCACACTCACGGGCTGCAGGACCCCCAGAGCGCGCCAAACACCCAACTGCACACAGCTTATTATTAACAACAAAACCTGACCACCCAGGCCCACAGATGGAAACCCTGGGGGCTGCCGTGTGCCCAGCGTGGAGGGGAGTGGAGTGGAGAGCATTCAGACGCTGGGGGGTTGCTGAGCCAGCTGCAGATTGTTTTGAAATGCAAACAGATCTCAGATGGTTTCTGAAGTCCAGTCTTTTCATATTTCCTGAGGCTTAAGATGTTGTTTTTATTGGAAGATTCTGGTAAACTAGAAGGAATTAATTTAGACTGAGTTGCTTTTCAGCAACCTGAAAAACTGGTATTTGCTGGTGCGTTGTGGCACAGATCAACTAACTGATATTTGGAACTCAAACTTCCATCCTTTGATGAACAGTGATTTCCCCGCTCCAAAGAAAAACGCATGAGCAGGGTACACCCTGAGGCCCAGCAAAGCTCGGGAGCACGGGTACGGAGGGGACCCGGTGGGCGGCCACGTGTGACAGCAGCCTGACACACTCCTGTGGCATTCTGTCCCGCAGCAGGAGCCCCTGGCACAGGCTCCAGAGGACCGGAGCTGCTATGCCCCGGCGGCTTTCTGAAGGAAGGCAGCACACGCGTGGTGGGTAGGTGGGGCGGGCCACTCAGATCCCTAACACGGGCGGGCAGGAGGACTCACCCAGGCTCCCAGGTCTCAGCCCCAGTTGCACAGTTGTCTCCCCGGGAGTTTTAGAAGTGACAACACGGATGCCTGCGCTCCACTTTGCAGCAACACGGCAGGAGCCTGGGGGACGTTCCTGGCTCCATGTGTGGCATCGCTCACGTCCCAGCACACACAAACACGCAGTGTATGAAGGGCAGTGCGACCGAGCCAGGGGGCCATGCAGCGAGAACCCCGAGGTGACCGACAGTGTCTGCCACACCAGCCAGATCCAGGGGGGTGAGCAGCTTCTCTCCCGAGGGCCTTCGGCCCTCGTTTCTGCATCTGGACTGCGGGCAGTCACTCGGCCTGCGGTCACCAGCTCTTGGCCAGTGTGCTGTGACCAAGTGCACCAGTCAGACCTCACTGGTAATTACTCTCAAACACCAGTACAGAAGCTAGCGCTCACGTGCAGTAAGCCCTCCGGAAGTGCTTCCCACACTGACAAGCCCTCAGTTAAAAAAAATACAGTTAAAGTATAGTTACTGTTTTAAGAGTAAACTGCTGCAGTAACTAATGATTGCAAAAGATGTTAATTTTATGCATAAAAACAATTACTAAGAACTTACAAATAGTTAAATATAAAAATAAGAGCCGGCTGAGTGGCTCAGTTGGTTAAGAGCTCGCTCAAGAGTTTGAGCTCTGAGCAACAGCGGTTCGATGCCCGGCCCGAGCTGAGCCGCCGCTGAGCTGCCAACAGGTGGCAGGATGGCTCAGCTAAAAAAAAAAAAAAGTAAAAAAATAAACTAAAATTGGGGGGAATACATTGGCTAAATACTTTTAGGAAAAAATAATACACTTTCTGAAAGGAAAATATTTACAAAAATGTACAAAACAAAACCGCATAATAATACTAGACTACATTCGAATTCTACTTTAGAAAACACTGAGAAATGGCTGCATCCGACCTGAGACCCTGCGGGAGTTAAGGCAGCGTTAGCACAGTGACGTGGCAGAGCGCAGGTGGGAGAAGGACCGTGTACCGTGTAAAAGTGACGATATAAAAAAAACATTGAGGGGGCCGGCCAAGTGGCACATTGGTTAGGAGTTGGCTTGGGACGCCAGCTCTGAGCAGCAGGGCCCCGGTTCAGATCCCACATGAGGGCCAGTGACGCTGCGCCCTCTACAGCTAAGATGGTGAACAACAGCTCAACCTGGAGCTGGGCTGCCGTGAGTCCCCGGGGATGGCGTAGGCTGCAGTGGGGCTGCAGTGGGTTGCCATGGGCTACTGTGAGTGGCCGGCAGCCCAGTATGAGCTGCCCTGAGAGGCTGGTGAGAGGCCATCCAATGGCCGGTGAGCGATCTGCCTCACCCAGAGAGAGCGCAATGATAATAGCAACATGGGCCAGTGAAACGACGTCCTCCACAACTAGACTGAAGAACAAAAGGACAGCAACTTGTCTGTTCACCTCCCCCAATTCCCAATAAAATCTTTAAAAAAAAAATCGAGAAAAAGGAAGACGGCTCATCAGAAAAATGGGCAAGGACCTGGGCACACCCTTCACCCAGGGGACCCACGTGGCCAGTGAGCACAGGAAAAAGCCCTGGCCATCTGAGAAATGCTCACGGCTGACAGGAAAGGGGCAGACACAGGGCCATGTTGGTGGGGACACGGAGCTACCGGAACTGCCACACGCAGCTGGCGGAAGCAGAAACTGGTACAGCGACATGGGGAGCTGAGCACACGCACGCCCTGAGGCTCAGCAACAGCACGTCCCAGCCGCCCATCTGCACCCAGACACACGTGCAAGGACGTGCGCGCAGTGCTGTGACAGGTGTGACCACGAAAGAGCCCGGAGGTCTGCCCACAGTGCCATGGATGTACAGTAGGACACGCGTGAGACAACACGAAGCGGTGGGAGCGGATGCATGAGGCCACTTCACACGCCTGATGCTGAGCGAAAGCATCACGAGACACCGACAGTGTGATGGCTGCATCTGTCTCCTCTCAGAAGCGCGGTTCCCCTTGGGAAGGAGGGGGGTGGTGACTGGAGGAGCACAGGGGGCCCTGGCCGCAGTTGCTGTCCCGGCCGCCGTGTGCTACTGGGGACGGTTACATGGGATGTGTGCTCGTGGGCAGTTCCCTGCAGAGGACGGGGACACTTCCTCGTGTGGATCATGCACCAATAAGAAAGGCTTTAACATCAACTCTAATCATGGGCTGTACGGAAGGCTGTAAGAACATAACATGCCGCTGTGCGTGTGTGCATGAAAATTTAGTCAAAAGTTCAAATAGTCTGTGTTTTCACAAGCTGAAGATAAGGGCTTTTGAGGGTTTTGAGGGTTACGTGTACTGGCAAGCGTGTCAAGCCTTCTGATTTCCTTCGTGAGCGTGACAAGAGAAAATCGCCCACCATCAGCCACCAAGGCCTGACGTGCGAGAGGCGGACAGGCCATCGGGCGGGCCTGACAGCCAGGGAACGCGAACGCACACTCACTCTGCTGAGGAGGCCCTGGCCATGTCACTGGAAACCACAAACTGTCACCAGAAAGCAGCACAGACACCCATGAGAGAAGTGTTCCCTTTGTCACAATCTGGGAGGGACGCCGCAGCCAGTGACACAGCAGGCCTTACACAGGCTGGTCATGCTGAGGCCATGTCACTGCACAAGCCCAAGGCGCCTCTGTCCAGTGGCCGGGCTGTCAGCAGAGAGGGCTGTGGCCTCATCCCTGAGAGACTCGGGGACTTTCCCAGGGGGAGGAACACGAGGAGCCTCTGGCTAAGATCAGGTCCCGGCATTTCTCAGAAGACAGGCCACGCTGGTCTTCAGACATACAACCACAGCCACGATTAAAAGCAAAAATTAGGGTCACAAGACCCAATGTGACAATGAACTGTCGGTCATCATGTCTCCCCCGGCTGCAGGGTCCTATGCACTACCAGCTGGTCTTACAGCACTCACAAAATGCTCTCGAGAGGAGAGCTTTGAGACATCAGGGCTGACTGCGCTGCTGGAGTGCGTTCTCCTCTGGTGAGCTTCACGGGTTTTACCATTTACAAGCCCGTAAGAGTCTGCCAGATACGCTTTAAAATGCCTAAATCAACCCAAAAGTCGTGCTGAGTGACCCGCAGCCCCCAAACGATGACAAAGCTGTCAACCACCACTCACAGCTGACGCGGAGGACAACCTGAAACAGCAGGTACAGTGGCACCACGGGGACACCACGTGCTGTACCCAGGGAGGTGCTTCCCCTCCGCCCGCTGCTTCTGGGGGCCGGGAGCCCCCCGGACACGCTGCCCAGCGCCGGCCCAGAGTCCCCGCCCCCGGCGGCGCCCCCTCCCGGCGCCGCACTCACTCTCTTTGCCTTTCTCCTTGTTCTTGAGCTGCTGCAGCTTCTGCTCCCGGTGCTGCTTCTCCAGCTCCTGCTCCTGGCGGTGCCGCTCCAGCTTCTGCTGATGCTCTAGCAGCTCCTGCTGGTGCTTCATGGCCAGCAGCTCCTGCTGGTGCTGCGAGGGGCGGGGGAGACAGACGGTCAGAGCCCGAAGCGCAAGAAGGCGGGCGCCGGGCCTGCGCTCCCGCCCGGGCGCCCACGCGGCCGGCATCCCGCATGAGTCCACCTCCACTCCGCTAGGCGACACACGGGGCCGGGCTGCTCCGGGGCCTCGTCTCCTGACCTTGTAAACGTGAGAAGTGAAATAAAAACTATTGAGGTGCTAGAAGAAAACACACAGCGAGATTCTGGGAATGACACTGAAGATGACTGTGAAATGCTAGGGCCACTTTGGGAAACTCTCAGCACATTCTCACAAGTCGCGCACACGCTCCCCCAGGACGCAGCCATCCCACTCCGGGACACACCCCACGCAAAGCCCTGTACGACAGCGTGCGTGACAGCTCTGCCCAGGGCAGCCCAGGCTCCACCCCTCCCAGGTGTCCCTCAGGGGGACACTCCCTGCACCCACATACTGGAATGCCACCTAGCAACGGACAGGATAGGCTACAGGACACGGGTGGGTTGCAGAACATGCAAAGTGAATGTGCAGGGCGCCAACGGGGCGTGGGAGGGGGACAGAAGAGTCAGCAAGCAAAGCTTCTACTTCCATGATGTTCTAGAACAGGAAACCCTAAGACCCGATGATGAACACCCAAGGCTGAGGCTTGGGCTAAGGCAGGAGGCGGCGGCAGGGGCACCTGCCAGGTGTGGGGCTGCCTGGAGGAGGAGGCACGCACAGGTGCTCACGGCTGTCAGAGCGCACTGGGCAGTCCACTCAAGATCTGTACATTTTGTTGTGTCTGAATTACATCACGCAATTTCAAAAATGACATAACTGATGATGCAAAATTTATATTTGTAACAAACACCATAAACAAAGTTAAAATGCAAACAATGGACGAGAAACTTCTTGCAATATCTATGCTACACAGGCAAACTGTGTTGCAATGGCTGCTGCCAACTAGTCCGGCTATGTGACAGGCAGCCCCCGGGAAGGTGAGCCAAAAGGAACAACATTCACAGAAGTAGTTACACAAAAACGCCCGACCTCACTGCTGTCAGCCCTCAGCTCGCTCCAGGGGCTGAGAACTCGCCGGCCCAGGGCTGCCCGGGCTGCGGGACGGCACTCAGTCAGGCAGACCCCGGCACGGCCACCTCAGACACTAGTGTCCACACGTGAGCACAGCCCAGGAGCAGAGAGCCCGTGGGCCGGCCGGGCCGCCTCCCACTGGCGGCTCGTCTCCGTCGCCCTCTGTGTCTCTCCCGCTCTGTCTGTCTGTCTCTGTGCGTATCTCTGACTCCGTCTCTCACTCTCCGGGGCCCGGGCTACACAGACTCTCCCTCGGCTCCCACACAAGCCACTGGCCGTCTCCTGAAGACCTGTGTGAGGTGGCCCAGCACTTGGAGGTGGCTGGCCTGGCCCCTCCTCGCCCTCTGGACCCCTGGACGCCCCCCCCCCAACCCCAGCCATCTTGCCTCGGCAGGGCCCTCGGTCCTCAAGCAGAAGCTTCCTTGTCCTGTTTCTGTGGGTCTCTCCTACAGGGCAGCCCGTGCTGCTCCCTGTGTGGCCGGAGCGGGTGGCAGGACGCTAGGTGGGCTGGTGAGCAGGCCCCCAAGTGGCCCCCGGCACTTTCTGTTGAGGAAATTCCACACACAGCGTGCTTCCCCCCAGATGTCTAAGGTGGAAACGGAAGAGATGTCCTCTCAGCACTCACAAAGGGACAATGGAGCCAGCAGGAGTGGAAACTGACACTGGCTGAGGGCTCCTCTCGGGCTGCACGTCTGTAACGGATTTGACTGCCTCCTGTAGTTCACAGGAGAGGAGACGGAGGGACAGGGCCGCTGAGGAGGCCGGGCCGAGCCCTGTCCCCGCCGAAAGCCCACAGAGAACGAGGGAGGGGTCCCAGCAGCAGGGGCCTCCCCGGGCCCGAGCCCCACGGCGGCCTCTCATCACTTGGGAGTGCACAAATCACCCAGCTTCCATTGTCAATTAGAAGCAACACGTGAATGAAGAAAAGAGGGTTTCACGTGGCTTAGAGCTGCTTCCTGTCAAAGACGCAAAGTGTCACCCATCACGTCTGAGAATTCTGTGAAGTTCAAGTCACGTTTTCAAAAATGTTCAAGAAAAATCACATCAATTGTAGAAATTTACAAGGGGAAAACTTCATTCTTCTGATTTCTAAATAAAGCCTACGACCTAGGTGTGGGAGCACGTGTCGTACTTGCCAGTAAAAACGACGCTCGGCAAAGCTTCAGAAGGTGCCAGCAATAACGACGAATGAGCAGAAGGGACGCAGCCGCCAACTTCCAGACGCGCCGGCCCTGCCCGCCACACCTGCGCCTGCTCCGTGGCCTGGCCGGCCCGCCTGGTGCTGCTCCGCCTCCAGCCCCGCTGCCTGGCAGTGTCCTGATGGCCGAGCCTGCAGACACGGGGCCAGGCAGCGAGCATCCGTCTGCGGCCTCCAGCTCTGGCTGGCCGGTCCGGCCACACCTGTGGTCACACACGCAGCACCGGTTTACTGAGCGTGGAGTAATCAAGCGGCGTTTCTGACCACAGGGGACCCACAGCCTCTGTCCACAAGTACGGCCACCTCCTGCCTTCCACAAAGGGGAGGGGACATTTCCAGCTGGGCACACAGGGACAGCATAGCCAGAAGTGGGGTGGCTAGGCCCCAAAGCAGCACAGGAGTGAGGAACAGAGGCTGCGCCTCCATCGGTGCCCAGGACTGGGTGCTGAACAGGGGGGCGGGCGTCCAGACCCCAGGCAGCGGGGTGCACGTCCCCGGAGACACTGCTCCTGGACGCCAGCCACCTCCCGGGCGCAGGTGCCCGGGGCCAAGGGGAAAGGCGCTGCCGGACCATGTCAGGCCCCAGTGTGTGCAGGGAGGGGCCGTCAGGGGTGGGTGCTCAGCTCAGTGCCCACCTCTTGGGGTCCCCAGGCCTAGTGTCACTTCTAAGAGCTTTCCTACAGAAAAAGAATCCCATTCCAGTCGCCTCACACGAGCGGGGGGACCGCAGGGATATTGGAAGCAGGCAGGCACTTCCCACGCCTCCCTCGTTGGCCACGTGGGCTTCCAGGCGGCCTTCGGGGCGGAGCTCTGGCGCGTGGCTGGAGGCCCGTGCTGAGGCCAGGCTGCCCAGGTTGGAGCTGGCCCTGACCACCGCCACTCCGCTCAAACCCTGCACTCCACCTGCCTCCTTTTCGGAGTGAGCCCGTCTGCTCAGGCTGCTGTGGGGACACAGGACTGTGGCACGGGGCTTCACGTCCTTATTGTCGTCACCTGGGAGATGGCGCCCGCAGGGCCTGACTCCTTCTGGACGCTGTAGTGTCATCCTAAGACCAAAATGAGGCCCCCACTGGACTCGAGAAAAACAGCACAAACGGAACAGGATGTCGGGTGAATTCCCAGAGTTTCTCAGTGTCGAAACTGGCTTCCTATTTGGCGGGGTTGGCTGCCAACAGCCGACACAGTTTGGTTGGGCCCTGCACGGGCTTCGGCCCCTGCAAACTGCCACCACTACACATGTCTGTAGAGTCAGCTCTAGAACTCTGCCAGAGATTCAAACCAGTGGGGTCTTCTCAACTTTTAGAGGAAAACCAAATTACACCTTTGCGACAAAAGAGTAAATGAGGTGGGGGTAAGAAGTGTCCCTCATCATCAGTCTCATTCCGAGACGCTGTCCTCAGAGCCGCGCACCGAGGACGCTCCTTCTGCCAGAAGACAGAGGTCCCACCTACGGCCCCTCAGCTGGGTCCCCGGTGAAGGCACTTCCCACTGGCGGTGTCACGGGCCACGCCAGCAGCTGGGCGACTCCTGCCTGGCAGTTTCTAGAAATGGACGAGCTGGAGGGCCTCTTGATGCTGCTCGGTCAGGGCGCCGAGACAAACACACTCCGAGCAGCGGGCCTCAGAATGAAGCATCCCACCCCTCTGATGTCACCAAGTGGCCCATGTACAGCCCGGGGCCCCTTTCAATAGCTGGGGCTCATTTAATGCCTAAGGGAGGAGCAGGCAGAAACTCCCTTAATATATTCTCGCAATATCTACTTTGCAGCCAGAAGCCAGAAGAAAAGACCTTTCAATTATCATCACAAAAAGACTGCAAACAACAACCACACATGCTGGTGATTAAAATTCACAGGATGACGAACCTCCTAGAAAAACAATATTGTCCTGGAGTTTTAATGAAAGTAGCAATTTACAAACGAAGACTTTGGTTCGCCCAAGTGCCCCCAGAGACACTGCGTGCACACTCTCCTTACGTTTTACCAGACATTAAACGCTCTCAGTTATTAAAGCCCATGTACCCTGTTTCCCCGAAAATCAGACTCAGACAGAAAATCAGCCGTAACATGACTTTAGGTGCCAAAATGTGGCACCTGGGCATACTGAATATTTTAAGCTGAATCAGTTTGTGAAAAAGGCACCCTTCTCCCAGAAACAGCTCATAAAACCCTCATGGGAGGGGTGCGTGCCCTCCATATCCTGGAGGAATCATGCTATGGCTTCTTCTCTGGCTAGGTCTTATTTTTGGGGAAACACGGTAGCAAAAGGTGATGGGGACGAAGCAGACCATGGCAGCCCTCACTCACGTCTCCTAACCTTGGGACAAAGAGGTCCTTGATACTGCAATTCCGGGAAATATAGGTCAACTAGAGCTTTCTCTCTCCACCCACTCATTACACTGTGGCAGCCCCCAGGGCAGACAAGGGCTGTGTCACCCAGTGGCGTCTTCAGGCTGCGGAACAGGGCACTTGGAGATATGCTCATTTTTTTGTGAGGCAAAATCCACAGTTATTTGTAGCTAGTGCCTCGTGAACATATGTGAAGGTCAAGACTATTCTAAGGACAAAGAAGAATTGTTGAGAAGCCTTTTTTTTTTTCTTTTAGCTGAGCCATCCTGCCACCTGTTGGCAGCTCAGAGGCAGCTCAGCTCAGGCCGGAAATCGAACCGCTAGTTGCTCAGAGCTCAAACTCTTGAGCAAGCTCTTAACTAAATGAGCCACTCGGCCGGCCCAAGAAGCAATTTTTTTTTTTTTTTTGCAGATTGAAACTATTATGAGCAATTTAAAATAAGATGCCTACAACCTAGCTTTTTTAAGGAAAAGAAATAACATCCCATTCCTCTAAGCAGCCTGCCCAGCCGCCCCGGCCAGGGAACTGGCGCCCCGTCGCTCGTCCTCGTGAAGACAGTGTCTCCCCCTCCTGCCGAATCAGGGATCTTCCCCTACAGGCCTCGGCGCCACCTGGGACGGGTGTGTCCGGCGGAGGGCTGTGGCTGAGCGTGTCTGCCCTGTGGCCCTCAGCCTCCCAGCACACAGAGGTCTGAGCGAGCCCATGAGGACAGAGCCGGATCATCCGAAGGCACTGAGGGTTAGGAGGAACGGGAGGTCCAACTTCCAGGTCTGTTCCCCACAACACGGGCCGGGCATGAGAGCTGCTGCCTTTGGAAACAGACTGAAAGTTTCTTCTCTTCTACGAACCACATGCAGCCTCCAGTCTGGAAGGCACAACACAGGTGAGCAGGACACCTGATTAAGCAAGAGACTCTTTGGTGTCACAATGCCTGGCAGCTGGAGTGGCCATCCACGCGCCTTAGGACAGGCGATGCCAGCTGCCCACACGATGCCCTAGGACCCCAAGGTGCTGGTTCACGAGCAAGGCCGTACCGCCAACACACACGCTAGGCAGGCTCAGGGACGACGCAGGACCCCGGGCAGCGCACAGCCATGACACTCCCAGATACCAGCCCCAAGGCGTCCTGCCGGCTCCTGAATGTTGCCTCAGGTGACCTGGGCTCCGGACAACACCTCTCAGCCACTTGGGGCAGGTAAGAAAGGCTGAGTCAACGTCTCAGGCTCCCTAGGGCCGCAGAACCAGGTTTTCTTTCAATTTTATCCCTGTGCCAGCAAGGAAGAGTCACACTTCACCTAAACGGCTCCTCAAAGCCTGCCCTGCCTCTGGGAACACCATGAATCACACCAGCAAACACGAGCAGAGAGAAGTTCACCCTCGCAAGTAAGAAAGGACGTGTGGGGATAATTCCTGCTTTTCACCAGTTATCTGGAAACAGCCCGCGGGCCTGGGAAGGAAAGGTCCGCCAGGTACACCTGTGGAGGGGGCGGAGGCCGTCCGGGCCGGCGGTCTGGCCAGAGGCTGTAAACAGTCTAATAGGCTCACACTGTTTCATACGAAGGGATCTGACCTGCGAAATAACCGGGCAGGGCAGGCGTGCCAACCTACCCAGAGGGTGGTGAGGGTCGCCTGCTCATAGCGGAGCCCCGGGGAAGGCGCCCCGTCTCCAGCCACACGGACGCGTCAGCATCGCGTACGGAGGACCTGTCACCACGCTGTGGCCACTGCACACAGTGGGGACAGGCAGGCCCCGAGCTTCCAGGCCACTGGCTCAGCCCGACTCCAGATGCCTTTGGAGCCACCTGGGCGATGTCCTGGGTACCAGGAGCTTGGGGACTCCACACCCCGACTGGGCATGCCCAGGCCCCTCGCACTTGGCCCATGACCACGCAGGGACCTGGTACTGCAGGGACAGGATCCGTCTAAAACACCACCCCCTCTCTGAACACAGGGACAGTCACAGCAAAAATCCACAGCTAGAAACGGACAAAAACATCGCTGAGCTGAAAGTTCTGTTAATAAGAGGCTGAAGAAAACTTGATCAGAGCCCCAAGTATGTAAGTTTTGGGGGCAGCAGGCGCCCTGGAGAGAGTTTGAGGCCAGGTGTGACCCGGCGTGTGCAGGGGTCAGCCCTGAACTCAGGCCGCCCCACACCTACCTCTGCTCTTACTCACCAGGCCCGGGGTGCTCTGGCCACAGTTAGACCCTCTCTCTGCAGACCCTTCCCAGAGGCATTAAGGCCAAAATGCAAGAGAGACGCTTCCAGAAGCACGGAGTGCCAATGGCATGCCACAGCTGGCCCTGGCGACCCCGACCCGGACCCTGGAGGCTCCTCTGTGAGCAGGGGGTCCCCCGCCAAGGACCCTCTGCGCTTGTCCGGCCACGCCCCTCCCACTGGGCCTGTACAGGTGGTGACAGTTCACTCCACTCACCTCCGCCTTTCCTATTAGAAACACAGCAGATGACTGCAAGTTACACAGAGGCCAACCGCCCATGTCCACATCTAACCATCACTTCCTTACCAAGCTCCACCCTCAAAGCCCCTGCTCTTAGAAAAGCCCAAGGACCCCAACTTCATGCTCGCTGCCCTGGACGCTGTACAGTTAGGGGAATAAACGAGCTCATTTCATCTTTCCCCTCAACAGTCTCCTCCCACATGTGTAACAATCCATCACATTGTTACACAGACGAAGGGCTCCTGCTTTTTATCCAGTTGAGTACTGTGTGCATACACGTAAAATCTGCTAAGTAGCTACGACAACCGTCCAGGGTTGGCGGGTCCCCGGTGCCAGCGTGTGGCTGGCGAGCAGGGCAGCTGCTGTGGCTCTGGCGCTCCAGTCCCGTGTTTGTACCCTGACCTGCTATGGAGACGGACACCGGGGATGCGTGCAGAGGTCTAAAAAGCCCCGCTGAGCTGCCAGGGGACAGTGGCTGCTTTAGGTGCTATGCTACAGGCACATGGCCTTAAACGCCCAAGCCTCTGAACTTATCATTAAAGCCCCGCTGTGAACAGCTGTTCCAGACACTCTATGATGCCACTTCTATGAGGTCCCCAGAGGAGTCAAATTCACAGGGACAGGAAGTAGAAGGGTGGGTACCTGGGTGTGGGGAAGAAAGGTCCGGCCTGCCTGGTGCTCCTAAAGCCACTCAGCCAGGAAAACAGACGGGCCTGGCAGGACCCCTGGGCAGTGCGGTGTCCACACCCGGGTCCAGCCTTGGCACCACCAGTCCCGGTACGGGCAGGGGGCCCGCCCACGTGCTGCCCAGGAGGTGGTCACAGGTAACTTCTCAGGAGCTCACCATGGTTATGGAAGGTTTAGTCAATGCAGCTACACAAAGGAGGACAATTATTATTTGCAGTTGACATTACTATTTGCCTCCAAAACATGAAATAACCAATTATAAATTTATTGGGACGAATAAGAAGACTACGCATTGCTTGGCTGACAAATAATGAAATCAAGAGCTCTTCCATACACTGACAACAGCCAAGTGGGAAATTAAATGAAGGAACACATTCTATTCCTATAGGAAAACAGATAAAATACCCAAGAATAATCAAATATGAGCTCTATAAACCTTACATGAAAGATCAAAACAAGGCTTTTCATAAAGACAGAACCTTTAAACCGACAGACAGTAACA